AGGTTCATTGACGACACCCATCCACCCCGACATTGACAAGATAGACCGGTGATAAGAGCAATGCATTGTCAATAGCTGGTAATGTTAGATCTAGCCCATCTCTCCTGTTGTACAGATCATGGAGATAGCATGGCCCAGTCAGGTCAGTGACAGACGAAGGAGATAGAGACGTGATATATACACTATTTCCTCTAAAAGATGCACCCATGTGTGTAGCTGTCCGGATATAATTGGAGACACAACATTTTTTTTTTTGAATATTTCTTTACCAGAGTTTAGGGACTCTAGATTCTAAACCTGATTATATACAGGAGACCTATGTCCATTTAAGACCCTTATTCTTTTGTTTAAAAATTCCACTTTTGTTTTAAGCAGACGATTATAACTTTATTAGAGACTTAGTGTCTGTTAGGCCAAAATATATACATGTGATGTATACATGGTATATGCTGGTGATCGTTCATCAAATGCTTCACTAGGGCTGCATCTGTTATATACACCCTGTAATTGACCAGGTGTATATTCAATTTGGTTGTGACCTGGCATGAATAAGAGACAAAAGCAGGGAATCATTTATATAGTGTTGTACTGCACTCAGTCTAACAGACACACAGTCTCTATTTAAGATGTGGCCTCTATTCTTCCATTTCTTTTGCATCTATTGAATCCCAGCAATTCTTTAACCTCAACATCTATTGGATCCGGCATGATCAATTGAATCTTAGGATTTCTTAAATCCCAGCATCTACTGAATCCCAGCATCTATTGAATCCCAGAATCTCTTGAATCCTAGGATCTACTAAATCCCAGCATCTATTGAAACCCAGAATCTCTTGAATCTTGGGATTTCTTGAATCCTAGCATCTATTGAATCCTAGAATCTCTTGAATCTTAGGATTTCTTAAATCTGAGCATCTACTGAATCCCAGCATCTCTGGAATCCCATCATCTGCTGAATCCCAGCATCTCTGGAATCCCATCATCTGCTGAATCCCAGGATCTATTGAATCCCAGCATCTATTGAATCCCAGAATCTCTGGAATCCCAGCATCTACTGAATCCCAGCCTTTTTTAGGGGCAGCCTGGGGCACATGTGTCCAGTCAGGCAATGCTGTTCATCAAACACTTATTATGACTGTCTGTATAGACAGAGAGATGACTGTATATGATAGATATATAAATACCAGTAGACTACACAGTAAATGCATCAAGTATGTTGTTGTGCATGTCAAACAAAAGACAGAACAAAGTATGTGTGTGCTTCAAGATACATCCTGAGCAGCACCTGATGGTATTAACTTTACCATTGTTAACTTGCACTTTTTTAAAACTAACTTTTTCAAAAGTGGTATTTAATGAACATTGATAGGATACAGGGCTATGCATGAATTAGGTGTTGCGTTGACCACAATAATGATGTTTGTTGTTTAATAAACCAATATATGTGAATTTAGGAAAGTAAGAACTTACACAAATGCCAATTCTAAACCAAATGATTGTTTGCCAATGTCCTTAACAACTAAGAGTCCTTAGTTCCGTATCCTAGATAAATCCCAGTTGTACATGACTTTATTATTAAACACCATTGACTTCACCGTACCATGTGTAGCAACATACAGATAAAATATAGCAACAAACTGATATAATTCCTATATTATGTAAATTATGTAGTTATTCCATTCATAATGATTTTCAAATAGCATAACATAATAATCATTCAAGTTCCATTTAGTCATGTAAACATGGTACATAACTAGATGTTTTTAGCACATCCTATATTATGTACATTTCACCTTACACCGCGTACATTTCATGACAGGTCAAAGTCATCAGGTTGTGACAGCACTGTAACAACAGGTGCCGGTCATTGACATCTGTTACATAACAAGCACCTGTTCACCAGCAGTAGGTGAATGAATGTATTAAGGTATCCACCATGTCATGTTATGTACATAATCAGCTGATTGAAATATCACTGTGACAGCTGTCAAAATCAAGGATGGCTTACAGGATAATAGTTTGCCTAACAGCTGATCATAAAAATGTTTGCTTTGTTTAAGTCCAATCTATATTTGCAATAGATATATAACTTTTCTGTCATGACGTTTGGGTTTATTTTAAAATCTGTGAAATTCTGTGAGTCAGAATAATGACAAACGAAGCAATGTCCAGAACAAAATGTGAAAACTGTGAAGAACAAACTTATTGGACCTTTCATTTGTCAACAGCAAAAAAACCTTTGAATCAAGTAAACTGTTAAAGGAACCAAGACTCAAAGTTGAAAGTATCGAAATATAGCTCCCGTTTCTTCGCGGAATAAAAAAATCTTATTGTGGACTATACATGCTATAATTTCAACCGGTTTGACACATGTTCGGCGCTATTCTCGCTGCGCTGCGTGAAGCAACTCCTTTCAGAGAATTGAAGAATGAGAAGTCGTATATCATAACAAGAGTCTGAATAAAGAGTTGCAGACATGTTTTTGTTGTTGATAAATGCCTTCACGACTTTCAAGGGAAAAGGAGTATGCACAGCAAAAAACTATATAGATCTAGTATTCCTTTAGAGAATTCTGGTAAATGGATCACAAACCTGGTCAATAAAAATGTGAAATTTGACATAAATTATCACTAAACATGATGATTTACCTTTGAAATTGTATTTCTGTGACTTGAATGCAGAAAGTTTACCTGTGTATTTTGGATTGTCATTTACAAGTTGGAAGAACATCAATACACAGTACTTTGTTTCTGGATAACAAAGACTAAAGAAGTTGTTATCCATAAAAAGACACATGCATACATATTCCCTGTTAATAATCAAATCAAAACTTCTTAAAACATTTTGTTTCCCTTTGATTTGTGTTTGAAAACAAGAACTGAGCGAATGTATCATTTCCAGTACCCATGATCACATGGTCGAAAGTAGACTAACATTTAGTCTCTGAAATCTTATATTACACAATATCCTTCTTGACTCTTTGAGCTGGCTAGACTTGCTTTTGTATGCATTTCTAGATTATTATTTTTTCATAAAATAAATATATTCCACGGTCATGGTGCAGGACTAAGTCGAATGAGCTGTGCTCATGTTGAATTCACATGTCAATTCACTGTCATGTACATGACACATTCTAAACATTTCAACTTCCGGATTTCTCACAGCAGGCTGAACCAGGTTTCAGAATTTTATTCAAAATTACCAAATTCCAAGTTTTCAAGGAACTGACTCTTCATCATTTCACTCGCACTTCAATGTCTTTCAAAATTCAATGCATGTCGTCTTTATGAAAATAGAGCTTGGAGAAATTGAAATTCAAGACCAGTCAAAAAAAACAAAGCCTTCACTCCATGGATAATTCATTTTGTTGCTAGGTTACAAAATCAATAAGTAATTTGTTTTGTGGTCAATTCTAATAATGTCAATTTCAATCAAAGTAACATGAGTCACAGCGCATCAACTACTTGATTTAACAAAACGCATCTTAATTGCAAAATTTCGGACAAGCAGTCTGTGACTTGAATTAATTCACAAAAGTTTATAGAAATTTAGCACATTATTCACACTTAACATTTATTTATTTAAAAGGGAATTTGTACCCTCCTAAATTAAGAACTATCCCTCAACACAGAATACTGTATTGTGAGAATCATAAAAAAATTATTTTTTTTAAATTTTAGAAAAAAATATATACATAAATACTCAAACACTAATTATTCATAATTCACATGCCTTATGTAACAATATCAAAATAGGTTCATAACAAATCAATTTCGCTGATGTTAATTTCACAACTGAGTGAAGCTTGCAATTGGCAATGTCACTTCAACACATGTACAGGTTCTTGGGCTCCCATTTCGAGACAAGGCCTTATGTCCGCTGTAGTCTTGGTGAGTCACAGCTTCATGCAAATTGACATTGTCTTAGCATTGTTTACTATCATCACTCTGACGAGACAAGGCAGCCTAATGAAGAGACAAACGGCCCTGTAACCATAACTGTTTTGTAGAACTGTATGGTATCTGGGATGTATTACGTAATGTAGTTTCCACAATGAGAGGCTTTGGGCTGACAGACTGCTTAATTACCTCTCAGCTTAATCAAACTGTTTGATGTGTCTATTGTGTTGGTTTAGCCCCCACACACTACAAAGGCTGGGATAATCGGGATAGGTAAGGTTGTGTTGTGAAATCTGCTGAATGATCTGTTGAGAGAAAGGTTTGGGGCTGCATGGCTATCAGTGTGAAGGATTAACTATTTAACATTTTATTCTTAATTGCAATTATCTGTTATTCTGTTAAGCCGGTGATTGTGTTGAGTTCTGATATACTTAATATCCCACTGGAAGGGTGAATAATTATATACATTGTTGTTTAGGACCATTGTACCAAGAGACAATATCTACACATTTATTGAAACATTGTTGAACAAATAATTAAATTGTGACTTTAATATAAGCTTCTGGGCCCTTGTTTAAAATAACTGTTGTTTGTTGTTTAATGCCGCACTCAGAAATATTCCAGCTATATGACGGCAGTCTGTTAAATAATCGAGTCTGGACCAGACAATCCAGTGATTGACATCATGAGCATCAATCCAAGCAATTGGGATCGATGACACGTATCAACCAAGTCAGCGAACTTGACCACCCGATCCCATTGACCTGTATGTCACACAATGTGTTGTACAAAAGTATTGTAAAAATAAATATTGTTATAATACTGAAAACAATAAGCATAAATATGATAATACTTATCATGATTTTTCATTAAATGATAACGGTAATAAAACGGATCAGATTCGGTAATGAATGAAAATGCGATGATGTTGAATACATATATATTATCATTATTATTACTATGATGATGATGGTGAATGTTTTCCGTCGGAGATAGTGACACTAATATCCAACCCGAGTCACAGAAGCGATTTTTTAGATCTACCATTATCATTCAATGAATAAGATATGAGTAATCATGTTAAGAGGCCACAACTCTCACCTGCACACAGCTGCATCGCCGAAGCCACCTTGCCGACCACGGGGGTGATGACGTCCCTGACACACACCGACATCACCCCCGTCATGGAGACAAGCAGCCCCAGACCGCACCCCACGCCCACCGCGACGGTCGCAATCTGCCAAAACACGCTCGGTATATCCCAGAAAGTTGTATATCTACCGCACTCGCGCACGATCACCAAGTGACCATCGTCGTCTAATTTAGGATAGTTGCATCTTCGAAATACTCCAAAATATATGGGTGTGGAATCACTGAAGGCTCCATGTAGCCAGTAAGGCATATAGAATCCAACACTTGCTGCCACTGTTGCAAGAAGAGACAGAACTGCCCAGAATATACCCACACACGACAAACCGGATAATTTTGACATGGCTAATTCGTAAAATTCGTTTGGCGATATCTTAGATGTTTTGCTCCGTTGTCTGACTGCCAAGCCCCGCTTTCAGTAAGCAGATAGGAATTCTAAGCACTCAGGGATGTGACTTTTCCCACATTACGAACAGAGTGCGAATATTTGAAAATCGGTCAGAAAAACGGGAACATTTCACACTCAGTTGTACTGCCTGTCGCAACGTCTTGAAGAAATTCCTTGGCAATTTTCCGGAATGACAAAAAGGTGTATGGAGGCGATTTTCCAGCCAAAAAAAAAACTTGTTCTTCCAATTGAAAGAATTCCAACCACAAGAAAGATGCCTTTATGACGCTCACACGCGTCCGTCCTCTGCGACAACGGAATAGCCAAACACTATATATTACCGTTATGCTCTCTGTCCGATGACTCGCTGGCTGCTGTTGTCAAAACGTGCGGGGTCCTCTTTGCGCATGCACATCGTAATTCCAATGCAAAATGTAAATATCGAGAAGATAAATCTATCCAAAATCAGCTTGTCCTTCAGAATAACTGTCAACTGACACAGCAGGGAGAAAAGCGTGACCGTGCGATAGGTCGTTGTGTCGCTCTGCATACAAACAGCACAACCACCGGTGTTTCGCTGCCGCTACTCATTCACTTTGCTGGCCCCAATCGAGCATAAAACAACCGCATCGAGGAAGGAGGTTAAGCTATTGACCAATCACAACGCTTTATCTATTAATAAATCAGTTTGTAAACAAACACACGTGGAGCAAGCATCTCGCCCGGCTTGTCCAAAATGTACTTTGTGCAGTTAGTTTGTGATGGTATGAATTATTAACTTTTCTTGCAAATCAGATATCTCCATTACGACTTTTTTAAAGACACATGTTTTATATCAACGATATATGTGATATTTTGAAGACAATGTTTTCTAATACAAAAGCACCAATAATCAACGCCCTATTGAACCATGCACAAACTTCACACCTATTCCGCGTATAACAAGAACGTATGAATAACAACTCCTTTTCAAAATTGTAGGGATTATACAGAAGTTGGTGATGGAGGTGGGTCTGTCACTGGATGGTGTTTTTTTTATAAGTTGTTGCAGTTCATGCTCGAGAAAGATAATAATATAGCCTCAGGTTTTTGCACACAAAAATGACAATGCATTGCGGGTCCAAAGCAATTGTTTACAGAAAGAAATGTATGTCAGGAAGCAATGACAGGAAATTTACAAGCTTAGAACACACACTCATAACCCCCCCCCCCCCCCCCCCCCCCCCCCCACAGACACACACAAACACCACAACCCCCACCCGCACCCCCCACCCCCACCCCACCCACCCCAATGGTGACGACAAACCTGTCGGGTGAGGTGGGTCGGGTTGCAGATAGCACCAGGCTGGGGGTGTCATAAAACGGTCGCATTTACATGTGTAATTGCCCATAACTATGTCATTAGTGAAGCGGGGGTACTTCATTAATTATACATTCTGTCTGTACTGCGGACATTGATAGCTTCTTGCATGGCATTATTGCTGTGCTTGCATATTTAAAATGTGGTATTACTTTGGAAGCATTGAGCAAGTCTTTCCTCCCTGAATTGGATGTTGGAACAGTATTTCGTACGGATATTTGTAGTTTGGAATGCTACCATTATGTATATAGTGAGTGAAATGGGTTTAACGCCACCCTGAACCGTATTTCAGTTATATCACCATGTGTTAGCTTTATGGAGGGAATCCCGACGTTTTGCAGGTCTCAGACGTTTACCACTTACGTTACGCACTCCAATGATCAGCGATCCAATCGATCAATATGTACGATTTACTTCAACGCTCAAAGAAACAGAACCTCGAGGACTTCAAATTTAACCTGTATTAGTCTTGTTGTAAGATGCGACTAAGAGGGCCAGGCGATCAGCTAATCGGTTGATTGTGTGTCATCGTATCCATCTTGACTAAGCTCATGTTTGTTTGTTTAACGGCGCTCTTAGCCATATTCAAGCAATATGACGGGGATCTGTAAATAATCGAGTCTGGACCAGACAATCCTGTGATTGACATTGTGATCATCGATCTACGCAAGCCTGACCATCCGATCCCATTAGTCGCCTCTTACGACAAGCATGGGTTGCTGAAGAAAATTCTAATCCAGATCTTCACGGGTCTCGATGCTAACGATTATTATTCGATGATTTACAGCTTTTATATCCACCATTATCATTCAATGAATAGACCTGTGAAGATCCAGGGTACAATAGGTCTTCAGCAACCCATGCGTGACCTAAAAGGCGACTATGCTTGTACACATGGAACACATGTAACCGACACCCTGTACCACCCATCCGTATACAGCCCACACCCCGTACCACCCACCGGTATACAGTCCACACCCTGTACCACCCACCTGTATACAGCCCACACCCTGTACCACCCATCAGTATACAACCCACACCCTGTACCACCCATCCGTATACAACCCACACCCTGTACCACCCACCCGTACCACCCACCCGTATACAGCCCACACCCTGTACCACCCACCCGTATACAACCCACACCCTGTACCACCCATCCGTATACAACCCACACCCTGTACCACCCACCCGTATACAGCCCACTCCCTGTACCACCAACCCGTATACAGTCCACACCCTGTACCACCCACCTGTATACAACCCACACCCTGTACCACCCAGCCGTATACAGCCCACACCCTGTTACATCCGGGGCGGTCGGGTAGCCTAGTGGTTAAAGCGTTCGCTCGTCACGCCGAAGACCCGGATTCGATTCCCGACATAGGTACAATGTGTGAAGCATATTTCTGGTGTCCCCCGCCGTGATATTGCTGGAATATTGCTAAAAGCGGCGTAAAATCAAACTCACTCACTCACTCACTGTACCACCTACCTGTATACAACCCACTCCCTGTACTAAGAAGCCACCCATCCGTATACAGCCCCCACAGTGTACCACCAACCCGTATACAACCCACACCCTGTACCACCCACCCGTATACAGCCCACACCCTGCACCAACCACCCGTATACAGCCCACTCCCTGTACTAAGAAGCCACCCAGCCGTATACAGCCCCCACAGTGTACCACACACCCGTATACAGCCCACACCCTGTACCACCCAGCCGTATACAGCCCACACCCTGTACCACCCAGCCGTATACAGCCCCCACAGTGTACCACACACCCGTATACAGCCCCCACAGTGTACCACCCAGCCGTATACAGCCCACACCCTGTACCACCCAGCCGTATACAGCCCACACCCTGTACCACCCACCCGTATACAGCCCACTCCCTGTACTAAGAAGCCACCCAGCCGTATACAGCCCCCACAGTGTACCACCCACCCGTATACAGCCCCCACCCTGTACCACCCACCCGTATACAGCCCACACCCTGTACTAAGAAGCCACCCAGCCGTATACAGCCCCCACCCCGTACCACCCACCCGTATATAGCCCCCACCCTGTACCACCCACCCGTATACAGCCCACACCCTGTACCACCCAGCCGTATACAGCCCACACCCTGCACCAACCACCCGTATACAGCCCACTCCCTGTACTAAGAAGCCACCCAGCCGTATACAGCCCCCACAGTGTACCACACACCCGTATACAGCCCCCACCCTGTACCACCCACCCGTATACAGCCCACTCCCTGTACTAAGAAGCCACCCAGCCGTATACAGCCCCCACCCCGTACCACCCACCCGAATATAGCCCCCACCCTGTACCACCCACCCGTATACAGCCCACACCCTGTTATCCACCCGCATCCAGCCCACACCCTACACCACCCACCCGTATACAGCCCACCCCCTCTACTACGAAGCCACCCACCCGCATGCAATAGCCACAAATCCTGTGCACACTGACTCAACTGAGCGGCGATGTCATTCGGAGACTCTTTATATGTAGATAACACTGCTTGATATGTGTTTTTTATTTAGAAAATAAAGTTTCTTAAGATGACATATGTGTTTGGTTGTTATTCAATACAGTTTATTCACTTAATAATAGAGTTTACTTTAATAAAAACAAGACATGTAAAACAATACCAATTTCAATTGCGTGCTTTGGGCAGAACAATTACGTGCCCACTGCGAGAAATGAGCAAGCTGGTCAATTTGTGAAATATTTGGAGAATTATTTCTCATTCACAACTATTGCCCACTGCATGCAATGAGCAGATGATTGTGTGCACATTGGGTGCATTGGACAAGCTGTATTGCCCATTGCACGCGAATGGGCAGTTGCACAAATTGGGTGTAGCACATATATCATGTTGATTTCTTCAGAAATTACGCAGAGCACGTGCATATATTATGTTGTGTATTTCAGTAATTACTCTTGGTATGTGTACATAGACTCTTGGTATGTGTACATAGACTCTTGGTATGTGTACATAGACTCTTGGTATGTGCACATATCATGTTGATAACTTAATAAATTCGGCACGTCGCCATTAGCATGTTCGACGAAGCCCTTCATCCCTGTGATGGAGATTCCACTGAACAAGGAAGGGAAAGAGCCTTGCACGTCCCTCTATCGCTGAGGAATGCAGAAATTGCCGCATTATCTCCCCTGCACCACTGCTGGCGTTTCAGTCATCGGGCTGCCACTGAATGGGGTCTGTCCCACATTCCTGTGAGGGGGTCAGTCTGTCACAGCGGAGATATACAAACACATTTGCACCTTGTTGTTGATATCAAATACATTAAAACCCCATCCATCACAGATTCTCCTGCCAGGTGTGGTGTTGTGTGTGGTGTGGTGTGGTGTGGTGTGGTGTTGTGTGGTGTGGTGTGGTGTTGTGTGGTGTGGGGAAGTGAAGTGAAGCGGTGTGGTGTGGTGTGTTGTGATGTAATGTGAGGTGATGTGGTGTGATGTATGGTGTAGTGTATTGTTATCTGGTATGGTGTTGAGTGGTGTGGTGTTGTGTGATGTGATGTGTGGTGTTGTGTATTGTGATGTGTGGTGTGATGTTTGGTGTAGTGTATTGTGATGTGGTATGGTGTTGTGTATGGTGTAACGTATATGTGTGGTGTGGGGAAGTGAAGTGAAGTGGTGTGGTGTGTGTGTGTGTGTGTGTGTGTGTGTGTGTGTGGTGTGGTGTGGTGTGGTGTGGTGTGGTGTGGTGTGGTGTGGTGTGAAGTGGTGTTGTGTAAGGTGTAATGTATATGTGTGGTGTAGGGAAGTGAAGTGAAGTGGTGTGTGTGTGTGTGTGTGTGTGTGTGTGGTGTGGTGTGGTGTGGTGTGGTGTGTGTGTGTGTGTGTGGTGTGGTGTGGTGTGGTGTGGTGAGGTGAGGTGTGGTGTGGTGTGGTGTGGTGTGGTGTGGTGTGTGTGGTGTGGTGAGGTGAGGTGTGGTGTGGTGTGTGTGTGTGGTGTGGTGTGGTGTGGTGTGGTGTGGTGTGATGTGGTGTGGTGTGGTGTGGTGTGGTGTGTGTGTGTGGTGTGGTGTGGTGTGGTGTGGTGTGTGGTGTGGTGTGGGGTGTGTGGTGTGGTGTGGTGTGGTGTGATGTGGTGTGGTGTGGTGTGGTGTGATAATCCGACATGCATAAACATACATTACATTTACGTGATGCCTTTCGTTTAGCAACCATCACAGTGAACATGCCACACACACACACACACACACACACACACACACACACACACACCGAGGAATTGTTAAAACGAACAGGAGGCCAGGTTTTCGTATTCAAATGACGTCAAACGTTTCCATTAACTTTGCACATTGTTGTGACGGGAGTCTAGAGGTTCTCTTTCTGGGACTCCACGATCCAAACACATCGTTCCTTGCAGGACGAGATCAGACAATTCAGTGAGTAACATCATGAGCATCGATCTACGCAATTGGGACACAATGACATCCAACCAAGTCAGCGAGCCTGACCCGTGACCTACCCGTCCCGTTAGTCGCTCCCACGACAAGCACAGTCGCTTTTTACACGGCGAGTATGGGTTGTTGAAGACCTATTCCACCCCGGATCTTCACAGGTGTCCTTGCAGGAACGTATCCTGACAGCATAAGGTGATTCTGACATGACCTGGCATAACGGGTCGGAAATAGATGCATGCTGGGATATGACCCGGATGTGGAGTTATTGTGTCTGCCCACGACCAAATGCAGTGTGTATTGAATCGCTGTGTTTGTCTCGTATGCTGTGCTGGGTGTTAAACAAAAAGCACAACGTAAATCTAAGAGCTGAAGTGAGGAAAGGTGTGCTGTGCTGTGCTGTGTTGTGTTGTGTTAACAGAGTCTATGGCATACATGCTAAAAGGTATGTTCATATACGTCAATTATCTATCTGAATATATATTTACAACTGGCTCGCTTAACTTCCGGGTTTATTTTCATATTAGATGATAAAAGTATTAAACAAGCTTAATATTTGCCTTTACTAACATATTAACATCCACTAAAGTTGTCACTTTGCCGGTTAAAGCGAGTGTATAAAATACACATTCAAATCAAATCAAATACACGACAAATATGTCGCAATATCAGTGCACAGCGCAATGTAATACACACCATTGTTTAGTCAATCTTATCAAATTCGTATCTTTGACTCTAGGAGGAGGTAACAAATCGGAACAAAAGCTGATTATAATGTGATGGTTCAATGAAGACGGGGGGTAAGAAATGAATTGTCAAACAAATGACAACTACCATGTTTGAAATGTTGTATATTTGTGACGAAACAAAAAAATATTGATATTGTTTTCAAAGACAACAAGTCAATCATCAACAGTTGTGCATTATGCGGTTTGATTTTAATTTTTACAAGTTTCAAATCAAATTATATTTTAAATATTAAACCATATAGTAGTATTCTTCGAGTGCTGACTAAGGCCAGTACAGTTCCATTTTTATATGATATCGCTCACTTATAATTTCAATTGAAAATGAAACATATGATAAAATCTACTAAGGAATAGTTTCTTTTGCTTCTCAGTCGTTTGGAGAGCGGAAGGTTGGGGGTTCGGTCGCGTCATACCAAAAGACGTTTTAAGATGGTATATGTTGTTACAAGGACTGGTCGGCACGGAGTCAGTACGCCGTGTCTGAGTGGGGTATTCGTGTTAAACTGCGGCATGGTATCTCAGTGGGCTAGCACTTTTATATCGTCATAATTCCGGACTCTGCTTGTCAACTTGAAAGAGGAAAACCCGAAGTAAGGCAGCTTTAAGACAAAGGAGAATGAAGAATGATCAACTCTTATTTCCGTATGGTGATATAAGATGTAAGCCTGATAAAATAGTTTTGAAAGCGGTCAAATAGGCAAACATGCAATTGATTAATATCTGTGTGCAAACCAGCACGGTGTACATGACACACAATTTAAATACACTCATACAGTTATATTCGCCGAGAATAGCTGCAACCTTATTGATGCGGCGGAAAACAATATACACTCACTCATACAGTTAGGAGATGCACCTCCCTACCCAAACACCGGCCTGACAGTACATGACACAACCAGCTGTTCTGTAACAAATCTACATAACACTTTTAACACCTAACCGCCAAAGTTTGTTTCCGTTAAGAAAGTAGGTAATGGATTGCATACTTATTTAAACATTTGAGGAGAGCAATACTATTCATTACTAGATGTTTCCTTTGTTTGAAACTGGGGATTGACTATCTGAATTCACTTACTGAATTGTTAGTTCAGAAAAAACAGATGCCAATCATCGTACATATGTATTATTTACAGTCAAACACCGTTATATCGAACTATGATGTGTCGAACTTACTCAGTGGGCTAGCACTATAAAATTGGCACCAGTCCGGACTAGCATTTTTCAACATTTTAGATTATTTACACCCATATAAGTAAACATTGGTTTTTCTAATACTTACAGTTGAATGGTATAACAGTCATGTATAGATGCTGCTGATTTATTATGCACGCGTTCAAATATCTCCTCACACATACTGTACATTACATAAATTTAGTGAGGTGAGGTGAAATTGGGTTTAACGTCGCGTCCAAGATTATTGCACTTATATAGCGATGTGCATGCACGTGTGTGTGGCTTCTTGTACTAGTCCGGACTGATGCCGATTTATAGTGCTAGCACACTGAGATACCATGCCGCAGTTTAACATGAATACTCAACTCAGACACAGTATACTGACTCCGAGCCGACCAGTCCTTGTTTTAGCCCCTTTATGCCGAGCGCCAGACAGACAACAAGAACCATCTTTTAACGTCTTTTGGTATGACGCGGCCTGGGATCGAACCCCGGACCTTCCGCTCTCCGGGCGGACGCTATACCACTAGACCACGGAGGCGGTTATAAATTTAGTGACAAACATGTTTACTAATAGTTAGGTTAGGTTATTTTGAAACATGAATCATGACAGTAAAAAAGTATACGTTGGCAGACAGGGCGCAACCTGAAATTCACACCTGACTGCATGTCTACTGACATGGGAAGTCAATGGCGCGACATGCAATGTACAAGCAAGGTGATATTGACATGACACGTTCTGCCCACACACGTAATGCGAGTCAGCTGTACTATAGCAAACTGTTGAATTTACTGATAGTTTTGCTGCCGCTCAGGATATTATAATTCAGCACATCTAACACCGATTCAGTTGCAGCTAGACACAGTTGATGTCCATTCTGCTACTGCTTTCGCGACGGCTACCACTGCATTCACACCGGCCAGCCATCAATGAGTAATATTAGTATTCCTGACAGTATATCCATTCAGTTACAGCAGTGATGTCTACACGCACGCGTTCCTTATAAACTATTTTATTTCCTGCAATCTTATCATCCTGAAATACCATGAAATAATGCATGCTCCATGAAAACATAATTTTTGCTTAACAGCTTTACTTATTGAGGGTGCAAATGACTTTTATGAACAGACCCGTGAAGATCCGGGGTAGAAAAGGTCTTCAGCAACCAACACTTACCGTAAAAGGCGATTATGCTTGTCCAGGCGACTAACGGGATCGGGTGGTCAGGTTCGCTGACGTGGTAGATACATGTCATCGTATCCCAATTGCGTGGATCGATGCTACTGATGTCGATCACTGGATTATCTGGTCCAGACTCGATTATTTAAAGACCGCCGTCATACAGCTGGAAAATTGCTGAGTGAGGCGTTAAACAAGAAACAAACAAACAAACAAACTTTTATGAACAAAATCGAAACATGCAAAACATGTCCCATACACTGACTCTCATCGTCCGTGGGCTCCCAACGCCGAAGAACCCCCATACCCAACCTTGTTGCAAGAGCCCATTATTGAGGATCGGGTGGTTACAATGGCAGATTGTGTGTCATCTTACCCGATCGTTGCTGCTGTTATCGCCCTCTGGATTGCCTTGTCCAGCCCGATTATTTATAGGCCCCCGTGATGCAAGTTGGCTAGCATCAGCGTAAAACAACACTCACTCACATGATAAGAATTTGTGGAAGTCGAGTACAGATGAGGATGGGGATGAGTTATGGTGTCAGTGTCAAGCAGATGGTCTCGACTGTGTCCAGGATTTCAGTTATATCACTGCTTGTCGGATGTAAGCCTGGGATACAAGGGATCCTGATAATTTTGAAGATTAAGAAACTTTTTTGGAAGGGGTCATATTGACATATATGCATTAAATCAATGTCGTGTTTTTGTCCAACTAACACAGTGTACATGAAACACAAAACAGTTAAATGCACTCTATATACAAATAGCTGCAACATTGATGATGCGGCGGAAAGCAATATTCACTCACTCTCACAGTTAGGAGGCGCCTACCTACCCTAACACTGTCGTAACAGTGCATTGCTCAAACCGGCTGTTCTGTAACACAAATAACAAACATGTTTAAAATTTAACTGATTTGTGCAGCAAAGTAGACGACTTCGGCTACAGGAACAGTATCTGTGGAATTAAGATACTGACAAAGATATTTACTGGCATCAATAAATACTTCTTTTACAAAACAGCTACATGTGGTGAATGATAAATATGCTCAAGTTGGCCCTAAAATATTTATACTTGATCAAACAGCTTTACACACATTTATTGAAAATATATGGTCGTTTAAACATTTTAGGCTCTCGGTGTTCATTGCAGTGGAGCTACACCAGTCGATGACTAACTAACCATTACAGCCAGTAGACACCGAGGCCTATACAAATAATGTATACATAGAGTCATGTCCCCACCACAACCACGTCAATGATCACAATGAAAACCCGATTAAAAAACCTATACAACTGCAAAGCAAAATCGAAAGTAGACGAATTTCCCACCATTGCTTTCAACATGACGTCAGACATATTCTGAGTAATATCGCCAGTTCTCGGAAACTGCAATCGTTATTGTGAAGGGAGAGTGGTCGGCTTGGCAGGTTCATTCTCTGCGATAAGACTAAACATTGCAGGTAGGTACTTTCACGTGTCCACATAATACATGTACACTCCTTGTCTGAACGGTTCATTTCACCTTCATTTGTTTGATAGGCATTACTTAGAAGTCGACGGATGACAAGGTAGACACAACTTTATGGATAACAACTTCTTTAATACTGTAAAAAGATTCGTTTCGTATAGATCCTTATACCGTTGTCAAGCAAAGCAAACTTGTGTCTACCTTGTCATTTCACATTAGCTTTGTTAGAATAGTATTGAGTATTACCTACTGTAAACTGAGTTAGTGGTGGTGCTACAATTTTCGCGAATACCTGGTGCAATCTCTGATTTTCAGCGGGGGCACGGGTCGCCCAGTCGTCTAAGGCGCCGCGATTCGCTGTGCAGAGTTGCGTCCCCTGGGCACGCCAGATACCTATGATTGTGGGTTCGAATCCCGGTTCGCCCCTATTATGTTTCTAGTTTTGTCAGCACCATACCCGTGCTCGTGGGTTTCACCGAAGTGGTAAACGTCTGAGACCTGCGTCACTTCTGGCTTTACTCCCACATTAAGCTGACACGCCGTGATATGACTGGAATACTGTTAAAAGCGGCGTTAAACCCAACTCACCCACTCACTCTGATTTTCAGCAATCCATTTATATATTCACCGCTAATTTGCTTTTCACGTCTAATGGAATTTGGCTATTCCTTCAATCAGGGTCTCCTCAGTCAGTTTTCGTTCTGTTCATGGTGCCTATTAATTAGCACCATACAGTAAGGTGATCCGTGCGCTGGTGGTATCGACCTAGCACTGTGCTGTGTTGTATGCATGTTACACTAACGCCCAGACTCTGTAAATATATAATATTGATAGCAAAAAATAACTCCATTTAATTTGAAAAGGCGTCCAATTTTGTTGGAAAGTCTAGACTGGCTTCACTTAGGGCTTCTGCATAACAGAAAGGGATGGGCTGAAGGGGGAAAAATGTGCTCCAGGGACTGTGAGACAGTCTATATGCATGCCAGCAGTTATGGCATATACACTGCGTGTGTAGATAATAGACATGAATACATGGCGTTTCGATTCAGTGCTCGTTCTGTTCACTCACAATGCATTCTGTCCTTGTCTAGCAGATTGTCAAGGAGGCTGTTTACAAACACTGTAAGTTATTTATACTGAATGCTTACATTGAACATAATGAAACTAGAGCTGAGGCAACGTGATACTGATGTGTGTTATTTCTGAACAAGGCCGATTATATAATAAACTGGTTGTTGTTATGAGCTTTATGCACACCCAATACTGTTCCAATAAGTAGTTAGAATATTTTATTCTTTGCTGACATATGATTGTTTACCCTGTTGGGTTTCGTGAACTTCATTTGGATGTATTTAAAAAAATGTAGTTGCTTTTATTATTTTAGAATGACTGGATAATCCAAAGCTATGTACAGGCGTTCCTCATCACCGGATACTCTGTTTCCCTCAGAGTAAGTTGGTTTGTTTGTTTGTTGGTTGGTTGGTTTCTTGTTCAACGCCTCACTCAGCAGTATTCCAGCTTTATGACGGCGGTCTGTAAATAATCGAGTCTGGACAAGACAATCCAGTGATTAATATCACCACGCAATTGGGATACGATGACATGCATCAACCAAGTCAGCGAGCCTGACCATCGGATCCCGTTAGTCGCCTTTTACGACAAGCATAGTCGCCTTTTACGGTAAGCATGGGTTGCTGAAGACCTATTCTACCCCGGAATCTTCACGGGGAGTTCAGAGTAAGAGTCAATTCATCATTTTGTAAGCACTACAAGAGACTTAATAAAATCCTTTATTGTCGTTTATTGTCGTATTATAAACTTGACATAAAATGCTATTTCAAAAGGACCCTATCAACATGTAATATATTGTCATTTTAAGTGCTGAATGTTTATATGTAACGAAACTGATTGTAAAATGTATCAATTCAATTTAGATATATAGTGCCAAAATTGACTAATATATGATCTTTCAAACTCTCTGCTAGAAGTTACGAGCATAGAGACAGCGTAGAACACAAACATCGGCACAGTCGGAGTGGAGGGTTAGCTCTAGGACGAGATGACGGCGGTGGATTCCAGGGAAGATCTCAGGAAGAAAGGGGAAGAGGGGGATTCAGAGCATGGGCGACAGACAGACCAATCAGTGGTGAACAAAGAGCATGGCGAGGAGGAAGAGGTAGAGGTGGATACTATGACGGCAGAGGTAGAGGACACAACAGAGGGGGTTTTAGAGGAAGAGGAACATATGTAGATAGAGGGCATCACAGAGAGGGTCATAGAGGACGAGGCAGAGGACGAGGAGGCGGTGGACGTGGCCTGAACTTGACCCAACTTGAAGAACTCAAGGAAAAGGACCCATCAATTATTGTAATGACACTTGGATTGGATCAAGGAATTGGCATTTTCTTGAAACGGCAATCCCTTAATCAACGTGAAGTGTATACTATTGCGAGTCTCATAGCAAAGGCATGTCGTTGCACAACTGCCCCGGGAAGTTTCAACAGGATTCTACTGACTATTCAAGAGTCTAAGTTTTATGAACATGTTTCAAGTGTTTTGGAAAGCTTTGACCTGTTTTCGTTATGTGAAGCTGAAGGAAGAAACTTAATCAGAGACCTGACAATATTCATGAAAGAACTCTATGTTCGTCTACCTCATTCTGCCATGGAAATGAAGGTACTTGGTTTGGAAAGTCTCTTGACAACTGCCATTCACAAATTGCAAAGAACATCTGACATCATTGATCAGGACATTTTGTCAAACATCAAGGAACTCCAGGAACTGAAGATTACTGTGCTTGATCATGAAAGGACTAGGCGGACAGAGAGGGATGAACACAAAGAGGGAGTCCCGCCTGATGATTTCAGACATGTATCTATTTTCCCAAGTGCTGATGATATCCATCCCAATGAGAAACCATTCCTCAGAAAGAACAAATCTGTGGGTGGCTACAGGGATCTGGACCATTATCTGGATGTCCAATTCCGACTTCTGAGGGAGGATTTCATTTGTCCTCTGAGAGAAGGCATAGAAGCTTACCTTGTAGCAGAAGGTCCTGGCAAGCGTGGGCAGCGATTGAAGGATATCAGAGTATATCAAGATGTGCACATTGTCAGGACATTATGCTCAAACAATGGCCTACTTCACAGATTATCTTTTGATGTCAGCAATCTTCAACGTGTGAGGTGGGAAAATACGAAGAGACTCATTTATGGATCCTTAGTATGTCTTTCAACGGATAATTTTGATACACTGCTGTTTGCCACCATTACAGAGCGAGATCCTATATTACTGAAAAAGGGGTATGTTGATGTCCTTTTTGAAGAGTCTGAAGACCTTGACGAGAGACAGTTTGACACAAATTTTGTCATGGTGGAAACGACGGCATTCTTTGAAGCTTATCGCCATGTGCTACGGGGATTACAGAAAATTCAGAAGGGAGAACTGCCTTTTGAAAGGTACATCGTTGCATGTAAAAATGATGTCAAGCCTCCAAGGTATCTCCAAGAAACATTAGAAATTGATGGAAGATCACCTAAGTTTGATTTGCGCCCACTGATAGATGACGTCATTGAGTTGAGAGAAGATAAAAATCTTCTGACTCAACGACGTGAAGTTAGCTATTTCTTCAGTCTTGGTTCACAATGTGCAAAAAGGGTTCATGTCTTGGACAACATTGATTGGCCTTCTCCAGAGATACTCCATGTTGATAATTCACAGTTCCAAGCCCTGAAAACAGCTTTGACAAAGGAGTTTTCCATCATTCAAGGCCCACCTGGAACTGGAAAGACTTACGTTGGGTTGAAAATTGTCAAGGCTCTGCTTCATAATGACCAGATGTGGAAAAAGCAGCATCGTGCACCGATGTTGATCGTGTGTTACACAAATCATGCCTTGGACCAGTTCCTAGAGGGAATTATTGGTTTCTACAAGGGCAGTGTCATCAGAGTTGGCAGCAGAATTTCAAATGAGCAGCTTGAAAGATGCTCATTGAGAGCCCATAGACAAAGTGCCAGGAAGGACAGGGACAAAGATCGAGATATGAGAAATGTTGGTAAAAGGCGATGGGAGACAAAACACAGAATGCTTGACCTTCAGTATCAAATTGAAGACACTGGAATGAAATTGGAAGATGCTGAAAAAACAGTTATGCATGAAGATGTATTGAAGCCATATATGCATAAAGGACATTATGACACTCTATTAGCAATAATGAAGAGATTGCATAGACAGCAACAACTTGAATGCCAAATGGATTTACCATTTCCCAGATCATTCATTGTAGAATGGCTTGGGGTGGGAAGCATGGAAGAGACAATTGAAACGTTTGGAGATGAGGGCCAAGGTGCATTTCAACAGGAAGAAGATGACAAAGAAGATATGGAGATCGATATTCAAGAAGAGGCAGAGGTGGTACAAGCACAGCGTAAAATTTACGACTTGGATACAGATGACATCTCCAATGAATTTGAAATGAAACAACAGCAGATCAAAGGCCTTCAGAATCAAAGGTATAAATATGTGGCTTTTGATGTTGCGACATTTGACACAAACCCAATGCTTGCATTGAACACTACAGGGTTTCAATTCACAAAAAAGGCAAGAAAAAACATTAAGCGAAGAATGCTGAAGCAGCTGAAATCCACACAGAGAATGCGTGACATGGCAGCATTACGTGTGAGAGACCCATGGAGGCTAAAAATGGAGGACAGATGGAAGCTTTACCGAAACTGGGTGTACAAATTTTGTAAAAAGTTGCAAAAGGATATACGCACAACAGAACAGAGCTACAGAGAAGCTGTTGCCGAATACAAAGAGCTGCAAGTGAATGAAGACATGCAGATATTACGAGAAGCTACAGTCATTGGCATGACAACTACAGCAGCAGCAAGGTATCAGCAGGCTCTTGCAGAGATTGGTCCACGTATCATCGTGGTAGAAGAAGCAGCTGAGGTTCTTGAAGGACACATCATCACCACGTTAAGCAAGAAGTGTGAACACCTGATACTCATTGGAGACCACAAACAACTGAAGCCAAACCCAACAGTCTATAAACTGGCAAAACAGTTTAATCTAGATTTGTCATTGTTTGAAAGAATGATTGATAATGGAATTCACTGTGACACTCTCGCCCTTCAGCACAGAATGAGGCCAGAAATATCCACAGTGATGCGTCACATATATCCAAAACTGCAGGATCACCCATCTGTATTTGACTATGAGAAAGTGAAGGGGATTTCTGCCAACATGTTCTTCATAGAACACAGCAGCCAAGAGGAACATGATATGGATATGATGAGTCATTCTAATACATATGAGGCAACATACATAGTCGCTCTCTGCAGTTATCTCCTGAAACAAGGGTATGAAAAATCACAAATCACTGTCCTTACAACCTATTCAGGTCAACTGCTTAAATTGAAGAAAATGATGAAACCGGATTTCCAAGGAGTTAGGTTGACCGTCGTTGACAATTACCAAGGAGAAGAGAATGACATAATCCTATTATCTCTTGTGAGAAGCAATGCTGAAGGAAGTGTTGGATTTCTGAAAATAGAGAACCGTATTTGTGTAGCTCTGTCACGAGCAAAGATTGGACTCTTTGTCATTGGCAACTTTGAGCTTCTTTCCCAGCAGAGTTTATTATGGATGGATATCTTGACAGACCTCAAGAAGAACAGTAAAGTGGGCCCAACCTTGAACCTTTATTGCCAGAACCACCCAACAGAAACAGGAATCAGTGTTCAAAGCCCAGATGATTTCAAGAAAGCCCCTGAAGGAGGTTGTCTGAAACCATGTGTATTCAGACTTGAATGTGGCCACGTGTGTGCTCTGCTTTGCCATCCTTATGACCCCCAACACAAGGACTATATTTGTAAGAAGCAATGTTCAAAACAATGCAGCAAAGGTCATCCGTGCTCTCGGTATTGCCATGAAGAATGTGGAAAATGCTATATACGTGTTGAAACAGTCATTCCAAAATGTCAACACAAACAGATGGTTCCTTGCTTCAAGGAACCCAGCGAATTTTCTTGCGAGGCCGAATGTATGAAACTTCTTGATTGTGGACACAGATGTGGAAACCCCTGTGGCATGAGTCATGGGTGCACAGCAAAGGTTAAGAAGACATTCAGATGTGGTCACATAGGAGATGTCCTTTGTGCAAGGAAGTTATCAGCACAGTGTGAAGCCAAATGTAGTGAACCTCTGAAATGTGGGCATAAATGTGAAGGTGATTGTACAAGATGTCACGAGGGAAGGCTGCATGTACCATGTCGCAAGATGTGTAAAGAGACTCTTATATGTGGACATCCATGTGGATCTCGATGTTCCGATTGTCCTCAGTGCAGAACAGCATGTGCAAACCGCTGTCAGCACACCAAGTGCCGCAAATATTGCAATGAGACGTGTGATCCATGCAGTCAACCTTGTGGATGGCAATGTGAGCATCACAGATGTACACTGCCGTGCAGTGAGCCCTGTGACAGACCACCCTGCAATGAGCCATGTAAGAAGAAACTACCTTGTAAACACCCATGCATTGGCCTTTGTGGTGAACCATGCCCCAAGCAATGCGGAATTTGCAACGAAGTTGAAGTCAATCAAATAAATCCAAAACCGGGTGCAAGATTTGTTTTCCTTGAGGACTGTGGCCACATTGAAGAAGTGTCAAAACTTGACCACTACATGAAATCAAAGTCAGAGGAGATCAAACTGAAGTCCTGTCCACATTGTGATACAGTGATCAGGCACAATGTGAGGTATGGGACTATGGTCAAGAAGACTTTGAAGAATATTGAATCTGTTAAAAAGCTCTGTAATGAGAAGAAAGACACGGTTCCAGACATGAAAAACAGTCTTACGATGGCAGTGATGGATGAGGAAGAAAACGAAGAAGATGGTGTGAAAACAATGATGCTCCGTCAAGCATACACGAACTCAGTGGCGGGACTCTCTGCGTTGGAAAACCAGTTTTGCTTTGTGGATGCACTGAAAAAGATTATTGACAAATATCGAATGATACCAGTTATGACTGATCAGGAATCAAGCTCAAAAGAGGCAAATATGTTCTACAAATGGCTGAAAACACCAAGACAAGTCTTCAGCAAACAAGAACAATATGATGCTGAGAATGAACTCCTCAGGCACAAAGCAATTTTGTTATATCTTGACTGCTTTCAGGAAAGACAGGCGACACTGATGCAAGTCTATGTGCCGAAACTAAAAGACATTCTGTTGTCAGGAAAGCCATACACAAAAGAGAAGCAGGACCACGTTAAACTGATATTTCAAAGACTGAGAGAAATCATCCCAAGTAGTAAAGTAGAAGAGATTGAACATGCAACGTTGAAGCTTGTATGCAATGTAGGAGCTGCGTCTGGGAAGTGGTTTTCCTGCTTGAGAGGTGTGTATTTGACCATCTTTATCGATTTACACCCAATCACTGAGACATGATTTGTCAACAAATTGCACTTTTTATCCTTAGTATATAAATTATCAAGGGTACAGTTTCACATTATTTATTCTAAGAATTTCATATGTATCCAATTTTATAAAGGCAACCCGATTCATATCACTGCATTATATTCACATAGGCATTATCATGATTATTTGTTATTTTTGTTATATATTTTTTCAGGTCATGTGTATTCAACTGGAGATGTACAACCGTTTACAACATGTCCAAAATGCAAGGCCAGGGATGCCAAGATACAACGACGAAGGCTTCTGTTGTCTAAACTGAGAAGACAATAAACATCAAGACTCTTCTCTATGTACATGCCTTTCGCCGATGGTGCATCTCAATACACGTATTGGGTAATGACAAGTCTGACAAGTCTGACAATTGGAGAGTGCCATGAGAAAGACTGGAGAAGACTCTTTGCCCTGGTCCATTATTATATATGAACAATGCCTTAACGTGTATGTATGCATGAATGTGTGTGTGTGTGTGTGTGTGTGTGTGTGTGTGTGTGTGTGTGTGTGTGTGTGTGTGTGTGTGTGTGTGTGTGTGCGTGCGTGCGTATTTATGTATTGAACCCATCTAAAATATTATATGTTTCCGTTGCTGGTTTATCTTGGGCCCCTCTGGACTCTCTGTAAGGTGTTACTAGTAAGCAGATATTTGCCAATATCTATGTATAAAATAGGTCGTTGAAAATTTGGAATCACTCATTTGAAAGAACAGTCAAGTAGGCAGTTACTATCATTAACCGCCGTGATATTGCTGGAATATTGCTAAAAGCGGCGTAAAACCATATTCACTCACTCACTCACTACTATCATTAAAATGTTACTTCTATACTTACAGACATATATTTCATTTGCTACAATAACAAGCCTTCAGCAATGAGAATGTTATTGCCTAACTGCTAAATTGTAGATTTGATTTTTCTAATTTACTGATATCTACAATGAGTAAGTTGCATGGAAATCATTGTCATGTAGAAACAAGTATTCAGTGTCGATGAATTTGAACTTTTTTCAAAATGTGTGCAGCATCTTTTCTTTAAATTATGACTTTTAGGATTGCTCGTGATCAAACACTGTATATTTTTTATTGTTAATATGTTTATGCTTTTTTTAATGTGATATGTACACTTAACATTATGTTCAAGCATAAAAATTTGTTTGAAATTAGAACTATTAACATCTTTTTTTATGAATATTGTTCAACTTTATATTATTTAATTTTTCCTGTTCATATTTAATACATATTTATGATATCTAACACGAAATTCATCCTTAATCCCCCCTAATCAGCAGTTTCTACAAAAACTCACCCTAACTTCTCTTTTTTCATATCTACGTCTGAGATTTGTATTGAAATCTCCTAATAACACTGTACATGGAGCTCTGATAAGCGATTTATCATTTAACATACTTTACAGGTTTCAGCAGACTTGATACCATTGTAATGGCTAAGCAAATATCTAGAAAGTTTGATTAAATGAGTCTACGAACTATGTTTTTTCCCTACGTCATGTGGGCCCGTGGAGATCCGAGGTAGAATAGGTCTTCAGCAACCCATGCTTGCCGTGAAAGGCGACTACGCGAAAGGCGATCGGGTGGTCAGGCTATCTGACTTGGTTAATGCATGTCATCGGTCCCAACTGCGTGAATCGATGCTCATGTTGTCAGTCACTGGATTGTCTGGTCAAGACTCGATTATTGACAGACCGCCGTCATATAGCTGGAATATTGCTGAGTGCGGCGTTAAACAACAACCCCCCCCCCCCCCACCCCCCCCACCCCCCACCCCCACCCCTCACCCCCCCCCCCCCCCAAAAAAAAAACAAAAAAACCCCTACGTCTTGTAAACTCGACACAAATGAATAGCCCCGTAAAATATCCACATATGAATAGCCCCATTGTGTCGCAGAGCATTGAGTATAGACAGCGATCAGAATTACAGCTCTACACACACCACAACAAAGATAATGAGCTTATAATGAACTATGGGATATTTGTCTTAAGACATATTGATTTGACGGGTTTCACAAAGTGATAAGATATCTTATCTCTTACCGTTCCGATTTATTTATCCATATTTACAGAGGTACTTGCACAGCTTCTTTCATAGGTTTATCATGTCGTCAATAGTTATATATATATATTCACTATTACTGAAACTGAAGTTATCCGGTTGGTTGTCAATAAATCCAAAAGGCTTTTTCACCTTGGCCACTTATTTTTAATGAAGAGGCATGCCGTTACTTTTTGGACTGCCCTTATTCAATTGTAGGTTGATGCCAAATTTGATTTCCTTCACAAACATGACATGTACGTAAGGTTCTGAAACGGATTGTTGTATTGACTATATAAGGTAGTTAACACTATCGTTTTCACAGACACTCCATTGATGATGAAGTGCAAACAATATAAATTAGAACTTAAATACTTTGTATTATGAAGCTAAAGATCACAATCATGAGACTAGCATGATTTTACGATATCTAGGATCATTCATTTAGATCTTTCTTGCAACAGGGAAGCGATGTCCTGTGTGATAGTACATCCTCAGGAAGAAACAAACCTTCTCAGTTTGGAGCATATGGAAACATAATAATAACCTTGCAACTTTGCAACTTGCATATATTAAGAAATTGTTGCTGAACAATGTTCGTTGTATATTTAGACAGAAGAAACTCAATCTGAAACATTACACATGTTCATTGTTTTAAAGTTAAGCTTTACCATAAAATCCACTTTAGTTGAACCTGCACCTATATAATCAAATAGGACAGTATGTTATGTACATGTAGTGCTACAGAAACTGACACATATTAGATGCCATGTCTATATATTACAAGATTATAAATAATTGCGTTAACCAAAACCTTAATCAATATGTATATCTTGCAAACAAAGTTCTGGTTTTGATACTGTGTTGTTTATGCCCAAAATAAAATTAAGACACACGCATTCATTGAAAAGTTGAGTTGTTTCTTAAAACGGATCTACTAGCAGACCATAGCTCGGTGATGCATGGCATCGTATCCAAATTGGGTAGATCGATGTCATGATATCAATCACTGGATTGTCAGGTCCAAACTAGATTTTTTACAGACCGCCGTCATATAGCTGGAATATTGCTTAGTGTGGCGTTCAACAACAAACAAACAGACCAGAACATCCGGAGTGGCACATAAATCTGGTAATGGTTACCTTTGGCAAGTGTAAGTGCTACATGTATTCAGTCAATACTGTTGCAATGGCTAACAGGCCATAACTGCTGTAGCATGTTTATAGCACAGTGAATATGAACTAATTGAATTTTACTCGTAGCCTTGAGTGAGGGAGACTGAAGATGTATCGCCCGACCAATATCTTGCAACTTTGTGTTATTGTGAAATGTGACAATGCCTATGTTGCAATGTTTAGAATACCTTATCCAGTCAAGTTTCTTTCATTTGATTTCTAATGTCTTGAAAGGTTAAGGCAGAACTTACGGACCCACCAATAATAACCCGAAGGGGTAAGGGGTGGGGGTTGGTGGTGACGATTTTCTTGAAATGGCATATTTTTTCAGTCATTGCTTGACCAACGAACAATTAACGCTTTTATGTAGAATCCGGGGGAAAACTATTTTGTCGAGGTTTTTGTCTGGAACAAGATATCCTAGCTAACGTATTAAAATCGGTTCTCAACCAAATATGGTTTGAAGTAGTTGGGAAGTGTGATCATAACAATCACTGGGTATGACCATGGAGACAGGATCTCATTAGGGTTTGTGAGCATGATCGAATGAGCAATGATGTTCATTTTCTACAGTGTTTAAATCAAGAAACTTACAAATTCTGTGATCTCTTGTTATCCCCATATATCTACATCTGAATCTTGCAAGTGCTATCCGAAATGTTTTAGTGTTTCATCAAATATATATTGCGTTCTACAGAAACTGTTTTTAAATAGGGAATAACTTGACACCTTTGAAATGATCTGCTATATCCATGTCCTGTTCTCTCAATACACAATGATTACCACAACCGCATTAATAAAGCTGAACTGAGGATATCCAGGTAGTCTGTCCCTGTTGATCATAGAGTTATAACATGTTATAATATTTACGTACATGAACAATATATATTTGAAGATCTTCTTTAGTTGACTACAAAATATAGTTTCATATTTGCACCTACCCTCAGTGAAACGGGAATCAGCAGAAGATCGAATCTACAAACAGTACCCGGTGATGGGTAAACAAGACATAAGTGTGTTCATTGTACACGTGTATATGTCATGTAGATACAGTGTTCAATGATAATATCCACTGATTTTTAGCGTTAAAAAAAACCAAATCAAAGAATACATTTTCTTACGAAATACAATTAATATGTATTTGATATGGGTGAACACAATATAGATGCATCTTATTAGCGTTAAAAATCCAAATCAAAGAATACATTTTCTTAAGAAATACAATTAATATGTATTTGATATGGGTGAACACAATATAAATGCATCTTATTCTTTTCATGCGTGGAAGTTTGACATTAACCTGATATGTTTATTACTATTAGAAAAAAAGGAGGACACCAGTGACTTTCACGTAACTATTTGAGAGATCTGACACTTTTTATGCTAACATTAAACATCATTTCATATTTGTAACGATGGATTGATGTCACGTGTAACTTCAAAAGTAATATATACATTTCATCCACAAATCCGACTTTCTACAAATAGTAATGCATGTCGACAATCACCTTCTACCTTTCCAGGTAAGAAGGTCACATGAGCATCAATGCTAACAGAGAACAGTAGACGTAGAATACTGTAAACATGTCTGGGACTGCTTTGAGGTGAAATTGGGTTTAACGTCGCGTCCAAGATTATTGCACTTATATAGCGACGTGCATGTACGTGTGTGTGTTTGTGTGGCTGCTTGTACTAGTCCGGACTGATGCCGATTTATAGTGCTAGCCCACTGAGATACCATGCCGCAGTTTAACATGAATACCCCACTCAGACACAGTATACTGACTCCGAGCCGACCAGTCCTTGTTTTAGCCCCTTAATGCTGAGCGCCAGACAGGGTAACAACAAGTACCATCTTTTAACGTCTTTTGGTATGACGCGGCCGGGGATCGAACCCCGGACCTTCCGCTCTCCGGGCGGACGCTCTACCACTAGACCACGGAGGCGGTCGGGACTGCTTTGAGTTCAAAAGGGAGTAATCTGAGCCTGGAGTGTGTTTTGGGCCTTGCAGATGGGAATGACCTCAGCCTAGGCTGAAAACACTCAAGTGAATTGTTAGGGGGTTGATGTGAGCTGCTACACCAGGTACCACTTCGGACGTTCCTCCCACATATAAGTGATACGCCTTTATGTGACTGAAATACGATTTAACGAGGCTCATTCACTATAATGTCCATTTTAAAAAAAATAACAACAGAAAGTCTGGCCTGGTATTGTTATATATTCGATACGATCACACTTCAAGTTATGTCCGAGATTTATCTTAGTGGGAAGGCCATGCATGTGCTTCAAAGGAGTGAGTGAGTGAGTGAGTATGTTTTACGCCGCTTTTAGCAATATTCCAGCGATATCACGGCGGGGGACACTGCTTCAAAGGAAAACAGTCTGTTCTGTTCATTGCCTTTGTAGTACACAACAGGTAACTGTCGGTGTATGCTGCATCAAGTCTGACATCAGATTTCATGACAACCATCAGTTTGTAACGCTGACTCATTGCCTCAATTGGAAGAATGATTTTGGATGATAAATATGATCTTACCCTCGTGTATCTACCCTCGTGTATCTACCCTCGTGTTTCTACCTTTATGTCAAAAGACACAAAAGACTCTCTGTATGCTACCGAAACAGCCAACAGTTTTTGTTTCTGTTTCTGGGAATACCCCAACTGCATTATGGAATCATATCTGACATGGACACGTAGGCGGTAACATGGAGTGAAACAGAAAATAGGAGTAATCCCAACTGAGGTATGACGTCAGATGAATTCCTAGAAATGTCGCTTAGCCCCTATAACAACACACTCACTTAACGTTTCGTGTGACGAGATACGAGTCGATATGAGCAACAGACACAGCTGTTTCACGTTGCAGGTATGTAGACTAGTAACATGTTGAACTAAATATATCACCTGTATTTATCCTCATCCCAGAAGGCTAGAGTTACATCCTGGTACAGTTAGAGTTGTCAATAAGCTTTTATGTTTTTGAATCTATGAACCAGATTGCATGCAAATGTTACAATCTACAGCGCCATTGCGCGCCTTACTGTGCCTCGAGAGTTCCTCCGTCGCTTTGCCTTGGTATGCCCTTTGATAACTATAACGCCGCAATTGTGAGAGCATAAATTATGGTGTATGGGTTACCATAAGCGGTGCATTGTAATGATTAAGGATCAGGGTTTGTATGAAACAAAGCTATTTCGTGAATTATATTTTTTTGTGTGTTAATGGCATATGCAGTAAAAAGAGAATCTCACCCGAGTGACTTTTGAAAACACGTCAACACGATTCGATACAAGCTTGTCGAGAAATATTAAACATTTATCGACGAGTGTAGATATACTCTTCAAAAAATGAAACGCAATGCGGATCTTGTTGGCCATAAAAGCAAAATTAGGAAACCAAGAGGTGCAAAATGAAAAGGTTGAATGTGTTATCGTCTTAGTGACAAATTTCCCGGATCAAAATGATCACAACAAGGACATGCAAACCATTAGTTGGGAAACACGTACGATTCGGAGAAACGCTCCCAGTGCATTAACAAAAGGGCCATTGAGCTGCACGTGCACTATGCACAGTATTATTGCCTGGCATCTGCGTCAATCGAACAGTGAGAGTTAAACAACATGCCAAGATTAACAGAAGTGCAACGAAACAACGTCATAGGCCGCTTGCAGGCAGGGGAATCCCGATCAGCTATTAACATTTTTTTTATGAAAAATGTTCAACTTCATATTATTTACTTTTCCCTGTTCATATTTAATACATATTCATGATATCTAACACGAAATTCATCCTTAATCCCCCCTAATTAGCAGTTTCTACAAATATTCACCCTAACTTCTCTTTTTTCATATCTACGTCTGAGATTTGTATTGAAATCTCCTAATAACACTCTGAATGTACATGGAGCTCTGATAAGCGATTTATCATTTAACATACTTATACTTTACAGGTTTCAGCATACTTAATACCATTGTAATGGCTAAGGAAATATGAAGAAAGTTTGATTAAATGAGTCTACGAACTATGTTTTATCCCTACGTCATGTGGGCCCGTGGAGATCCGAGGTAGAATAGGTCTTCAGCAACCCATGCTTGCCGTAAAAGGCGACTACGCTTGTCGTAAAAGGATCGGGTGGTCAGGCTATCTGACTTGGTTGATGCATGTCATCGGTCCCAACTGCATGAATCGATGCTCATGTTGTCAATCACTGGATTGTCTGGTCAAGACTCCATTATTGACAGACCGCCGTCATATAGCTGGAATATTGTTGAGTGCGGCGTTAAACAACAAACCAAAACCAAAAAAAACCTACGTCTTGTAAACTCGACACAAATGAATAGCCCCATACAATATCCACATATGAATAGCCCCATTGTGTCGCAGATCACTGAGTATAGACAGCGATCAGAATTCCGGCTCTACACACACCACAACAAAGATAATGAGCCTATGTTGAACTATGGGATATTTGTCTTAAGACATATTGATTTAACGGGTTTCACAAAGTGATAAGATATCTTATCTCTTACCGTTCCGATTTATTTATCCATATTTACAGAGGTACTTGCACAGTTACTTTCTTAGGTTTATCATGTCGTCAATAGTTATATATATATATATATATATATTCATTCACTATTACTGAAACTGAAGTTATCTGATTGGTTGTCAATAAATCCAAAAGGCTTTTTCACCATAGTCACTTATTTTTAATGAAGAGGCATGCCGTTACTTTTTGGACTGCCCTTATTCAATTGTAGATTGATGCCAAATTTGATTTCCTTCACAAACATGACATGTACGTAAGGTTCGAAATGCGTAATCGAAATCTGAAACGTGAAATTGTGTTTCAAAGTACGGATTGTTGTATTGACTATGTAAGGTAGTTAACACCATCGTTCTCACAGACATTCCATTGATGATGAAGTGCAAACAATATCAATTTAGAACTTAAATACTTTGTATTATGAAGCTAAAGATTACAATCATGAGACTAGCATGATTTTACAATATCTAGGATCATTCATTTAGATCTTTCTTGCAACAGGGAAGCGATGTCCTGTGTGATAGTACATCCTCAGGAAGAAACAAACCTTCTCTGTTTGGAGCATATGGAAACATAATAATAACCTTGCAACTTTGCAACTTGCATATATTAAGAAATTGTTGCTGAACAATGTTCGTTGTATATTGAGACAGAGGAAACTCAATCAGAAACATTACACATGTTCATTCTTTTAAAGTTAAGCTTTACCATAAAATCCACTTTAGTTGAACCTGCACCTATATATTCAAATAGGACAGTATGTTATGTACATGTAGTGCTACAGAAACTGACACATCATATTAGATGCCATGTCTATATATTACAAGATTATAAATGATTGCGTTAAACATAACCTTAATCAATATGTATTACTTGCAACCAAAGTTCTGGTTTTGATACTGTGTTGTTTATGCCCAAAATAAAATTAAGACACACGCATTCATTGAAAAGTTGAGTTGTTTCTTAAAACGGATCTACTAGCAGACCATAGCTCGGTGATGCATGGCATCGTATCCAAATTGGGTAGATCGATGTCATGATATCAATCACTGGATTGTCAGGTCCAAACTAGATTTTTTACAGACCGCCGTCATATAGCTGGAATATTGCTTAGTGTGGCGTTCAACAACAAACAAACAGACCAGAACATCCGGAGTGGCACATAAATCTGATGGTAATGGTTACCTTTGGCAAGTGTAAGTGCTACATGTATTCAGTCAATACTGTTGCAATGGCTAACAGGCCATAACTGCTGTAGCATGTTTATAGCACAGTGAATATGAACTAATTGAATTTTACTCGTAGCCTTGAGTGAGGGAGACTGAAGATGTATCGCCCGACCAATATCTTGCGACTTTGTGGTATTGTGAAATGTGACAATGCCTATGTTGCAATGTTTAGAATACCTTATCCAGTCAAGTTTCTTTCATTTGATTTCTAATGTCTTGAAAGGTTAAGGCAGAACTTACGGACCCACCAATAATAACCCGAAGGGGTGAGGGGTAAGGAGTGGGGGTTGGTGGTGACGATTTTCTGAAATGGCATATTTAACGATTCTATGTAGAATCTGGGGGAAAACTATTTTGTCGAGGTTTTTGTCTGGAACAAGATATTCTAGCTAACGTATTAAAATGAATCGGTTCTCAACCAAATATGGTTTGAAGTAGTTGGGAAGTGTGATCACAACAATCACTGGGTATGACCATGGAGACAGGATCTCATTAGGGTTTGTGAGCATGATCGAATGAGCAATGATGTTCATTTTCTACAGTGTTTAAATCAAGAAACTTACAAATTCTGTGATCTCTTGTTATCCCCATATATCTACATCTGAATCTTGCAAGTGCTATCCGAAATGTTTTAGTGTTACATCAAATATATATTGCGTTCTATAGAAACTGTTTTTAAATAGGGAATAACTTGACACCTTTGAAATGATCTGCTATATGCATGTCCTGTTCTCTCAATACACAATGATTACCACAACCGCATTAATAAAGCTGAACTGAGGATATCCAGGTAGTCTGTCCCTGTTGATCATAGAGTTATAACATGTTATAATATTTACGTACAATATATAGTTGAAGATCTACCCTCAGTGAAACGGGAATCGGCAGAAGATCGAAACTACAAACAGTACACGGTGATGGGTAAACACGACATAAGTGTGTCCATTGAACACTTGTATATGTCATGTAGATACAGTGTTCAATGATAATATCCACTGATTTTTAGCGTTAAATATCCAAATCAAAGAATACACTTTCTTACGAAATACAATTAATATGTATTTGATATGGGTGAACACCATATAGATGCATCTTATTCTTTTCATGTGTGAAAGTTTGACATTAATCTGATATGTTTATTACTATTAGAAAAAAAAGGAGGACACCAGTGACTTTTACGTAACTATTTGAGAGATCTGACACTTTTTATGCTAACATTAAACATCATTTCATATTTGTAACGATGGATTGATGTAACGTGTAACTTCAAAAGTAATATATACATTTCATCCACAAATTCGACTTTCTACAAATAGTAATGCATGTCGACAATCACCTACTACCTTTCCAGGTAAGAAGGTCACATGAGCATTAATGCTAAAAGAGAACAGTAGACGTAGAATACTGTAAACATGTCTGGGACTGCTTTGAGGTGAGGTGAGGTGAAATTGGGTTTAACGTCGCGTCCAAGATTATTGCACTTATATAGCGACGTGCATGTACGTGTGTGTGTTTGTGTGGCTGCTTGTACTAGTCCGGACTAATGCCGATTTATAGTGCTAGCCCACTGAGATACCATGCCGCAGTTTAACATGAATACCCCACTCAGACACAGTATACTGACTCCGAGCCGACCAGTCCTTGTTTTAGCCCCTTAATGCCGAGCGCCAGACAGGGTAACAACAAGTACCATCTTTTAACGTCTTTAGGTATGACGCGGCCGGGGATCGAACCCCGGACCTTCCGCTCTCCGGGCGGACGCTCTACCACTAGACCACGGAGGCGGTCGGGACTGCTTTGAGGTCAAAAGGGAGTAATCTGAGCCTGGAGTGTGTTTTGGGCCTTGCAGATGGGAATGACCTCAGCCTAGGCTGAAAACACTCAAGTGAATTGTTAGGGGGTTGATGTGAGCTGCTACACCAGGTACCACTTCGGACGTTCCTCCCACATATAAGTGATACGCCTTTATGTGACTGAAATACGATTTAACGAGGCTCATTCACTATAATGTCCATTTTAAAAAAAATAACAACAGAAAGTCTGGCCTGGTATTGTTTTATATTCGATACGATCACACTTCAAGTTATGTCCCAGATTTATTTTAGTGGGAAGGCCATGCATGTGCTTCAAAGGAGTGAGTGAGTGAGTGAGTATGTTTTTCGCCGCTTTTAGCAATATTCCAGCGATATCACGGCGGGGGACACTGCTTCAAAGGAAAACAGTCTGTTCTGTTCATTGCCTTTGTAGTACACAACAGGTAACTGTCGGTGTATGCTGCATCAAGTCTGACATCAGATTTCATGACAACCATCAATTTGTAACGCTGACTCATTGCCTCAATTGGAAGAATGATTTTGGATGATAAATATGATCTTACCCTCGTGTATCTACCCCCGTGTATCTACCCTCGTGTTTCTTTTTTTATGTCAAAAGACACAAAAGACTCTCTATATGCTACCGAAACAGCCAACAGTTTTTGTTTCTGTTTCTGGGAATACCCCAACTGCATTATGGAATCATATCTGACATGGACACGTAGGCGGTAACATGGAGTGAAACAGAAAATAGGAGTAATCCCAACTGAGGTATGACGTCAGATGAATTCCTAGAAATGTCGCTTACACCCGATAACAACACACTCACTAAACGTTTCGTACGACGAGATACGAGTCGATATGAGCAACAGCCACAGCTGTTTCACGTTGCAGGTATGTAGACTAGTAACATGTTGAACTAAATATATCACCTGTATTTACCCTCATCCCAAAAGGCTAGAGTTACACCCTGGTACAGTTAGAGTTGTCAATAAGCTTTTATGTTTTTGAATCTATGAACCAGATCGCATGCAAATGTCACAATCTACAGCGCCATTGCGCGCCTTACTGTGCCTCGAGAGTTCCTCCGTCGCTTTGCCTTGGTATGCCCTTTGATAACTATAACGCCGCAATTGTGAGAGCATAAATTATGGTGTATGGGTTGCCATAAGCGGTGCATTGTAATGATTAAGGATCAGGGTTTGTATGAAACAAAGCTATTTCGTGAATTATAGTTTTTTTTGTGTTAATGGCATATGCAGTAAAAAGAGAATCTCACCCGAGTGACTTTTGAAAACACGTCAACACGATTCGATACAAGCTTGTCGAGAAATATTAAACATTTATCGACGAGTGTAGATATACTCTTCAAAAAATGAAACGCAATGCGGATCTTGTTGGCCATAAAAGCAAAATTAGCAAACCAAGAGGTGCAAAATGAAAAGGTTGAATGTGTTATCGTCTTAGTGACAAATTTCCCGGATCAAAATGATCACAACAAGGACATGCAAACCATTAGTTGGGAAACACGTACGATTCGGAGAAACGCTCCCAGTGCATTAACAAAAGGGCCATTGAGCTGCACGTGCACTATGCACAGTATTATTGCCTGGCATCTGCGTCAATCGAACAGTGAGAGTTAAACAACATGCCAAGATTAACAGAAGTGCAACGAAACAACGTCATAGGCCGCTTGCAGGCAGGGGAATCCCGATCAGCTGTGGCCGGAGTTTTCAAAGTAGCGCCCAGCACCATCACAGACTATGGGGACGGTTTTAACAGCATAGGTCAACACGTGATCGGCCAAGGTCGGGACGAACAAGAGTAACCACCCCCGCCCAAGATCGCTACATCCGACTGCGCCACCAACGTGAAAGGACGACCACAGCCACCTCAACCGCATCCCAAAATCCCGGGCTGCGCAGAATCTCCAACCAGGCCGCACGAAACTGTTTAAGAGCAGCAGGTCTACGAGCAAGACGTCCTGTTCGACACGTCATATTGAGTCGACAATATCGTCAACAACAACTGCATTGGTGTCGTCAACTCAGGATAAGGCCTCATTTGCGATGGAGAGATGTCTGGTTCAACGACGAATCAAGAATATCTCCTCCGTCGAGGGGATGGAATTGGACAGGTTTCTTGGGGGTAGCGTTATGACGCTTTGTAGCCAACGGCAACGGTGTATTCCAGCAGGACAACGCTCGACGGCATACAGCACGGATCACATGAGCCTGTCTTCACAACAACAACGTTGATGTTCTCCCCTGACCCTCCAGATTCCCGGATTTGAACCCGATAGAGCATCCGTGGGATGAATTGGACAGACGTTGCAGCAGTTGGCTTTTGTGTTGCAGGCCGACTAGGCTACCATTCCCCAGGATGTGATTCGCATAGTCGTCTCTTCCATGGGCAGGAGATCATTGATTGAGCGACGAGTGAGCGACGAACACATAATGTTAGCAGGAAGACTAAATGCATTTCAAACCTTTGCTAACTTCGAAGTGGTTTACTTCATTTGATATTCAGAAAATCTACATAGGTCTATGTACTACTGATAACGAAGCTATATTTATTCGTTGCGTCAGGTTTTATGGTAATACTATGTAGTCACATGATTGTTTAATATAAGATAACATTGTCCCATAATGAACTTGCTTTCATGACGTCCTAGGAGAAGACGTGTACAATGACGGTTTCGTTATATAGTTACCAGTCTTCCTGGTCTCTATTTGTCTGTTAATAATATGACATATATGTTTCAGACCGATTATTATTATGTGATGCAACATTTTAGTTTACAATATAATCCTTTTGTACAGTAGGATGACGGAATAAGGAAAGGTGATGGAGAAGAAAAGGACATCATCTCGTGACATTACTTCTGATGAAAGGTAAGCTATCAAAAAGTATTGTCTGTAAAACAATTCTGAATTATTTAATGACAGACACAATTCGCAAACACAAAACTGTTGTCATGTCATGTTTACGTACGAATGCGCATATTAAGCGAATGATGCGTTTGAATTCGTTCATTGTTCATAACCACCTGTGAAGCTCCGGGGTAGAATAGGGCTTCAGCAACCCATGCTTGCCGTAAAAGGCGACTATGCTTGTTGTAAGAGGCGACTAACCGGATCAGGTGGTCGGGCTCGCTGACTTGGTTGATGCATGTTATCGATCCCAATTGCATGGATCGTTGTCAATCACTGGATTGTGTGGTCCAGACTCGATTATTTACAGACCGCCGTCATATAGCTGGAATATTGCTGTGCATCATTGATCATGATTTCAGTCCGCCCTGGTATTGCTGGAATATTGCCGATGACAACATAAAACAACTTTCTACCACTAATTAGCTTAAGTCTCCCTATGCTCTTTTTTTAACAATCAGATGTGTCGAACCACAACCAGATGAAGGAGATGGTAAAACAGAACATAATAATGACTCTGATCAAGGTGTCAGAAGCGTAGAAGATTTTAATGGAAGAATCAGTGATGTTGAAAGAACAGGCAGTTGGAGAGTTCGGCGTTCTAGTGAAGCAGCTATCCCACGTCATGTTGGTTTCAAAGACCTGAAACTGCATAGAGATGGGAAAACAGGACGGGAGAGAACAGATTCTGCAAGATTAGGCAATTGGAGAGACAGAGGTACCGTTGATGTCGATATGAAACAGCATGTAGGTTTCAAAGAACGGGAAGTGCACAGAGAAGGGAAAACAGAACAAGACAGAGTTGATTCTACTGGAACAGGCAATTGGAGAGGTCGAGGTTCACAGGGAGCAGATATCAAACAGCATGTAGGTTTCAAAGAACGGGAAGTGCACAGAGATGAAAATACAGAACAAGACGGAGTTGATTCTACTGGAACAGGCAGTTGGAGAGGTCGAGGTTCACAGGGAGCAGATATCAAACAGCATGTAGGTTTCAAAGAACGGGAAGTGCACAGAGAAGGGAAAACAGAACAAGACAGAGTTGATTCTAGTGGAACAGGCAGTTGGAGAGGTCGAGGTTCACAGGGAGCAGATATCAAACAGCATGTAGGTTTCAAAGAACGGGAAGTGCACAGAGATGAAAATACAGAACAAGACAGAGTTGATTCTACTGGAACAGGCAGTTGGAGAGGTCGAGGTTCACAGGGAGCAGATATCAAACAGCATGTAGGTTTCAAAGAACGGGAAGTGCACAGAGATGAAAATACAGGACAAGACGGAGTTGATTCTACAGGAACAGGCAGTTGGAGAGGTCGGGGTTCACAGGGAGCAGATATCAAACAGCATGTAGGTTTCAAAGAACGGGAAGTGCACAGAGATGAAAATACAGGACAAGACGGAGTTGATTCTACAGGAACAGGCAGTTGGAGAGATCGGGGTTCACAGGGAGCAGATATCAAACAGCATGTAGGTTTCAAAGAACGGGAAGTGCACAGAGATGAAAATACAGGACAAGACGCAGTTGATTCTACTAGAACAGGCAGTTGGAGAGATCGGGGTTCACAGGGAGAAGATATCAAACAGCATGTAGGTTTCAAAGAACGGGAAGTGCACAGAGATGAAAATACAGGACAAGACGGAGTTGATTCTACTAGAACAGGCAGTTGGAGAGATCGGGGTTCACAGGGAGCAGATACCAAACAGCATGTAGGTTTCAAAGAACGGGAAGTGCACAGAGATGAAAATACAGGACAAGACGGAGTTGATTCTACTAGAACAGGCAGTTGGAGAGATCGGGGTTCACAGGGAGCAGATATCAAACAGCATGTAGGTTTCAAAGAACGGGAAGTGCACAGAGAAGGAGAAACAGGACAAGGCAACATTGATTCTACTGGAACAGGCAGTTGGAGAGATCGGGGTTCACAGGGAGCAGATATCAAACAGCATGTAGGTTTCAAAGAACGGGAAGTTCACAGAGATGAAAATACAGGACAAGACGCAGTTGATTCTACTAGAACAGGCAGTTGGAGAGATCGGGGTTCACAGGGAGAAGATATCAAACAGCATGTAGGTTTCAAAGAACGGGAAGTGCACAGAGATGAAAATACAGGACAAGACGGAGTTGATTCTACTAGAACAGGCAGTTGGAGAGATCGGGGTTCACAGGGAGCAGATACCAAACAGCATGTAGGTTTCAAAGAACGGGAAGTGCACACAGATGGACACACAGAACAACATGAAGGACTTTTAACAGGAATAGGTCGGCAAAGATATGAGAACTCGCCTGGCCTGAATCTGTCCCTGCTCAAAGAACTCAAACATAAGGATCCTTCTACAATTTTGTTGACCCTGGAATCAAGAATACATTGTTTGATGAAGCCAAACACTCTTCCACCGCATGTTGTATATACAGTTGTAAGTCTCATAGCAAAGGGAATCCAGAACAGAAAAACTGCTTCCAACAATGTCATTAACATTCTACTGGCTATCCAAGAGTCGAAATTCTATGAGCATGTTTCACATTTGTTGGAGCAACTTGATGCAAAACTAGTAGAAAAAGACAAGAGTCAAAGTTTCCTTAAGGATCTGACAATCTTTCTTACCGAATTGTACACTCGACTGCCGCATGCATTTATGAAAGTAAAGGTACTTGGTTTGGAGAAACAACTGACATTAGTAACTCAAAACCTACAAAGAAAATACAATATAGTTGATGATGAAATTGTATATAACTTGAGTCAACTCCAGGAACTGAAATATTCAGTTCTTCAGACATCAAAGAACAGTATGACCAGGAAACAAGAGGATAGAGAAGGTGAACCTCCTGATGATTTTAGAGCTTTATCCATATTACCAAATGCCGCTGATATATATCCAAATGAGAAGCTATTCCTGAGAAAGAATAAATCCGTCGGTGGTTACAGGAATCTAGATCATTATCTGGATGTCCAGTTTCGACTCCTCAGGGAAGATTTTGTTGGTCCATTGAGGGATGGCATTGGAGCTCTTTTCGCTGAAAAAAAGCCATTGAAACAAGGTCAAAGGATAAATGATGTCAGGGTGTATTATGATGTACATATTGGTAGGAAAGTCTTATCACACAACGGAATATTACACAGATTACACTTTGATGTAAGTGGTCTAAAGCAGATAGTGTGGGAAGATTCGAAGAGTCTTATCTATGGTACGTTGGTGTGTCTGCTACTAGATAACTCTGAGACATTTATTCTGGCAACGATCGCTGACAGGAGTCCCAATCTTCTCGGATTAGGCATTGTCGATGCAATGATTGAAGATTCGGGAGAATTCGAGATACGACGTGACATGAAGTTTACCATGGTTGAAACAACTGCATTCTTTGAAGCTTACCGCCATGTGCTTGGAGCTTTACAGGAGGTTAACGAGGGGGATCTTCCTTTTGAAAAGTATATTGTTCACTGTGAAACCAGTCGCGACCCTCCAAGATACTTACGAAGATGTTCAAGATCGTCACATTATGACTTGCAACCACTGACAGAAACACAAAGCATCTTGACTGATAGACATGGTATGAGACGTCTTACTTCTCAACCTGCTCTCAAAGTCAATATTTTTGACAATGGAGATTGGCCTACTGCAGATGCTCTTCATTTGAATACGCCGCAGTACCAAGCTTTGAAGACTGCTTTGACGAAAGAGTTTGCAATCATACAGGGTCCACCTGGAACAGGGAAAACGTTTATTGGTCTGAAGATTGTCAAAGCTCTGCTCCATAATAAGGCTAAATGGAAGAAGCCTATGCTAATTGTGTGTTACACTAATCATGCTTTGGATCAGTTTCTTGAGGGAATAATTAGCTTTCACAAGGACAATGTCATCAGAGTTGGCAGTAGGATATCAAAGACATGTCTTGAAGTCTACTCACTAAAAGCTCTAAGACTGAAACATAGGAGCAAAGGCATGAAGCACCATAGATGGGAACTTAGACAAGACATGGAACTGTTTGAAACATGCATGGAGGAAGCATATATGAAATTGGAGGATGCAAAGGGGTCAATATTACATGAAGCAACCCTTTTGGAATATATGCACATCCATTATGATAGAATGTTGGAAATGATGGAGATTATGCATGCAGAACTTGAGGTTCAACTTGGCCAAAAGCTGAAATTTCCTCGATGTGTTATGCGAGAATGGCTTGGAATGGGAAACATTGTCACTGGACATTTGCTTCAAAACGAATTTGCAGATGAATATAACGAGAATGAAGAAGAAAAAAGTGAAAGAGAAGATGAAGAAGAAGGAAAAGGGGTAGAAGAAGGAGTAGAAGAAGAAGAAGAAGAAGCAGGAAAAGGAGTAGAAGAAGGAGTAGAAGAAGAAGAAGAAGAAGGAAAAGGAGTAGATGGAAAAGGAGGAGTAGAAGAAGGTGAAGAAGGAAGAGGAGTAGATGGAAAAGTAGTAGAAGAAGGAGAAGAAAGAGAAGAAGAAGAAGAAGAAGAAGATGGGAATACAGTGGATGGTGCAGAGATGGCAGAGTCATATAAAACAAATGATTGCTTTGCTGATGAGGGATTTGCTACTGAAGAAAAATCAAATGATGAAATTCAAGGTGAAAACAATGTTACGTTTGTTATGTCAACAGTTCAAAATACCTCTGCAGCGAATGATTATATGCATGGCTTCCAGTTTCCCAAAAGCAAAAGAAAAAATATGAAACAATATGTCCTGAGGCAACTAAGGTCATCAGAACGAATGACAGATGATGAATTTGAACACATTGGTGAACCATGGAATCTGTCCATGCATGACAGGTGGAGGCTTTACAGATACTGGGTTTTCAAATTATGTGAAAAGCTGAAAAGACAAATATTGCTCGACGAGGAATGCTACAAAAATGCTTTGACAGAGTTAAAGGAATTGCAAGAGGATGAAGACAAACTATTGTTTCACAATGCTACAGTGCTTGGCATGACAACGACAGCAGCAGCTCGGAACAGACAAGTGCTTGCCGATATTGGGCCTAGTATCATTGTGGTGGAGGAAGCTGCTCAGGTTCTTGAGGGACACATCATCAGCACTTTAAGCAAGAAGTGTGAACACCTGATACTCATTGGAGACCACAAACAACTGAAGCCAAACCCAACAGTTTACAAGTTGGCAAAACAGTTTAACATGGATTTGTCATTGTTTGAGAGGATGGTATCAAATGGAATTCACTGTGACACTTTATCTCTTCAGCATAGAATGAGGCCAGAGATATCTGCTTTGTTACGCCATATATATCCGAACCTCGAGGATGACCCATCTGTGTTTAAATATGAAAATGTGAAGGGGGTTTCTGCCAACATGTTCTTCATAGATCACAGAAATCAAGAGGAGCCTGATAGACATATGGTTAGTCATTCCAATGAATACGAAGCAATGTACGTTGTTGCTCTGTGCAGTTACCTGCTAAAGCAAGGATATAACAATTCACAAATCACTGTACTCACAACCTATTCAGGACAACAACAAAAAATAAAGAAATTAATGCGCATGGGTAACTTCCCAGACGTGAAACTGACAGTTGTTGACAACTTCCAAGGCGAAGAAAATGACATAGTGCTGTTGTCTCTTGTCAGAAGCAATCCTGAAAATAGTGTTGGATTTCTGAAAATTGAAAACCGCATATGTGTTGCTCTTTCACGCGCAAAAATTGGGCTCTTTGTTATTGGCAACTTTGAGCTTCTTGCCAAGCAGAGCTTAATGTGGAGAGATATTTTGGTAGATTTGAGAAAAAACAACCAGGTTGGACCCATCTTGAACCTGTATTGCCAAAACCATCAAGGAGAAACGGGAATCAGTATTGAAAGACCACATGATTTCAAAAAGGCCCCTGATGGAGGCTGTCTGAAACCATGTTTATTCAGACTCAAATGTGGACATGTTTGCACACGATTTTGCCATCCCTATGACCCTGAACACACAGAATTCCTTTGCATGAAGTCTTGTAACGAGATACTTTGCGGTGATGGTCATCCATGTCCAAGACCATGTCACAAGCAGTGTGGAAAATGTACCGTACCTATTCAAAAGACCATACCATCATGTGGCCATAGACAGATGGTTCCATGTTTCAAGGATCCGAACACATTCTCCTGTATGGAAGATTGTGAGATACTTTGCACCAATGGTCATCAATGTCCAAGACCATGTCACGAGCAGTGTGGACAATGCACAGTACCTATTCAAAAGACCATACCATCGTGTGACCATAGACAGATGGTTCCATGTTTCCAAGATCCAAACGAATTCTCCTGTGAGGATTATTGCGAGACGGATCTTGATTGTGGGCATAGATGTGGAGAAGTTTGTGGAAAGGCACATCAATGCACAGCAACAATTAAGAAGACATTTAGATGCGGACATGTTAAAGAGGTCTTGTGCATTAATAAAGAAACAGCAGAGTGTTGTGTCAGATGTATTGTAAAGCTTGACTGTGGACATAGTTGTGACGGTAACTGCAACAGGTGCTATGAAGGAAGGCTACATGTACCATGCCGGAAGATGTGCCAGGAAACCCTGCTCTGTGGCCATGAGTGTGGCGCTAAATGTTCACATTGTCCCCCGTGTAAGATGGCGTGTGAGAACCGCTGTCTCCACAAAAGTTGCACCAAATTTTGTGGTGAAATTTGTGACCCATGCAAAGCACCTTGTGAATGGAAATGTGAACATTTCAAATGTACTTTGACCTGCTATGAGCCCTGTGACAGACCACCCTGCAATGAACCATGCAAGAAGAAACTACCCTGTGAACACCTGTGCATTGGTCTTTGTGGAGAGCCATGTCCAACACAATGCCGATTTTGCAACACAGATGTAGTAAGTCGTGTGAGTGGAAAGCCTGGCGCTAGATACGTTTTCCTTGAAGATTGTGGACATATTGCAGAAGTTACAAGCCTCGATAGGCATATGGAATCCAAATCGGAAGAGATAAAACTGAAGGAGTGCCCACACTGTAAGACAATAATAAGACACAATGTGAGGTATGGAAATGTGATAAATTCCACACTCAGGAAGCTGGAAGTTGTGAAGGAGCAGTGCAATGAACTGGAAGACAAAGTTCTAGAAACTGAAGAAAGAATGATGATTCAAGTGCTGAATGATGAAGAAAGCGAGGAAAATACGAAAGAACTGATGCTGCGTCAAGGCTTCACCAATACTGTGGCAGGTGTCACTGCACTACGAAATCAGTTTAGCCTTCTGGATGAACTTGCCAAGATTGCTGATGAATATGAACGATTTGTCGGTCTAGAAGACATAATTCGCCTTATTGATTTGAACAGTGAGGAGATAAAAATGTTCCGCACGTGGCTGATGATACGAAGACAAGCTTTCGGCAGGCAAGACGAATCAGATGCTCAGAATGAACTGCTTAGACACAAAATGATTATTCAGTTGGTTGATTTAGAATTCCTTCTGGGAGCCAAATCTAAAGAAATTGCGATATGTGGTTACCTGTTGATACTGAAAGACATCCTTATGTCAGGTAAGCCATACACAGCTGAAAAACAGATCAGGGTTGAAGGATTATTTGCCCAACTGAGACGGATTCTCAACAACACTATAGAGGAGATAGACAATACAAAGGTGATGATCGTGCCCACAACTGGAATTGCATCTGGTCGCTGGTTCTTCTGTCGGCATGGTAAATATGTTACATGAAACATTGTAAAATGAGATCATGAAATTAATCAAATACTGATGATAATATGTAAATTGAATCACGGTCTTTTGTGTGAGCATATATTACGATATTGTAAGTGTACCTGAACACATAATTTACTTTGCATTTAACTTCTCTTATTAAAATACACCAGTGATTGCATTCTTAGCCTTAACAACGTATCCGATATTAATACCTGCAATATGTTTAGATTCGGGGTGAGAAAGTGAATGATATTATCAGGTGTGATGGCACATAATTAATCAGGGCGTACTTGCAAAAAGCGATCTTAGCGCTGAAACCGATGTGTTTCTGTTATGGAAGTTATGATCGTCGTAGTGCGGAGATCAGTTTGTGCAAGTGGGCCAGATCACCAATAGTGTCCACCAAACCCCAAATTTCAATAAGGTCGTGTATGTTTGTTGAGTGACACCACACCCAGTAGTATTCCAGCTACAGATGTATATGTCATCGGCCTGTGATTGATATTAAGATGTGGTTGGGGAAACATCAAGAGAGTCACAGAACCTCTTTTGACAAGTATAGGTTTCAGTGGACATATTCTAATCGAGAATGCCCATGCATGAGGTGGTATGGTACTACTCTGTCCGGCTATCCCTAGGGGAGATTTTTGTGAGAGTAGCATGAGATGACTCAAAATTGATTGTTGAGCTACTATTCTTGCACATTCAGGACATACCTATTCAATGGGAGGCCGTGGGTATGGTTCCAAGCATGACTGCCCCAGCTGTGGTATCGGAATTGGTCAGAAGCACGACAGAAGATTTTAAAGACAAGATTGCTTGTGTTGTGAGACTGAAAATGAAGAGGCTACTTGAAAGTTAATATCAACGAGAGGTGGTGTGACGGGGACTCTTCCGACTTGAAGATAAATGACACATCAAATGATATGTTATGTTGTGGCTATTGCGAGGTGAAGAGAGACAGAAAGGGACAAAGATGTAGATTCAAAGCTAAGCCTAATGATTGTGTGGTCGCCAGTTTTAGTGTAGTTTGCATTGACCGCCCCGATTGTGATGCACGTGATAAGATTTTGTAATGTACCTATTTCCATTGTAATGGAAAATTGTTGTTCTGCCTAGAATGTGTCTGTCAGGATATTAGTTTGGCGAAGATGTTCTTGTACAGTACAGTTATGTCAATGCTTTCGACGAATACTACTCAGTTACAATCAATGGGCAAAAGAATAACCTCTTCGTGACCCTAGCAGCAGATCATGGGGATAATATGTTATCTTTTAGTTTGAATATTTGTACTCATGTATTTTATATATTCTATAGTTTGAATATGTGACACATCTCCTATTAACTGACTTACAATGTGATCCTTGAAACACATATATGACAAATGAATGTATATAAGCAGCAAAATTCATTGTTTGTCCTTATGACGCATCACAAATTATTATATTCTGGTAAATCCATGCTTTTACGTTTATGTAAAGGGGTACCGGTGGACAAGTCATCTAAGGCACCGCATTATTTACGCTGTGTAGGGTTGTGTTCCTCAGGCGTGCCCGAATAGTATCATCGTTGGATTATGAACTTTGGTTGATCAGCACAATACCCATGGTTAAAGTCTGCGACCTCGGACAACTTTCATTCCAAATTACGAAGTCACATATCAGGTTAAAATAAGAGACGCTGGCGGCGGTGAGTAGTTGAGTTGCTGAACATACTTGTCAAGCTGGACTCCAAAGACTTTTAGGGCTTCTGTCCTTCCCACACAGAAGCACACGTGATAAAGCATTAGGGTCTGCTTAGCCAAATTGGTATTGGAAATGTGTCACCGTTCACCCAGCAAGGATTGTGTACCTGCAAGGATTGTGAGGCTTTTATATACATGTTCTAGAGCTAGCCACACCTTTTGACTGCTTGAGCTGTATAATCCTATAGATTTGAGAATGTGAGCCATTGACTTAGGCAATACTTGTGTAGCGTCATGAACATGCTTTAGGAAATTGATACATCATTATATACATATGCATTTGTTGCTTCAGTGTTATCAAATGTTGCAGTATTTCAGTTTATGCCATATACTTGAATTTACATATTTTCGGTTATAGAACTCTGTAATTTCAAATTCACACCGTTATATCAATATGTTTGTAACAAATCAATCCTCGAGTTCCAGAGAGCTGATGTACAGACAAATGTCATAATGTAAATAAGGCACAAATAATGCTTACTGTATTTTAGGCACATGTAGAGAAAAATGTTTATGGTCACGTAGCATGAATTACATTGCTTGAGTTTACGATATTCAGCGGAATATGTAAAGAATTACAACTTCAAAATGTTACGTTTTACACTTAAGCTATGAAGAACAGAGATTGTTAAAACCATCATATTATCATTACTAAATTGCCCATTGGTAGGTGAATACGAGAAGAGCGTTTCTCAGGTTTTTATTTCAAACATAAAGTGATATAATACCTAGATTTATGTTTAATATTCAAACAAATCTGGACCAAAGATTGTATTTGTTGTGTATATATATCTGTGAGAAGATTGCGATATGTAACCATTGACAATGTTTTGTAAGATGCAAGATATGAAGTTTCACTTGGAAATAGTCACCATTTAAGTGGTAATGTATCAAGACAAAAGTACATGTAACATTGAACGTGTATGTGAGTGAGTGAGTGAGTGAGTTGGGTTTAACGCCGCTTTTAACATTATTCCAGCTATGTCGCGGTGTGTCAGCTTTATGTGGGAGGAAAGCCCGAAGTGATGCAGGTCTAAGACGTTTACCACTTCGGTGAAACCCATGAGCACGGGTACGGTGCTGACAAGCCTAGAAACATAATTGGGGCGAACCGGGATTCGAAACCACAATCATAGGTTTCTGGCGTGCCCAAGGGACGCAACTCTGCACAGCGAATCGCGGCGCCATAGACGACTGGGCCACCCGTGCCCCCTGAACGTGTATGTTTTTATTGTTAACACACATTCATGATGTGGACGCTTACATGGGATATAAGGCCTTATATTCTTTATAGTTTAGTTGTGTGTGTACAGCTAAAAGAATGGGGCAAGAATGGACAGTTAACTGGAATAAGGTTTGATGCATATCAGCGTAAAAACAAAGCTATTTCTCAAATTTGCTTTCCCTTTTAAACTGTTGTAAATGATAATAAGGGATGCAACCATTCATTGTACAATAACTTAATAACGAACATACACATTCTATGCAGAATTTATATTTAAATTTATTTTATCTTACTTTGTTCCCTTTTATGTTATATTCCATTCAGTTGGTGATGTTACATAATATCCCACAAAGGAACATGTAATATTTATCTTCACAAGGGAAGGCTGCATACATGAACATCAGACAAATAATTGTATTGGAAGCAGGTTTGCATATATGTGTACATCTCAAATCAACAGGTAATGAAAGAAGCAGTCTATATTTGCCTTACTTATTGAGATATTCCTTCGTCAAATATCAAGCTGTATAATTACAACACACTATTGGGAACCGATCATGTTAAAAAAAATGTATATCAAAGAAAATATGATTGTGTGTGCATTTGATTTCTCTTTCCAATATCAATCAGTTAAAGTCTTCATAAAGCTGTCTACTTACCACTTGTTTTATATATACTTGATACATGTTTATGCATGCACATAGAATGTGATTTAATCTAAAACCTTTGATTTATAACCAAGTAGAATAGAGCATTTGGTAAATGTATATTCTTGTGTGAATTTGGTATTCAGGAAACATTCTAGTTTTGCACATTTACCATGCTTACAATCCCAATCTACACGAAGTACTGATTCGGAGAATGAGCATAGGCCATTGTCAAGAACTTTCATTTTCACAGTTCTTTCTCTGTATAGATCATGTGATGGATATAGTTGCACTGGAAAATAAGTAATCTGACATCCACTGCACATTTTTCATAACTGATGGTTGGTTGGTTTGTTTGTTGTTTAACGCCGCACTCAGCAATATTCCAGCTATATGACGGCTGTCTGTAAATAATCGAGTCTAGAACAGACAATCCAGTGATTGATATCATGAGCATCGATCCACGCAATTGGGATCGATGACTTGCATCAACCAAGTCAGCGAGCCTGACCACCCGATCCCGTTAGTCGCCTTTTACGACAAGTATAGTCGCCTTTTACGGCAATCATGGGTTGCTGAAGACCTATTCTACCCCGGATCTTCACGGGTCCCATAACTGATGAAGCATAGTTGATATAATATGTTAATAGTCCATTCTTTTGCCTTTAAAATTAGTGTTTCTCTTTTGATATAATTCTTTTTCGATCCTAAAGAGTAAACAGGAGCTTTCAGGGAACAGCTTTTTTTCTTTCAATAGTACCTTTGCGTAAATATACATGTACGACTCGTTTCTGTTCTGTCAATGTGACTTTAACAAAAATGTTTTCTGATCAAGCATTGACTGTATTTTATCTATTCATATCATTTCAGTTACATATCGTTTTTTGGTGTATATAATGTTGAAATCTGATTACGTTTTCTTGTCAATTCCCAGTCATAGTTTTTCCTTGACTGAAATATCCTGGTTTGGGTATTGGTTTATATTTAACCTTAATAAACTGAATAGTAGAAACATGAATTTCTGTGTTTTTAATTATAAATGTTCCACTTATACATTTCCAAACTGGCTATTTTATGATAACCTCATTGTAGTAAGATGTTACACGAAATAATTGCCAGTATCCCTTTGTTTATAATAGGTACATTTGGCAGTATCGTTCAAACCGTTATTCAAAACAAGCAAGTGCATTGCATATCAGAGTGATGATGTTTTGTTTTGTTTGTCTGTTGTTTAACGCCGCACTCAGCAATGATGCAGCTATGTGACGGCGGTCTGTAAATAATCGTATCTGGACCGGACAATTCAGTAATTAACTTCTTTGAGAGGCATTTAAAAGTTGGAGTACCAAGTAAGGGTAAGAAGTATCGATGAGCAACGTCTTTATAATAATTAGGGCGACGTTTCGGAGTAGGTTCCAACACCGTTATCAATCACTTGCTTGATCACGGTGTTATAGCCTTCTCCGAAACGTCGCTCCTAATTATAATCAAGAAGTTGTTCATCCATAAATCTTATCCTTACTTTATCCAGCGATTGACATCATGAGCATCGATCCACGCAATTGGGATACAATGTCTTGCCTCAACCGAGTGAGCGAGCCTGACCACCCGATCCCGTTAGTCGCCTCTTACAACAAATATAGTCGTCTTCTACTACAAGCATGGGTAGCTGAAGAACAAATCTTTCCCGGATCTTCCCGGGTCACCTCATAGTCGACATTATATTCTGTACGCCAACATCATTCCTAACCGACCGCCTCCGTGGTCTAGTGGTAGAGCGTCCGCCCGCAGAGCGGAAGGGCCGGGGTTCGATCCCCGGTCGCGTCATACCAAAAGACGTTAAAAGATGGTACTTGTTGTTACCCTGTCTGGCGCTCGGCATTAAGGGGCTAAAACAAGGACTGGTCGGCTCGGAGTCAGTATACTGTGTCTGAGTGGGGTATTCATGTTAAACTGCGGCATGGTATCTCAGTGGGCTAGCACTATAAATCGGCATCAGTCCGGATTAGTACAAGCAGCCACACATACACACACACGTGCATGCACGTCGCTATATAAGTGCAATAATCTTGGACGCGACGTTAAACCCCATTTCACCTCACCACCTCATTCCTAACCAGTTTTGAATAATATTTCTATGGATATATTCTCCCATTGTAACATGATGTAGAGGCTAAAATCAGATTCACACATCACCAATATGTATTCGTTTCTTCATTGAAGAATTTAAATATCTATTTAGATTTTATTTGTTTTAAACAGATGTGTCTTTTTATCTGGCAACTGGATATGTGAAGCCCTTATAGTCAGACACATCTGGTTCTACTACTGGGATGCAAGATCATTCTCAAACCGAATATTGACATCATTTGGGGAACACACAGATGGGCGTGGAGTGGAGAGGGATGGAGCAGGCTTAGTCCCTCTTTCTGAAGCATATCAAATATGTATATTGATGTATACAAAAACATATTAAATAGTTTGGTGACACGTTTTTTTCAAGAAAACTGACAGTTAATTGACTAAGTTTTGCTAATAAACGGATATTGTTTTTCGAATTATTTGCAATGATTGTTTTTTGGTATTTTAAGGGCACCCACTTCCTAAAAAAAACCTGGCACCAATCCTGTATCCGCAATTGTCCAGCTACGCCGGTGTCCGTGCGGTGAAAATGTTACTCAATAATATGACCCCAGCGATCGAAAACAAGGATTACGGAGTAACCTCCCTTATATATAACTTGTGTCGAGTTACCGAAAGACTAGCTCCCTGCGGCCCCCCCCCCCCCCCCCCCCCCCCCCCCCCCCACACACACACACACACACAGACCCCACCACACCCACCAACGCATACTCCCCACACCCTCCCCCTCCTCACACACACACACACACCTTTCGTGTAATCTAGCAAACGCCTCATCCTGCGTTATTCACTTCATGGCGCAGGTAGCATACTGTTCTCGGGGTAGCATGCACGGGCAATTATAAAGCTAAGGTCTAGATATAACATTCGATAAAAACGAATCCACATAATGCGAGTACCATGGTCAGCATTTTTACAAGGTCGTCTTTTATCTCTGGTTTCTACGAAAGTGGGGATAAAACCCAACACCTATGTCTACTCGAGTCATGGCTATTTATAGGCCATCACGTGACCTTTGGGAAATACCAATAGGGGCGATACAGTCCGAGTATTTCAAACGGCTCATACATACATGCCCACAAGGTTATTCGCGACATGATGAGACGTTCCTGTGTCCTTATACAACACTATGCATGTGATTAAGTTCGGCGAAAGATTGCATTGCTCTTATCTGAAACAGAAACGAAAGCGAAAATAGAATGAGTTGGCGAGTATTTTGATTACGTCACAGCTCTTGAATTCAGTTCCTGGAAAGCCCAAGTTGTAGCGACTTGTATATAACAGTGGATATGGAATGGTCTCGGTAGTTCTCGGAAAAGTCGCGTGTGTTTTAGGAGAACTGGCGGGTCCCATTCAAGTCCTATGGTAAGTACAGGACAGGCTTAACGTAGGCCTTATTTCCCTCTTGTCAGATAGCTCATAAAGTCGTGTTGCTTAGCTATTTCACTAAATGGGTTACACAAATGAATGTACATATATTTAATTATTGACGAATTATGGCCGTCGTCCGTTTGATATGAATATTCTTATCGACGTGTACCGCCCATTTTAAGAATTGTTGTTAATGTCGTAAGCGGAAGATGTCATCGTTTATGGCGTCCCACACGGTGTTCAGCGGTAGAGCACCCATACGCTATGTACAGTATGCATGTACAACTGTGTGGTATACAGTATGCATGTATCTCGTTATGTGGTATATATATATACACAGTATGCATGTATCTCGTTATGTGGTACATATACAGTATGCATGTATCTCGTTATGTGGTATATATACAGTATGCATGTATCTCGTTATGTGGTATATATACAGTATGCATGTATCTCGTTATGTGGTATATATATATATATATATACACAGTATGAATGTATCTCGTTATGTGGTATATATACAGTTTGCATGTATCTTGTTATGTGGTATATATACAGTATGCATGTAACTCGTTATGTGGTATATATACAGTATGCATGTATCTCGTTATGTGGTATATATACAGTTTGCATGTAACTCGTTATGTGGTATATATACAGTTTGCATGTATCTTGTTATGTGGTATATATACAGTATGCATGTAACTCGTTATGTGGTATATATACAGTATGCATGTAACTCGTTATGTGGTATATATACAGTTTGCATGTATCTCGTTATGTGGTATATATACAGTATGCATGTATCTCGTTATGTGGTATATATACAGTATGCATGTATCTCGTTATGTGGTATATATACAGTTTGCATGTATCTCGTTATGTGGTATATATATATATATATACACAGTATGAATGTATCTCGTTATGTGGTATATATACAGTTTGCATGTAACTCGTTATGTGGTATATATACAGTTTGCATGTATCTTGTTATGTGGTATATATACAGTATGCATGTAACTCGTTATGTGGTATATATACAGTATGCATGTAACTCGTTATGTGGTATATATACAGTTTGCATGTATCTTGTTATGTGGTATATATACAGTATGCATGTATCTCGTTATGTGGTATATATACAGTATGCATGTATCTCGTTATGTGGTATATATACAGTTTGCATGTATCTTGTTATGTGGTATATATACAGTATGCATGTAACTCGTTATGTGGTATATATACAGTATGCATGTAACTCGTTATGTGGTATATATACAGTTTGCATGTATCTTGTTATGTGGTATATACACAGTATGAATGTATCTCGTTATGTGGTATATATACAGTATGAATGTATCTCGTTATGTGGTATATATACAGTTTGCATGTATCTTGTTATGTGGTATATATATATACACAGTTTGAATGTATCTTGTTATGTGGTATATATACAGTATGCATGTATCTCGTTATGTGGTATATATATATATATATATATATACACAGTATGAATGTATCTCGTTATGTGGTATATATACAGTTTGCATGTATCTCGTTATGTGGTATATATACAGTTTGCATGTATCTCGTTATGTGGTATATATATATACACAGTATGAATGTATCTCGTTATGTGGTATATATACAGTTTGCATGTATCTTGTTATGTGGTATATATACAGTATGAATGTATCTTGTTATGTGGTATATACACAGTATGAATGTATCTTGTTATATGGTATATATACAGTATGCATGTAACTCGTTATGTGGTATATATACAGTATGCATGTATCTCGTTATGTGGTATATATACAGTTTGCATGTATCTCGTTATGTGGTATATATATATACACAGTATGAATGTATCTCGTTATGTGGTATATATATATATATATATATATATATACAGTTTGCATGTATCTTGTTGTGTGGTATATATACAGTATGCATGTAACTCGTTATGTGGTATATATACAGTATGCATGTATCTCGTTATGTGGTATATATACAGTTTGCATGTATCTTGTTATGTGGTATATATATATACACAGTATGAATGTATCTCGTTATGTGGTATATATACAGTTTGCATGTATCTTGTTATGTGGTATATATATATACACAGTATGAATGTATCTCGTTATGTGGTATATATACAGATTGAATGTATCTTGTTATGTGGTATATATACAGTATGCATGTAACTCGTTATGTGGTATATATACAGTATGCATGTATCTCGTTATGTGGTATATATACAGTTTGCATGTATCTTGTTATGTGGTATATATATATACACAGTATGAATGTATCTCGTTATGTGGTATATATACAGTTTGCATGTATCTTGTTATGTGGTATATATACAGTATGCATGTATCTCGTTATGTGGTATATACACAGTTTGCATGTATCTTGTTATGTGGTATATATACAGTATGCATGTATCTCGTTATGTGGTATATATACAGTTTGCATGTATCTTGTTATGTGGTATATACACAGTATGAATGTATCTCGTTATGTGGTATATATACAGTTTGAATGTATCTTGTTATGTGGTATATATACAGTATGCATGTAACTCGTTATGTGGTATATATACAGTATGCATGTATCTCGTTATGTGGTATATATATATATATATACACAGTATGAATGTATCTCGTTATGTGGTATATATACAGTTTGCATGTATCTTGTTATGTGGTATATATATATACACAGTATGAATGTATCTCGTTATGTGGTATATATACAGTTTGCATGTATCTTGTTATGTGGTATATATACAGTATGCATGTAACTCGTTATGTTGTATATATACAGTATGCATGTATCTCGTTATGTGGTATATATATATACACAGTATGAATGTATCTCGTTATGTGGTATATATACAGTATGCATGTATCTTGTTATGTGGTATATATACAGTATGCATGTATCTCGTTATGTGGTATATATACAGTATGCATGTATCTCGTTATGTGGTATATCGTTATGTGGTATATGTACAGTATGCATGTATCTCGTTATGTGGTATATATACAGTATGCATGTATCTCGTTATGTGGTATATATACAGTGTGCATGTATCTCGTTATGTGGTATATATACAGTATGCATGTATCTCGTTATGTGGTATATATACAGTATGCATGTATCTCGTTATGTGGTATATATATATACACAGTATGAATGTATCTCGTTATGTGGTATATATACAGTTTGCATGTATCTTGTTATGTGGTATATATACAGTATGCATGTATCTCGTTATGTGGTATATATACAGTATGCATGTATCTCGTTATGTGGTATATATATATACACAGTATGCATGTATCTCGCTATGTGGTATATATACGGTATGCATGTATCTTGTTATGTGGTATGTATATATATATATATATATATACAGTATGCATGTATCTCGTTATGTGGTATATATACAGTATGCATGTATCTCGTTATGTGGTATATATACAGTTTGCATGTACCTTGTTATGTGGTATATATACAGTATGCATGCATCTTGTTATGTGGTATATATACCGTATGCATGTATCTCGTTATGTGGTATATATACAGTATGCATGTATCTCGTTATCTTGTACATGCGTAATACAAACAGAATGTGTGCCTGCGTCTATATAATTATAGTCAAAACTCATAGATTAAGCAATATTACAGCGCAATTTCATTTATTGTTGAACGAATTTGAAATGATATGACAGGTGCAGCTTCTATAGATATCTTTACAGCTATTTCAAAATCTTTAGCTAGCTAACAATACTAGGGCTATTTATAACGATTACTTATCCACGGGCTCTTGACGACCACTATACACTTATCTGCTGCGACAGCACAGTCAGTAGAAGCGGTTTATAACAGGAGTGACGAACTTTGAGCAGAGGTTGAATAGTTGCAAGATATTTTCTATTATGATATTAATGTGATATATATATGGTATCAAAACATTGGCATTTGTTTTTGCGGGACATACACAATTTGTGACAATATAGATGATGAAAAAAGTCTTTTAAGTATGTGTGATGGAAACTAGAATATAGCATGTAGCCGAATGTCAAGTAAAAAAGTAATTTAAAAATTAGTTTCGATGACACTGCACATCGTGTATGTGGTTTCTTACTCTGAAACCCGATAAAACCGAAACGTATTTCACTAGCAGCAACATTACCCTCAGCGGACCAGGGAACATCTAGGTTATCTACATAGGTCGGTGTGTGAATACACTGCTCGATCCCGATGTCACCAGTCAAACATCAGGTTTCGAGGAAGCATACTTTCCATCGCTTGAAAGAACCTTTCAGTGTATAACTGTTTATGAAGTAATGTTATTTTGTCATAGTTCCTTTTCATTAGTTTAAATTTTAGATGACGTTGAAGGTTATATTTGAAATTACAGATGTTCTATTTGTATGTTCACATTTTGTTACTTTCAGACCATACAACGCATCTGGATTGTTTACAATGGACAACGATGATGATGACTTTCAAAGGTGGGCTGCTTTTGAGAGTTGTTCTTTTGATGTCTTATCTAGGTTATAATGTCTTTTCCAAATATATTCCAAATTTGACAGTTATTCAAAATATTCATGTTGCCAAACTAAACTATTTTGTAATTCTTGTTTATTGTTTTTTTAAGATGCTTTAACATAGTTCATAAGTGTTTCTACTTGCTTGTAAGCGACATAATCTCTGCACTGGTACGCAGCAGAAGTAATTCAAAGTTGATATATCATTCGTAGTGTCAATATCAATTAGCGCGCTATCGTGTCACTGGATTGTCTCTCCCTGACGCGTTGTTACTCGATAAGCCGCCAAAACTCGATTGTGTCTTCCGCCGTTTGGCAGGAGTATTCCTTGGTGCGGCGCCGGGCAACAAATATTCACTTATTATATAGCGTTCCGTCTGTCCGTCCTTCCGTCCGTCCTTCCGAGCTTTTGTACGACCCATAACTTTTTAACCATGCACGCTAGCTTCACCAAACCTGCTACACACATTTACCACAATAAGTACTTGTGCCTTTTGCTAGTTTGAAGATTCTGAACTTTTTTATTTTCGCCGTTTCCATGGAAACATTAAGAAACTTAAACATTTAGGGTTGGTGTTTTGTACGGCCTATAACTTTTTAACTATGCACCCTAGCTTCACCAAACGTGCTACACACATTAACCACAATGAGTACTTGTGCCTTTTGCTAGTTTGAAGATTCTGAACTTTTAATTTTCGCCGTTTCCATGGAAACATTAAGAAACTTAAACATTTAGGGTTGGTGTTTTGTACGGCCTATATCTTTTTAACTATGCACCCTAGCTTCACCAAACTTGCTACACACATTAACCACAATGAGTACTTGTGCCTTTTGCTAGTTTGAAGATTCTGAATTTTTAAATCTTTGCCGTGTCCATGGACACATTAAGAAACATCAAGAATGTATGTTGTGCTAAGCATTGATTATCTCACACTAGATTGAAATATATTTGCAAAAACATGTGTTCATTTCAAACATAATGCATCCTCATGGGGTTACAAAGGAAAGGGCAGTTCCTCTGACTTATAGCAACAGGTATATTTTATTAATTAACAAATTATTTTCTATTTGTTGTTGACCAGCGGGGATAACGGGGGTATGTGAGTTTTGCTTTCTTCTTTCTTGTTTTTTTTGCAAATTTTGTGAGTGGCTGGTACCACCAATAGAGTCAGCATATGGTCACCATTTTCGCAAACACCTGGTGTCATCAGGGATTTTATGTGATCCATTCGTATATGTTTGATCACTATTTTGCCTTTTACGCCAAATGGAATCTGTTTCAGCAGATAATAGAAACTGATTATTCTTTGGCGTTGAATTTTGATATTAAATAAAGTTGTATTTGATCCATAATTCTCAATGGCTATGTCATGCCAACACAACTTTGCAATTACAGACCTGGTTACAGACAGGATGACCGTGATGGGAGAGGGCGTGGTCAAATGATAGGTCACGGCCGTAGGGGACAAGGACGAGGCGTCAGAGGTAATGGAGGCGGCAGAGTTGGAGGACGAAATGACGATGAACATGATGGGGATCATGGAAGGTTTGGAGGAAGAGGCCGTGGGGAGCACAGAGGTAGAGGTAGGGGCGATGGATACAGAGGCAGAGGTGCTCATCATGGAGATGACGAAAGGAGAGGACAGAATGACAGAGATGGTGCCAGGGGAGGCAGAGGACAAGGATTCAGGGGAAGAGGTGGGAGAGGCGGAGGCCGTTACCTTGATTACAGGCAGTTGCAAGAACTACGGTCAAAGGATCCATCTACAATTGTTATGGCCCTTGGACAAGAATCTGGTCTCGGCTCACTGCTAAAACGACACAATCTTTCATCTCATATGATGTATGCAATTGTTGGCGCCCTTGCTCAAGCATGTTTATGTGCATCTGCTCCAACCAGCCTTATTGAACTTTTGCTCACTGTTCAGCGGTCAAGCTTTTATGATCATGTTCCTGATGTTTTGACCGAAATCAGGCACAGACCAAATGAAAATGCCAGAGAAAAGAGGCAGTTCATCAAAGATTTGATGTCAGTTATGAAGGAACTGTCTATCAGACTGCCACATTCATACATTCATGTTCTTGGTGTAAAGAGTTTCCTGGAAATGATCATGCCTGATCTCGAGCTAAAGTCCGATATTGTAGATGAAGAAATACGTCTTCTGCTGAAACATTTGCAGGATGTAAAATCACCAACTGTTGACAGGATGACAAAAGAAGAAGGCCGGGGTGAAAGAGAGCAGTATACTGATGGAGAACCACCCAATGATTTCAGAGATATGTCCATATTTCCAAATGTTGAGGACATACATCCTGAGGAGAAACCTTTCCTTCGCAAGAACATAGATGTTGGTGGATACAGGGACCTTCATCATTATTTGGATGTCCAGTTCCGTTTGCTGAGGGAGGATTTCATCTGTCCTTTGAGGGATGGCATTGCAGAATATCTCACTGCCAATGTGCCAGGAGAGAAAGGTCAGAGACTGAAGGACATCCGGGTCTATCATGATGTCCAGATCTTGCGGACAGTGTGTTCAGATGGCGGACTTCTCCACAGAATCATGTTTGATGTGAGAAAACTGCGGAAAATCAGATGGGAAAATTCTAAGCGACTGATATTTGGATCTTTGGTCTGCTTATCTCATGACAATTTTGAAACACTTCTTTTTGCAACTGTTTCTGATAGAGATCCCAAGAAACTTCAGGATGGTATACTTGATGTTTTACTTGAAAATGACGCAGCACTGGAAGACATCCTTTCATCAGATACACGTTTTGTAATGGTTGAGACATCAGCTTACTTTGAGGCCTACAGACATGTCTTGAGAGGGCTGCAGATGCTCCATGATGGCGATCTTCCATTTGAAAAGTACATAGTGGAATGTGAGAGTGAGGTGAGGTCACCACGATACCTCCAGGGTTTAAGAACTACTAAGTATGACCTGCGCCCTCTTGTGGATGAGAAGACTGTCCTAAGGGAAGACACTGCTTTGAGACTTCAGAGAAGGGAGGTCAGCTACGACTTCAGCCGAGAATCCCAGATCGCCAACAACATTGAAATACTGAATCATTTAGATTGGCCGTCTGCCCAGCAACTGCATCTGGATCTGTCACAGTACAAAGCCTTAAAGACAGCCCTCACCAAAGAGTTCGTCATTATGCAAGGACCACCCGGTACAGGAAAAACGTATGTTGGTTTAAAAATTGTCAAGGCCCTGTTACACAATGCAAAGGCATGGAATGCAAACAACAATGCACCAATGCTGATTGTTTGTTATACAAACCATGCACTGGACCAGTTTCTTGAAGGAATAATATCCTTCTACAGAGGAAGTATCATCAGAGTTGGAGGAAGGATAAAAAGTGAACTACTGGAAGATTACTCACTTAAAGCGCAGAGACAAAAGGCACGGAAATTACACAGTTCCAGAGATATGAGAAATACGGGACGGATGAGATGGGAAATTCGTAATAGCATGATGAACCTGAAACTGGAGATTGAGAGGATTGGTCAGCAAATAGAAGCTGCAGAAAGAGAGATATTGCATGAAGACGTGTTGCGACCATTCATGGGTGAATACTATGATGAGATGGTGATGGCGATGGAGATGATGCTAATGCAGATGCAGGATGCAAATGGCTTTATGCCACCATCAACACCTGTCATGGTCGAGTGGCTAGGCATTGGCACCTTTGGTGACATGGTGAACACAATTGAGCAACCGCTACATGAGGAAGACATTGAAAATGAAGAAGAGGATGGTGGAGTGATAGATGTGCAGGAAGAAGCGGATCTCTTGCAAGAGCAGAGGCAGATGCATGACATGGACGATGGTGACATGGAGGAGAATGAACTTGACAAACTTCAGAGAATGATTGAGCGTCTACAATATGAACGAGGTGGATATGTTGCTTTTGATGTGACAAATTTGGATAGAAGCCCAAAGGAGCAAGAAGATGCAATGCAGTTCCAGTTACCTAGAGAAGCCAGAAGACGTCTTAAAAGACGACTTTTACAGAGATTAAGGTCCACTCAAAGGATGACACCAGCAGAGGCTAATCGTATCGGGGATCCTTGGGGACTCCAAATGAATGAAAGGTGGAAATTGTACAGATTCTGGGTACACTGTCTCTGCGAAAGACTGCGACGGGATATATCAACAAAGGAGGCGAGATACAAAGCAGTGGTAACTCAGTACAAAGAGTCACAGATGATTGAAGACAAACAGATCATGGAGACAGCAACAGTGATAGGGATGACAACAACAGGAGCAGCTCGCTATCAACAGGTTCTCTCTGAAATTGGACCCAAGGTAATAGTTGTTGAAGAAGCTGCCGAGGTTCTTGAGGGACACATCATCACAACTCTGAGCAAGAAATGTGAACATTTGGTACTGATTGGAGATCATAAACAGCTGAAGCCCAACCCAACTGTTTACAAACTTGCAAAGCAATTCAAGTTAGATCTCTCATTATTTGAGAGAATGATCAACAATGGCATGCAGTGTGACACACTGGCTCTTCAGCATAGAATGCGGCCCGAAATTGCAAGGTTAATGAAGCCAATCTACCCCAAGCTTGAAAATCATTCCTCTGTCATAAATTATGACACGATCAAGGGGATATCTGACAACATGTTCTTTATCAACCATGGATATGAAGAAGAGCATGACATTGAACGAGTCAGCCACTCCAACGAGTTTGAAGCCAGATATGTTGTAGCATTGTGTGAATATTTAATGAAACAGGGATATGAAAGATCACAAATCACAATTCTCACAACCTACTCAGGGCAGCTACTGAAGTTGAAGAAGATGATGCCAAAGCAAATTTTCCAGGGAGTCAGACTGACAGTGGTGGACAACTACCAAGGAGAAGAAAATGATATAATCCTTCTGTCACTCGTGCGAAGCAATCGTGCAGGGAGTGTTGGCTTCCTAAAAATTGAAAACCGTGTCTGTGTTGCGCTTTCACGTGCAAAGAAAGGTTTATTTGTGATTGGAAACTTTGATCTTCTTGCCCAAGAGAGTCAGTTGTGGCGGGAAATAAAGAAAGATTTGCAGCGGAACAACCAGATAGGAACAGCGTTGAACTTATATTGTCAGAATCATCCCAGAGACACAGGCATTGCTGCAAGGAAACCAGATGACTTCAATAAAGCTCCAGAAGGTGGTTGTATGAAGCAGTGCACCTTCAGACTGGAGTGTGGACATGTGTGTTCTCGACTTTGTCATCCATATGACCCAAATCATGAAGAATACAAATGCAATAAACCATGTCCAAAAACGATTTGCAAGAACAACCACCCATGTCCACGATTGTGCTATCAACAGTGTGAGAAATGTGAGGTACCAGTGGAAAAGTCAATTCCACGTTGTGGACACAAACAACTTGTCCCCTGCGGCATGGATCCATTGAAATACGTTTGTCAACATAAATGTGATAAAACCATGAAGTGTGGTCATACATGTGGTAACCCCTGTGGAATTGAGCATCAGTGTAAACAGACAGTGAAGAAGACCTGGAGATGTGGACACACAAATGATGTGGAATGCATGAGGAAAGACTCGGCTGTCTGTAAGGCAAAGTGTTCCACAATGCTGGAATGTGGACATGCATGTGCCGGGAACTGTCACGATTGTCATGAAGGAAGGTTACACCTATCATGCCGTAAGAACTGCAAGAGGAGCCTTGTCTGTGGTCATGAATGTAAGGACAGATGTAACAACTGTCCCCCATGCAGAAATGTTTGTGAGAACCGATGTCCACACAGCAAATGTTACAAAATGTGCGGCGAGATTTGTGTGCCGTGCAACGAGCCCTGTGACTGGAGATGTCTACACCATGCATGTACCAAGAAGTGTAGTGAGCCATGTGACAGACCTCCATGTGATGAACCTTGCCTGAAGCTTCTTCCCTGTCGTCATCCATGCATCGGTCTATGTGGCGAGCCATGTCCACGTCTGTGTCGAGAGTGCAATCATGATGAAGTCACATCAATCATGTTTGGCACAGAAGACGAACCGGATGCCAAATTTGTTGAACTTGAGGACTGTGGCCATATTGTTGAAGTATCTGCCATGGACCAGTACATGAAAATGGTTCCTGAAAATGATGTCATCCAATTAAAAGCATGTCCTCATTGCAAGACACAGATTCGCCGGAACATCAGATATGGATCTGACATCAAAAGAATGCTGAAGGATATAGACACGGTCAAAAAGAAGTATATTGGAAAGGATGAAAGAATAAAGGTTCTGAAAGCTCAACTTGAAGCTGAAGCCAGCAGGGAGGTTGGTCGTGAAGAACGAAAAGAAAAAATGGAAATGCTGAATAAGGGTTATGGTAATTCTGAAGTTGGTCTCAATGCTATTCAGAACCAATTTCGTTTCATGAAACGTGTGTCAAAACTATTTGATGCTTTCGAAAAGCTTGCAGATGACTGCAAAGAAGCAGTTCTTCGTCCGGTTCTAAGAGATGCTATTTCCAGCATGAAGGAGCTGGAGAAATTCCGACTATGGCTCATGGAGACACGATCATCTCTCAGTGATCAAGAAATCTCAGATGCCCAGGATGAAGTTGATAGGAACAAGGCTATCCTTAGGCTCTTAAAGATTGAGAAAATCATAGCAAATAGAAACCTTGATCTACCAGAGGCATTGCAAAAAGAACTTCAAGCTCTACAGGGGACTTTGAAATATGGCAAGAAGTTCAGCAAACAACGGCAAGATGGAGTGAAGGTTGTCTTTGAAAACCTCAAAAAACATGTTCCAGAATCTGGTCTTGGTATTTCTGAAGAAGAAAGGGTGATAATTGTGAAAGCAATGGAACTCACAAGCGGACATTGGTTTAGATGCCCCAATGGTAATAATATTTCGTAATTCTCTCATTTTCCCATCATTGAAGGGAGTTTTTAGACCCTAGGTTAATCCCTCATCTCAGACCCTATTGTCATATGTTCTCATTTAAAATTCGCCTTTAGTATCCGTGGCTGTGGAGCAATACAAAAAATGTGATTAACTAAAGTGGTTAATGGCTATGATTCGCTTTTTGAGTATTTTCTCAAAAATCATTTCAATGAAATAACTTAAGGAAAGAATATGTAGTTGTAGCCAGATACTACATGTAGTATTGACCACGATATTCAGATTATATTAGGATAATTTAGATGAAACTCTATACTGGAGGTATTATTGTTGGTATGAGAAAGTACAAAATACAATTTGGGGCTATGCTTCCCAAAGTGTGTGAGTTGGGTTTTACACTGCAGCTATCAATATTCCAGCAATATCATGGCACAGGACACCAGAAATTGGCACCACAAATTGCACCCATGTGGGCAATTAAATCCAGGTCCTGACGAGCAAATGCTTTAACCATTATCCCACCGTCCTGATTCCCTTAGTAACTTAGTCAATTTCTTTTTTTTCAGGGCATATCTACGCTATCGGAGACTGTGGTGGAGCAACCATAGAGTCGAAGTGCCCAGAATGTAACGCTGGAATCGGTGGCAGTGGTCACAGACTGAGAAGTGACAATGCCCTTGCACCAGAAATGGATGGAGCTCGCTTTGCAGCGTGGTCAGAACAGGCCAATCTTGAGAACTATAACTTGGATATGCTGTGAACCATTTGTGCTGATCTTTTGCAACCATTTTTCATGTGAGGTCTAATATATGTATCCATCCATCCATCCATCCATTCATCCATCCATCCATCGGGAGAGAGTAACGTGCTGATGATAAAGTAAGATATCACTGCTCCTATTATGTACTAACAAACACAATATTGTCCTTATTGGCATATACAGACACCTGCATTAACCAAACTGGATCTTATTGTATGGAGTGATTTTGTAAGGTAGCAGTAGCAAAACTTTTCCAACAATGTAAATAATTTCACCGTTTTCATTTAAATATGCATCCATAGTATTTTTATGTTTAAAAATTAATCCAAATGTCTAACTGTAGTCGTCGTTCAGTCGATTTAAGCAAAATATGCCTTGGGATGTTTTACAAACTTTGATTGTTGAAAGTTATAAATATTTAATGTCTATTGAATGCATATTATCTATCTAACACAGAATCGCCTTTTACAAACAATTAACATTGTTTGGAGTAAATTGTGATTACCTGGACTTCAAAGGTTTCAATTGGTGTGGATATTACTTATAACCGCGGGTCACGTTTTGATTCAGAGGCAAATTTAGATCACTGATATGGTTCACATTTTCTGCAGTACTACACTACTAAACATTCTGTTGTTATTATACCTGGTATGAATATATAGATAACCAGTGGTCTTCACATATGGTTAGATCTAGACTCAACACTGCTTGAAAATAATGTCATATATACGCTTTAGACGAAAATAAACATGTTTATCCATGAGTTTTAAAGGATTAACTACTTTGTGGATGTTGTGAAAGATTGGTGGAAGTGGCTTCGTTTTAGAGTGAGTGAGTGAGTGAGTATGGTTTTATGCCTCTTTTAGCAATGTGCCAGCAATATCTCGGCGGTGGACACCAGAAATTGGCTTCACACAATGTACCCATGTTGGGAATCGAACCCGGGTCTTCGAACCACTAGGCTACCCGACTGACCCGCTTTGTTTTAGAGGTTGAGACTGAATATGAAATAATGTCTACAAGTTTTGTCACTATTGGAAAGCTATTATCACCTGGTTACCTCTTTCATATTATTATTCTGAAATTGATGATCAGAAAAACAATGTTTGTCAGTGTTTTGAAAATAAATATTTACAATTCATTTGCTGTGTTTAATTGTTTCCTGTTGATGAGGATTGCTGAGCACACTTTGCGATAAAGTCAATGCCATTATCAAAGCATCAGATCATTTGGACAGAAAAAGTCACTTCTCGCGTTGAGTGAATTGGTGGGTGGAATTTTATGTCTTTGGGGAACACCTAGCTGGTACTATGAATCTCATTTCATGAATGAGAAGGTTAAATAGTTAATCTATGGCTGTGACAGTGCGATGATACATAGTATGATGAGGCAGCATGTGAATAACCTATGAAGCATATATTTTTGTTTTGAGTAGAGGTTGGTGTAACTGTTTAGCACATTACGACAGTAGGCATCTTTGAAGGAGGACCTTCAATGTGACGAGCAAATGGTTAGTGCCTTCCGGTACATGTGCCCCACCACCTCTTAGACATTTGTGCCTCGATTGTCAAGTTTGTCAAAATGTTAAGTTTCTTTCCCCCCCCAAATGTTTACCTGCATGTGGATTTAAATATAAATATACGTTATAAGCGCTTCAAATGACTGAAATATTACTTTGCTCGTTTACTTCTTTACTGCATAAATGTCAGAACCGTCATGTCAGAATGAAATGGACGTCACCAGCACCAATTACACTTGCATCAATTGCTTGTGAAGAGAGTAACAATGTTCTACCCTACCGGTAATACTCTTCATGTTTGGTTGTCTGAACTGGGAAATCTGTAACAGCTTCCTCGTTTGTCTCGTGTACCTGATCATCACCGACTACATGACCTCAGAATAGGATTTCATTGCATGCTTTCCTGCTTCTATATAATGAGGTTAATGTTTGCTGTCGACATGTCAGCAATTGATACACCTACCTCAAGTTTTGAACACAATTAGTGTTGCTTAGCGTGTTGGCACACGAAAGGGTTATGGGGAGTGTTCTCCACTATTTGAGTGAGTGAGTGAGTGAGTTTGTTAGTTTAACGCCGCTTTTAACAGTATTCCAGTTATATCGCGGCGTGTCAGCTTAATGTGGGAGGAAAGCTCGAAGTGATGCAGGTCTAAGACGTTTACCACTTCGGTGAAACCCACGAGCACGGGTATGGTGCTGACAAACCTAGAAACATAATCGGGGCAAACCGGGATTCGAACCCACAATCAAAGGTTTCTGGCGTGCTTAAGGGACGCAACTCTGCACAGCGAATCGCGGCGCCTTAGACGACTGGGCCACCCGTGCCCCCCTCCACTATTTGAACAAGTGATATATGAAGTCTCATTATTCCTAAGGACATATAAGGTCTATAGTAAGGAAATAAAATTCACTGTATTTGAATTACCATAATCATGTGATCCTGTCTTAGTATTTCATAGGTTCAGTCCAACAAACGAACATGTGTTAATCTGGACATTTTCACTTGAACTGTACTGTCCACATTAATAACGTTTTATGCAATATATTGGAAATATAGAAAGAAATACTGGCGTGAAAAGAGGTTTGTCTTTCTAAGGAAAAATTCCAACAAACTTCCATTTGTATCCCCCACTTTCTGCAACTGTTCTGTCCAATAGAATAAGAGACATGTATCACGCAATCATATACACACGTGTCGGATTGCACTAGCTACAATTTCGGTCGTTTCCACTTCATGCAAGTAAGCAAAGTGAGTGAGTAAGTGAGTGAGTTTGGTTTTACGCCACTTTTAACGGTATTCCAGTTATATTACGGCGTGTCAGCTTAATGTGGGAGGAAATCCCAAAGTGAGGCAGGTCTCAGGCAATTACCACTTCAGTGAAACCCACGCGCGAGGGTATTGTGCTGACAAACCTAGAAACATAATTGGGGCGAACCGGGATTCGAACCCACAATCCTAGGTTTCTGGCGTGCCCAAGGGACGCAACTCTGCACAGCGAATCGCGGCGCCTTAGACGACTGGGCCACCCGTGCCCCCCTCAATTATTTGAACAAGTGATATATGAAGTCTCATTATTCCTAAGGACATATAAGGTCTATAGTAAGGAAAGAAAACTCACTGTATTTGAATTACCATAATCATGTGATCCTTTCTTAGTATTTCATAGGTTCAGTCCAATAAACGAACATGCGTTAATCTGGACATTTTCACTGGAACTGTACTGTCCACATTAATAACGTTTTATGCAATATATTGGAAATATAAAAAAAAATACTGACGTGAAAAGAGGATTATCTTTCTAAGGTAAATTCCAGCAAACTTCCATTTGTATGCCCCGTTTTCTGCAACTGTTCTGTCCAATAGAATAAGAGACATGTATCACGCAATCATATACACACGTGTCGGATTGCACTAGCTACAATTTCGGTCGTTTCCACTTCATGCAAGTAAGCAAAGTGAGTGAGTGAGTGAATTTGGTTTTACGCCACTTTTAATAGTTTACCAGTTATATCACAGCGTGTCAGCTTAATGTGGGAGGAAAGCCCGAAGTGATGCAGGTCTCAGACGTTTACCACTTCAGTGAAACCCACGAGCACGGATATGGTGCTGACAAACCTAGAAACATAATCGTGGCGAACCGGGATTCGAACCCACACTCATAGGTTTCTGGCGTGCCCAAGGGACGCAACTGCACAGCGAATCGCGGCGCCTTAGACGACTGGGCAACCCGTGCCCACGTAAGCAAAGTGAAAACACAAGCACTACACATTTTATGGTATCAAAAGGTGGTGAGGTGAAATCGGGTTAAACGTCGCGTTCAATATTATTGTACTTAGATAATGTGCGCGCGCGCGCGCGCGCGCGTGTGTGTGTGTGTGTGTGTGTGTGTGTGTGTGAGTCTACTAGTTCGGAGTCATGCCGAATTTATAGTGCTTGCCCACTGAGATACCACGCCGCAGTTTAACATGAATACCCCACTCAGACACAGTATACTGACTCCGACCCAACTTGTCCCTTATTTAGCCCTATAATGTCGAGCGTCAGACAAGTACCATCTTTCAACGTCTTTTGGTATGACTCGGGCGGGAATCGAACCCCCGACGTTCCACTCTCCAGGTAGACACTCTACCTCCAGACCACGGAGGCGGTCCTTGTATCAAAAGTGAAAGTAGGACTTTTGTAGTACTACTTAGAAATGAAAATGAAACTAGATCAGTCACATTGATAATATTTAACGTGCAGATCGGTTTGAAGAATGTGAGGTGAGTGTTGAGTATGTTATCAGAATCATGACGAAGTCATGTATATATTTACATCTCTTATCAACATGACGATCCATGATAATTTCATAATGTATGTGTTACAAATTTGCTATCGTAGTGCACTATGAGCTGACAAATATATGACATGCCACAACAACAATTATGGTCATGTGGTGTTCATGCAAAAGGTGGATTGCTGTATATTCTCTGCAGGCTGACATTCCTAGCTTGAAGTATCTGGTGAATAAATTTAGCTTAAATAACAATGTTGCACTCATGTAAAGCTGATGATTTCAAATGTAGAATAAAATAATGATGATGTAAGTATTTCCTAACAATATTTCTGTAGGTCATTAGATTAGAAAAGTGTTCAATAACCAAATCGATACACTTATTTGTGCCTTATTTTAAATACTTTTATGGCTTCCCTTTAAGTCATAATGTGCCATGTTCTTAAATACAGGTATTGTTGTATATAAGAAGCATTAGTATTTATCTCGAACCTTGTAAATATAAAGCCCTAACCAGTGTCAACGGGGCTACATACTAACTTTGGGCACGTGTTCACGCTCATGGCCATTGTCACTATCCTATAACTATCCACCATCCACTTACTAGGAAGGTCTTAATCAATTGAAAACAAGTAAGGATAAGAATTTATGGATGAACAACTTCTTTATTACAATTAAGAGCGACGTTTCGGTGTTGGTTCTAACACAGTTATCAAGCAAGTAATAACGGTGTTAGATCCTACACAGACACGTCGCTCTAAATTGTAATAAAGAAGTTGTTCATCCATAAATTCTTATCCTTACTTAGTACTCCAACTTCTAAATGCCTATCAAAGAAGTGAAAACAAGTATATGAAACAAAATGTCACGATGAGCTGATATTTGCAAGAATGCCTTCATATGTTATGTTATGTTTGTTTGTACATGTATATGTGATGTTTGAATGTTGTGTGTGATATTTGTCTGAATGGTGGAATTGATATATCCATTGATTAATGTAGGTAAGTGTTTGTGTGTATATTTGTTGTGAGTGCGTGTGGATACATGGCTTCATAGCACATGTGCTAGATGATGTGTCATCACATCATGTGTGTTGAAGAAATGTTTTCATTGAGTATAATTACGTTTATGTGATGCATATGTATATTAGTAAATACATCAGACATGAGAGGGCAGGAAACACAGTCATAAATATTATGAACATTCAAGATACACAAACATTAAATGATCTCTGTTTATACCTACTCATTTAAAAAAATAAGAAATATGTTCAATACAACTTAATATACCTAATTTCCAAGAATACTACATATGATATGAGTGTCTTTGCTACATGTCTGTATATGTCGGTGCATGTTTTTGCCTACACTCATACAAAACAGCCTGCTAATTGCAACCCTAAGTACTTTTTCCTCTGGTCTTGTCTTTTGTGTACGTTTTTGTGGCTATGCACAGAAGTCATCATTACATGCATATACCATAATTAGTCATGGGACGTGTGCGTGTATGGGATTGTCCTTAACGTTACATAGAAGTGAATAGACGGACCCCAAGTCCTCATCACTGCTTTCATTATATAGTGGTGACAACTAACTGATTCACAGAACTTACTCAATATCTGAATGATCGAGCTAAACTGTCGAAGGACATATATCAAACTGCCCACTGAGACAAGTTGGCTGATCCAAGCAGACCAAGCACACGTTTCCGTCCTATTCGGCTTGTTTCAAATATATATGAGTAGTGTAAAATTTCACGGAGCACTCAGTTGTATGTATTTATAGTTAACCGATACAGAAAGAATGTTAAGCATTAGTTTGCCTTCAATGAGCGTATCAAATAACCCCACAGAAAAAGTGGAAGCCATTCACACTCTGCTGCATATCTAAATGTATATAAGCTGTCAAATTCTTTAAGTGCTGATAAAACTGTGTGTTTTTCATTCGTTGTAGTAAGCAGGAAAGATGCAAATTATTTTCAAATAAATCAAATCATATCATTTTGACTGCAATAGTTTTCTCACATCAGACAAATTACCACTGCCAATTTACTCGTTGCAAAGAACCAGCACACATATGACAAATTGTTACATAGCCACCTTTAATCACAAGTCATCTTGAGGAATGAGAGATTTGTTAAACATGGTTATCATCTTATTTTGAATTTGTTCGTATTTCTAAAAGATCAAAACTTAACTTCAAAAGCTCTTTGGCCGTGACATTTGTATTGAATTGTGAGCAATTCATATTTGCATTAAATAGCTATTACGTCTAGTCGTTTTGTGACACCACTTCATTGCATGCACAATGCAAACAGCTCCGGGTGTGGTATATCAACACACATAGCTTAGTGTTCATATTGCGCAACTGTATCTGTGTTGGGAGCTTGCCAATACTATAAATAGACCCAACGTTATCAGCCGATTGATTGTTGGCAAAGTCGCCCTCCGCTGACGTTTATCAGTCACAACAGGGAAACAAAAGTCTTGCACAGCGCTCGGTGAATAGAGGTAGGGATTTATGTGAAATTGGCTGTGGGACTCAGTATGGGGCAGTCAGGGTGTGACGGTGTACACATAAATATACCGCGCGGTGCATGGGAGGTAAGGGAAGAGCAAATGTATCGTATTCAGCTGTACATTGTTTCGTTCAAAGATCCATTTCATAGATCAATAATATGTGTATCATCTGTTGAAGCATTTATACTCTCGTATTAAGGTTTTCACAATACAGATATGGAATCATGTGAATATTTTACTTGACATTATTCGCCAGTGGTCATATTCGTAAACAGAAGGGGTACTTATAAGCTTGCTTGACTGTGAACGAGGAAGCGAAAACGACATGACCTCTAATAACCACTGACAGCTGTATGAAATTCAAGCATATCTACACAGTATTATTGACGTTTAAATGTTTGTAATATGTAACTATTACTCTAATAATGTCTCATTGCTGTTTCGTTCAGTGCACATATTTTTTTTATTTCAGATAACTTAGTGTCATGGCAGTGTTCCTGGTGAGGGCTTCTAATGTAAATCTTTAGACTCGAGAAAACATTCAACATGGAGGACTTCCCACCACTGAGGCCTGCATCCAAGGCAGGAAAGAAGACCAGAGAAAAAGAGAAAGGCGAGAAAGAACAACGTACACATTCACTTGGTAAACTTAGTTTGAAAGAGCTGGCAAACTGTTTGGAACAGAGAGACAGCGATGAAAAGCTTTCCGATGATGAATGTGAAGACACTACCACACAGAGCCAAAGCTCTATCAATTTGCCATCCTTATCAACATACCCAGATGATAATGATGGAACTGGAATCAAGGATACAACTTCAAAAAGACTGATGAAAGGAAAACCGAAAAAGAGAAAGTTTGTTCCTATAAACATTTACTCTGAATCCTCTAATTCAGAAACAAATCATGGATTGGATAGACATGCTACCCATGGAGAAACAACTGTCAGAGATTCTTTGGAGTCTTCAACAAATGTGGAGCCAGATTATGAGGTTCCAGCTGACTCTACAATCCCCAAAACACAACACCATACAGACTTCAAGAATCGGAAGAAAGGCTGGGAACACACATTTGAAGAGCAAATTTATATATCAAAGCAGTGTGATAATCATACCCACACAGTCAACATGATTGGAAAATCTCCTATCAGTGATGGTATCAAAGACAATGTGACGAAGAGCCCGGCATATAACTGTGGCCTTCTTCAAGGAGCGCCTTATGTAGGTGAAAGGTATAATACCCATACATTCCAAAGGTATCCCATACCAACTGTCGGGGTAACAGGTGTTAATGACACAGAAGAGCAGGAAATATTTGAAGATAAAAGAGAAAACAAACATTCAAAGAAAGGGAAGAAACGTAGGACACACATGGTGCCAGCTCCTGTTGAAATGTTGGGATTTAAAACCAAGAATCCGAGCCGTAACACGAAAACTGGCAACGGTACTGTAATTGCTAACGGTTTAGATTTGAAGCCTTCAAACTCGAAACGCCAAGCACAACGAAAGACCCAAATGCGAGCTATTCCTATTATACATCAAGATGACACAGATAGTTCAGACGAATTGGTGGATAGAGACTATAGATGGATTCATGAAAATCTCACTGACAGAACAATTTCTTTGTCCCTATTGAGATCTTTACAATGTCAGGCATCGTCTGTAATAGCACTCACTCTTGCTAGGAATGTTGACCTGGAGCACCTCTTGAATAATGAAGACTTTGACATAGAACACATTCTTCTACTTCTGTCTCTGATTTCCAAAGGATGTGAGTGTCAAGTTGTACCAAAGACTGGATTGCAAATCCTAACAAAGATGACAGGGTTTCTTTCAAAACATTTACACTCCCTAACAAAACGACTTGCAGAAAAAGTACATACAATTGAGTCATTGACAATTCAAAATTTTTTCAGAGACATGGTAACAATTTTGAAAGAGATGGTACGGAGAGTGAAGGACACTGGTACTGATCCAACAGCAATACCCAGGCTGATACTGACAGTTACAGCTAAACAGTTTAAAACATTTCTTGAAGAGTCACATCATCAGATCCTTCTTGATTTAGCATCATTGAAAGAAGCAAGAGTCAAAGCATGTGAAGATACTTTCTTGCATAAGGATGACAATTTCCGTCACATCAAACTCATGCCCACAAATGATGACATAAACCCATCCATGAAACCAAGTCTAACGAAAAACAAGGCAGTCGGCAGATACACAGACGTCGATGAATATTTAGATGTTCAGTATAGACTACTCAGGGAAGATTTCATTCAGCCTTTACGAGAAGGTGTTTCAGAGTACCAAGACCTGTTGGCTATGAAGGACAGAAAAACAATTCGTCTGTATCAGAATGTACTAGTAAGGCGATTCTTCTGCTCAGAAGATGGAATTGTATACAGATTACAATTTGATGTAAGCAAACTTTCACAAGTGGATTGGGGTAATACAAAGAGACTCATGTATGGGTCTATGGTATGCATCTCCTCTGATAACTTCAAGACAGTGAGGTTTGCAATAATAAGTGACAGAAAGCCAGAGAAACTCCAACAAGGAAGGATTGACATAAAGTTTGATAATAAAGTCAAACTTGATCCAGGAACACAATTTGCAATGGTAGAAACTCCAGCACTGTTTGTTGCATATCGACATGTGCTAATCGGAATTCAGCAGATAGAGAGCAACAAGCTACCAATGTCTGAATACTTTGTAGAATGTCGTGCAACATTGGCAACTCCAGAATATTTGAGACATGATGACGCTATCAGCTATGATATGAGTGGTCTTGCAATGACGTCAAAAGATAGTGGGACCTCAATCAATTCTGTAAGTGTATGTCAAGAAGTGGAATGGCCCATTGCTAGTGATCTTGATATGGACGAATCCCAGTTCCATGCATTCCACACAGCTCTTACGAAGGAACTTGCCATCATTCAAGGGCCTCCTGGAACAGGCAAGACCTATGTTGGACTGAAGATTGTCAAAGCTTTGATGCAAAACAGACATGCATGGAACCCTGATAATTCGAGGCCACTTCTGGTTGTTTGCTACACAAATCATGCTCTCGATCAGTTCTTGGAAGGAATTTTGACATTCTTTAAAGGGAAGGTTCTTCGTGTGGGTGGGCGTTCAAAAAGTGACATATTGATTAACCATAACCTCAATCGCAAACGATCTGAGCTGTTCAGGCACAAAACCTTCCTGGATGAAGACATCAGCAACATTTTGGAAATACGACAGGAATTGAGGGAGGACTTCACAGTATGCCAAAAAGAGCTAGAAGAATATGGACAACAAATTGATGCAACTACAGAAGGTGTCCTTCATGAAGATTATTTGAAACCCTTTATGAAGCAACAATATAGGAAGATTACAAATACATTCGGTAAGAAGGACTGTTTTTCTGCCCTCCTGGAATGGCTTGATATCCAAGGTATAGGCAAGGAGAAGCTCTCAATGCATCCAACAGTTTCAGCAGAACCGAAGGGAAGCATTCAAAATGATGACATTGAACAGGTAGATGAAAATGAAGAAGTGGATGAAACAGAAAAGGAAAGGAAGCTTGATGACATTGATGAATACCTGCAATTACAAACACGAAATTTATCCATGTATAGGAATCGGTGTCTTGCTGTTAGTCTTCTTGACTGTGATTTGACAGATGAGCAGTGGAAAACTAAACATAAGACTTCTATGAAAAGGGATAGCAGACAGACACTGAAAACTCGTTTGAGAAGGGAACTTTTGTCCCGCACCAAAATGGAAGAGCATGAAGCATCTAGTGTAGATGCAAATGCTCTGTCAATAGCTGACCGATGGAGATTGTACAGGTACTGGGTTGAACTATTTTGTCAGAGGATGCATCACCTGATGGAACCCCTTAAGTCAGTATGTCAGAATGCTGCTGATAGGTACAAAGAAGCAAATGCACTGGTCGACAAATACGTCTTTGAACATTCCTCTGTGATTGGCTTAACTACAACGGGAGCAGCAAGATACCAGACCCTTCTGACAGATATACAACCTCCTATTGTAATTGTTGAAGAGGCAGCTGAAGTATTGGAAGGACATATCATTACATCACTTAGCCCAGGGTGTCAGCACCTCATCCTGATTGGCGACCACAAACAACTTAGACCAAATCCAAACGTGTATGAACTGGCCAGGAGATATAACCTGGATCTATCTTTATTTGAACGGATGATTAACAATGGTTTACATTGCGATTGTCTTGAGCTACAGCATAGAATGAGGCCCTCCATCTCCAAGGTGTTGAGGCACATCTATGACAAGTTGAAAGATCATGAATCCGTGTTTTCTTATGGGGATGTTCGTGGAATTTCAGAGAACATTTACTTCATTAACCACTCTGTTCAGGAGTCAGAAAACAAGGAACTCTTGAGTCATCTGAACGACTTTGAAGCAAAGTACATCACGAAACTGTGCCAATATCTACTAAAACAGGGTTACAGTCACAGTCAAATTACAGTGTTGTCAACATATTCAGCTCAGGTGTCACATTTGCGGTCAATGATGACACAAGAGAGACAAGAAGGTCTGCTGATAACAGCTGTTGACAATTACCAGGGAGAAGAAAATGACATCGTTCTCCTGTCCTTAGTACGCAGCAACCAAGAAGAAAAGATTGGGTTTTTGAAGACTGACAACAGAATATGCGTCGCCCTATCCAGGGCAAAAATAGGACTATACGTTATTGGCAATTTTGATTTACTGGCACGGCACAGTGAAACTTGGAAAAACATCATTCAGGACCTGAACGATTCAAATCAAATTGGACCAGGTTTGGAACTCTACTGCCAGACGCATCCTAGAACAGACCGCATTGTTGTCACAGATCTTAAAATGTTCCAACAAGTCCCTGAGGGTGGTTGCATGAAGCAATGTCACTTTATATTGAACTGTGGACACACGTGTACATTGAAATGTCATGCATATGACCCAATGCATGTGCTGTTTTCTTGTAAGAAGGAATGCCAGAGGACGATTTGCAACCTTGGTCATCCATGTCCTGCCATTTGCTCGGATAAATGTCCGCCATGTGAGTTTCCGGTTAGCAGAACTATTCCCAAATGTCAACATACACAGGAGATACCTTGCAGCGTGGATCCAGGGATGCACGTGTGTCTCAGCGAGTGTGAGGAAATTTTGGAATGTGGGCATAAATGTGGAAATCTGTGTGGGTATGACCACATCTGCTATGAGACAGTTCCCAAAACCTGGCCATGTGGTCACACAGGGGAGGTACTGTGTACAGAAAAGGATCAAGGTCGGTGTCTGGTCCGATGTGATGCAAAACTCCTGTGCGGACATACATGTGAGGGATTCTGTTATGAATGCAATGAAGGACGGCTTCATGTGCCATGCAAGAAGAAGTGTACAAAGATTCTTATTTGCGGACACCCATGCAAAGCTTCTTGTTCTAGATGTCCGCCTTGTACTTTAGATTGTGAGACGGCTTGCCCTCACAGCAAATGTCAGAATCCCTGTGGACAGAAATGTCAACAATGTGACAAACCATGCCTGTGGGCGTGTGCACATTTCAAATGCAAACAACTGTGTGGAGACGTTTGCGATAGAAATCGCTGTGATAAACGTTGTCGCAAAAAGCTGGAATGTAAACACACCTGTATTGGACTATGTGGAGAAACCTGTCCAGGCTACTGTAGAATATGTCACAAAGATGATGTGTCAGCCTTCCTTCCAGAGTCAGAAGACATTTCAACAGCCAGGTTTATTTTCTTAGAAAAATGTGGACATATAGTTGAAGTACATGCTCTTGACAGAATAATGGAAAATGTTCAAGCCAGCAAGCAGATACAGCTTCCATGCTGCCCATGGTGTAGCACACCAATCAGACGTAATACCAGATATGGAGCTATACTAAATCAGATACACAAACAAATGGAAATGGAAAAGGCTGCCCTGGCTGAGATGACAACAGAACGGCTCACAACCCTACAGAATGTGATACATACTGACATAGACAGCTTTGACTGTGAAGGTGATGTGTCAGAATTGATAGCAAATGCAGGTGAAGATGAATCTCGCCTGGTGGCAGTTAAAAACCAAAAGACATTCCTGATTGGAATGGAGAAGTTGAAATCAAGGATAACTGAACCACAGGAGGAGGATCATGATGGAATTTGGCATGACATCAACAAATTTGAGCAATGGCTGAAAATCCAACGAGATGTCTTTACTGAGCAAGAAGTCTCAGACGCTCACCACGAATTCCAAAGAAATACCATTGCTGTGTTTCTGCATGAATTATTATCAAGGGAATCTAAAGACAATTTGTTACCCTCAACCTTGGCACTTCTGCAGAAAGTTAGGGCAGTTATCAAGACAAAGGAAAAAATAACTGAAGACGAATATAAGCTCGTTACAGAGCTAAAGCATGACGTTTCCCACGTCATTGCTGACATTGAGTTTTATGATAAACTCTCAAAGGACAAAATGCCCGCCTGGAGACACTTGAAAGCAGCACAAGGACATTGGTTCAGATGCCCAGTCTGTGAGTATAGGACAGTTAATGATAATACGTTGAAGTATGTAGGGATGCATCACCAGTTAATCAAGTGTAAGAATATGTGCAATATATTTATTTGACATATAATAGATAATTAATCATAAGGTTATTTATGTTTACACAAATGTTCTTATTATTATATTACTCTTGAGAACTTTCATTTCATTTCATTTTTTCAACTAACTGTTTGCTTTGAAAATAAACAGTGCAGATACTGGGGATGCTATATTATACCAGAGGTAAAACCGCTGTTACTGAAATGTTCCGAATGTATGAAGAAAAGTAACAAGGTTGTAGTAGTAAAGGTAAATAACACAATGATACATGCTCCGAACCGAGAAGGTAAACAGTGATGAAATTGTCATATTGTGTGCCACAGAAAGTTCAGATTAATGACTAGTTCATTTTGCCATTTGTCCCTCTCTTGGTTTATACGTATGTTCGTACAGCTGATGACCACATCTACTATGCTGAGGATGACTTGATGCAAGATGAGTGCTATATGTGTATTCGGGACCAGGCTTCACTGGAAGGTGACATATGTCAAGGTAGATTTCCCTTTGTGTATGTGTATCCATAGCAGCGCTGTCGTCACGAATACTATGTCAAATTTATCTTGCTACGATGAGAAAGAACAAAGAACTTGCCTTTATGACTTAAATTCCTTTTCTTGTCACAGAGGTTCTGAAATGGACACTTAGGCACGATCGATATACACTAAGCTATTGCCTCAGATATCCTGATGTTTGACTTGTTACATATATGTTTGTATATTCCAGACTCAAAGGATACAGACAAAGATTGCTGAACTCATCCAAAATGCACAGCCTGGACTGTTGATTGTACTGCGTTATCATTGATATGTATTTACATATGGTTTCACATGAACCTTAGAAGGTGCTCTCCCACATGTATTTGAGAAACCGATAGAGCAGGACATGCTTCCCATTTTGTGATCACCTACTGTAATCACTTATTGTCAGTAGTCCATTCACATAACTTTCGCAGCAATGTTGCCATTAATACGAAATTGTAATCTGTTTCGGCAGATAATCTAGACTGGTTTTTCTCTTGCACTGACAATTTATATTGTATCCATATGAAATTATTGTTATTGTAATATATGTGTGAAGTGTATAACACAATATTGTACCCAACTGATAATGGTTACCATAATGGAAACAATATTACATGGTGCTTACTGTTTTCTGTATATATTTGCTATATTTATTTTATAGTTGATATCTAATATTGCTACATGTGAGATGAATTCTATGGCAAGGGGTTATGTGTATGTGTATGTCGAAAGAACTTACTACATGATGTGAAGGTGTTCTTATGATTTTCATCCTTCGTGTTCACAACCCATTCACATATCAGAAGTTCTATATTTACACCATTATGATGACGTCACAGTAGTGTTATTGCAGTTGATTCTGAGCCAGGAATTCACTTGCCATTCAGAACGTGTGTTTTAAACAAGTAAAACTGACGCAACTATACGTCATTATGTACAATCATGGAAATCTTTTGTTCCAAACAATACATGGTTTAAGTCCGCGAGAATCTGAAGTCAACCAGAATTTGTTGATTCAAGAAGTAGAATGAACTCGCCTCGTCAGGGTTCGCTTGTTCTACCCACGAAATCAATAGGTTCTCGTGATTTATTGGTTTAGTCGGGGTGACAGCTTGGAACTGTGTGAATAAAACTAATGTATAGTTAGACCACGCAACCAAGTCCAGTGACTGAGACACCGTGACCGAGCAAAAGGTTTTTCTTTACTTACGGCTGTGTGATGGTAGATTGCATACCCTTATAGAAGAAGCATGAAATACTGACATGTCCGGTTGTGTGCAAAACATTAGCTCCTGTGAACAATGCCTTTTTGCAAGCACTAACAAAGTTATTACTGTTGTCGTTTTTGCCATCTGCAGTTTATGATAGAATACGTAACTGTATTTGTAATGAGCTGTGTTATTACTTAAACAATAATTAGTAAGGGAGTTCTTACTTTACTTAGAGATCATTGAGAGCAGGGGTCACCATTAGGTGTACTGAGAATACAGCACCAATCATCTGATGATCTGAGTAGAAGACTGGAGTCTGGAATGCAACCACACTGGCGTGATCAGTTAACAACAAGTCCAGCGTAACTCCAAGACAGTATGTTGGAGAGTGAATGAGTTGAGTCATAATCCGCACATGAAAGAAATCTTCAAGTTTCAGTTTTTCACTCAGATCACAGTTGAAATCTCCAGTAACTAGGACATATTCACATTAATGCTGCTTGGGCGCCCCTGTTCATGTTACCGGTACCCACTGGGAGGAAGTAGGCTGGTTCGGGCGCCCCTGTTCATGTTACCGGTACCCACTGGGAGGAAGTAGGCTGGTTCGGGTGCCACCTTTTTATGTTACCACCATGCACTGCGGTGAAGTAGGCTGGTTCGGGTGCCACTTGTTAATTGTGTTTTCACAATAATTCACCATATACCTTGTCCAAGTTCCTTTGTCAAGTTGTACACATCTCAATTAGGTTATTATGGTAACGGTTCTCAGACAACCCTGCGTAGATGTTTTTGGTAGAATGTGTAAACGGTTTCCGAGTTATGCACTTGCTAAGGTAACATTCGTAAAAACTCCCAAACTATCAAAAGTCACCAGTTGGGGCAAAATCTAATACTTTTTTTTAATCACAAACTGTCAAAAGGCACCAGTTTTCCACTAGACCTATGGGCCAAGTTTGGTGAAGAAATATTATATGGTTTTCAAGATCTGCTCCGGAAACGAGCACTGCCGCCATTTTCGTTACAAGTCGTTACAAGGGAAATTGGAAAAATATATTTTTAAAATAAACCAAACTGTCAAAAAGCACCAGTTTACCACTAAACCTATCTAGGTGCCAAGGTTTTGGTTAAGATATCTCTCATGTTTTTTCAGTTCTGCTCCGGAAACAAAACGTGACAGGCGGACGGACGGAAGGACAGAAGGACGGACGGACGGTACCCATTCATATATCCCCCTTCCACTTCGTGGCGGGGGATCATAATGGTCATATATGAACGCACCTGGGATCTTTGTGAACTATATGTGTATAACAATAAACTGACAAAATCTAAACAAAAAAAGCGTTGAGTTCGAAAGAAACTGAAGCAGATATGTAGAGGCTAATTGTAGTTTCCTATCTAGTGACCTGATTATGTTGATATTTTAATGAGAGGCGCAAACTGCTCATAGTTATCTTCATGGTATTGTACACTGAAAACCAAGGGAAACTGATTAAAGGAAGTTCCTTCATCGAGTGAATATCAATTGTGTGTTTCGAGATAAAGAAAAGAATATTTTTATATACTATGTGAATTGATTTACTTGCCATATATGTCCGAGATAAAAATTTGATCAGCATGACTTTGGGGAATTTGGAAATATATATTTCAATGGACATAAATATTTCTGTATGTTATTAGATTGATTTATCTGCTTACAAACATTTTGACAGTCTTATTCTGCTTGCTTATTTAAATCTTTGTAGTGGCAGTACGTCCTGTAATTATATTCATATGTATATTGTATACATAGACTAAATGCCCATGGTTTCATGGTTTAGGTGCATATGTTATCAAATCATCATTATTACTTTTTTTCTTTTTTCTATAGCTTGATTTCTTTCAAATAAATGTATTGATATTAAGGATATGACTGTCTGTTGTTTATACAGTGTGAGGTTAGAATCATGTATTCATATGTTCATTTATATTGAGGAATTGTCAGCAGAAAATTATGGGAATGCATTGAACAGCTTATGGATTAATTGACTGACTGGGGTGGTGATCAAGGAAATTCAATGCATCGATCCAATGAAAATAGATATTTCCTTAATCGGAAAGGAAAAGTGGCACAACCTTGGTGAAACACACGTAAGGGACCGATAGAAAGATGATTTAGCCACGACCACGAGGGTCTACGTGATAAAACAATGCTGCAAAACTACACATCCTCGAATCTTGACAATAATCAGTGTCATTAGTTGTTTCAGTATGCGGCCGACACTACGACGTGTTCTCATGACTTTACATGGTAAACTGCTTAACAGTATGGCTCTAAACAAATATATATATATGGCTATGGCTCTCAACACACACACACGCTATGGCTCTCAACACACACACACACACACACACACACACACACACACACACACACACACACACACATATGTTGAGAGCCATAGCCATACATATATATATCGAGACGAGTGCTATTATGTCACGCTGTGACATCCATATTCAAAATCCTACGGTTCAAGGCTTTAACGATAAGAGATGTATGACGTGTGTACAGTCTATCTTTACACCTGACGATATGCTCTGATCAATCGGCACTTCTCCACATAAACACAAACATGCATTATGTGATGATTTTTTTATATCGCACAACTACACCCACATGTGGTTGAGCTTTTTCTTATGCAATTAACATATATGTATGTATATGTACGAGTATACACCGATAGCAGTTCTTGCAGGTAGCCAGTGTACACGTATTGATTCACAACAGCCATTGTACAGTGTTTGTATGCAAGGCCCTGAGCTGGCGAGATTGCATGACTGAGTCACGCGATAGCAACAGATAGCCAATCATTTCATGTCAACTTTCGTTTCTCCATTTCCCGGTATTTCCAACAATGGCCGACTAACAAATTTTCTTTCACTTGTCAAATCAACACTAGCCATGGACACTCATGTTATCTGGAAAATTTGCTATATAGGCTTGATCGGATCGTAATGTCCACCAAGGCACATGTAAGTCATTCTTTCTCTTTGTTGACAGCGATGTAGTCCTGCACCATGACCGTGGAATATATTTATTTTATGAAAAATAACTAAATCTAGAAATGCATACAAAAGCAAATCTAGCGAGCTCAAGCTAGCTCTATTCCACAGCATAAGGATTTGTTTTAATTTTTAGAGTCAAGAAGGATATTGTGTAATATAAGATTTCTGAGACTAAATGTTAGTCTAACAGCAATGATGTAATAGCACATAAAAACTTGTATCATTAAAATATTATCATTGTTTACATTTATTAACGCTATCGCTGTTAGGGCTCACGAATGCAATACGAGTGCTAAACTGACTATGCTACAACATATTTGGAACATACGTTGTTGAAATTGGGTGCAGTGGTCATTGGTGTTGTTCTTTTATATTGCTATGGTTGATGACTTGTTAAGGGAAGATATAATATAATGCATATATAGGCAAATACGTAGTGGCTTCATGTGGGAAAACACTTGCAAACTATCTCTATGAGGTTTGGTAACTGTGGAGAATTTCAAAATATATATGCCTTTTGAGCAACACGAATGAACCACCGGCGTAAGGGAGGTAACTCTTCCGTCCCCGACATGCTATGCATGTACCCTGGAACACCCGTCAAAATATGTATTACATATACCCCGATTTGATCAGGAGACTCTAAGTTATAGTAATATGACGTAGCTTATAGTTGTAATATGAACCCGCATAGAGATTTTCAATGTACACGATCATAATCAGACATGTACTGATTCCATATTTCACATGTTGTTAATGTTTGTGTTGTTTTTGTACGGGCATGTGCGTTAGAGAGCTGGTGTCTTTAAAGAATTGTATGGTACAATTGTCGTCGGATATGTTTTATGTCCACACTTTCTTTCCCGATCCATTCATTATTCAAAATAACTATAATATATATATTTTTTTATTTGCAGGAAAAATGTATAATGAATGAACAGTGATATAACCCAGATATAACATCTACGGAAATGTCCAAGTTTGATGTGGATGAGTCGGTTTGTGAAGTCAGTGGTGCTTCTCTGATCATGGTTGGTACAATGAACACAATCAATTACAGCCCTAGGTCTGTTGACGTGGATTGTATTGATGAATCACCAGACACTAGTACTGAATCTGAAGAGAATTCGTTTCTGGATGAAAACATATCTTCCAAAGTAGATGACACGAAAGATAAATTTCAGGAAGACACGAAAATAGATGATGTATGCCCTCAGCGTGACACACAGAAGGGCCACTCTCCCACAGAGAGCTTTGAAGATGGGGAGTCTTCCACAGGGCTTGAGGATGAGAATGAGAATGAGGATGAGGAGACATCTGGTGAGCTAGAAACAACCACCTCAGTGGTCATGTTTGGAAACTCAAATACCCTTAACATCAACATGGCTGACGACATTCGAAGCATCGACTTAGGAAAGGATACAAAGGTCACCATTAAATACAGAAAAACGATTAATCCCTGCAATAAAGATCCTCCCACAGAATGTGAGTATACTTTGCGTCTAATTTATGCAATAGTTTTCGGAAACAAATGTAAAATTTTACATGCAGCTATAGCTATTCAAATTGCGGCATGAAATTATCAGAATTGAAGCTCAACATAAACAACTTAAGAATATCTAACAAAGCACAATTAACAAAATAAACTGTCTTCATATCCCGACAGCATCATTCGTGAGTTATGCAAATGTGACCGCTCAAAATCGCGAATAACCAACTACCAAATGGGATCTCAAGTGTAAAATCCTAGTGGATGCTGTTGAAGCGTATCCCCCCGCTAGCCAAAAACATAACTATTACACGTCCCAGTGACCAAACATATAATCATTTCACAACCCACTGACAAATGATATAGCTATTACACGTCCCATTGACCAAAGATATAATCATTAATTTTCACAACCTACTGACAAATGAAATAGCTATTACATGTCCACTGACCAATAATATAACTATTACATGTCCCACTGAGCAATAATATAACTCTTACATGTCTCGTTGACCAATATGATCATTATTACACACCCGACTGACCAATATTACAATCATTACATACCCTACTGACCAATAATATAACTATTACATCTCCAACCGACCAATAATATAATTAATACACACCCCACTTACAAATTATGTCATAATTACTCAACCCACTGACCAATAATACAATCATTGCATGTACCATTGAATTATAATTATTACGTGCCCAAATGGCAAATACGATAATCATTATGCACCCAAATAACCAATATTATAATCATTACATACCCGGTGACCAATAATATGACTATTACATGTCCAACCGACCAATAATATAATCATTACACACCCCTCTTACAAATAATGACATAATTACTCAACCCACTTACCAATAATATAACTATTACATGTCCCACTGAGCAATAATATAACTATTACATGCCCCCCTGACCAATATGAAAATTATTACACACCCAACTGACCAAAAACACAACTATTACATGTCCCACTGACAATTATATGATCATTATACACCCCTATTACTGTATATTATAAGGAATATACAACCCACTGACCAATAATACAATAATTACACAACGCACTGACCAATAATATGATAATTACATACCCCAATGATCAATAATACAATCATTGCACGTCCCACTTACAAATAATGTCATAATTACTCAACCCACTCACCAATAATATAACTGTTACATACCCCACTGACCAATATTATAATCATAACACACCCAACTGACCAATATTATAATCATTACATACGCCACTGAACAATAATTTAATAATTCCAAGGCCTTCTGACCAATAATATAACTATTACATGCCCTATTCGCCAATAAAATAATCATTACACACCCAACTGACCAATAATATAATGATTCCAAAGCCCACAGACAACCAATCATATAACTATTGCATGTCCCACTGATCAATAATATAATCATTTCACGCCCCAATGACCAATAATATAACTACTACATGTCCCACTGACCAATGAGTTGAATGATTACACAACCCACTGACCAATTATGTATTAATTGCTCAACCCACTGACCAATGATACAATCATTGCATGTCCAACTGACCAATACTATAATCATTACACACACGACTGACCAATAATATAACTATTGCATGTCCCACTGATCAATGTGATAATCATTATAGCCCCTACTGACAAATAATATAATAATTACACACCACACGGACCAATGAAATAACTATTACATATCCCGCTGACCAATAATACAGTCATTGCACACTCTACTGACCAATAATATGATAGTTACACAACTCAATGACCAATTATACAATCATCCCTTGTCACACTGACCAATAAAATAATAATGACACCTTCACTGAGCAATAATATAACCAAAACATGCCCCACTGACCAGTACTGTAATCATTACACAGCCAACTGACAAATAATATAATTATAACACACCCCACTGACCAATAATATAACTATTACACATCCCACTGACAAGTAATATCATGTTTACATGTCCTACTGACCAAAAACTGTTACTTGTATTAATGCTTAACCATAATCCTTAATACAGCTTGTTCTTTCTTCAGAGCTGTAAAAGAACGTTATAAGACTATCACTCAAAAGTTCTTTGATCAGGGTTACGACATTAGATAACACTTTAAACCCTTGATAACACTTTTGTGGTACACATGTCTTTCAGGTGAACAATTGTCTTTTCTTTGCATGTTGTATGTTGATTCATAATATAGTGACACTGATATAGTCAGAATCTTGCAACGGGCGTTGCCTTTGGCAGAGAATTTCTATGGTTATGGCAATGGTTTTCTCGCTGTTAATCGCTGACTAATAATGCATTACACCATAGAAATGCAGTACTAAATACATCTACAGTAAAATAGGTTTATAATGAAAACGCTTATAACGAACTGACGGATATTACGAACTGAACTTTTGGTCCCGTCCATATGTTGTATATATGATTATAACGAACTACGGTTATAACGAACCAAAATTAGTGGTCCATTTGAGTTCGTTATAACCATTGTTAACTGTGCATCTATGTATCGTGATTGAAACAAGAACAACTGCAATCACATCAGTATCATCAACATGCACTCTGGTAAAAATCTCCCTTTCAATTTTCAGCTAACAATGAAAAACGTCAGCTCAGGATAACAATAGATGTAGAAGACATTCCATATGCAATGGATGCAGCCTTTGCCAATTATCACCGCCCTAGGGCAAATCTGAAAGAGAAGTTAGGCAAACTTTTCGATCAATTAAACTACATAATTGATTTAGTAACACCAGGGTCCATTGTAATAGAGTTACGACCAACAACAGGGAACTCTATTGAAGCACTGCTAGCATCAATAGAGAATGGGCAGTTTGATAACATAGTCAAGGAACTATTAAGTGACGAATCAGTATTCAAGCTGATTGCTGGTAAAGAAGTGACTGTTACTGTTGACTTGAGCATCCCAGAGGAGCTTATCCAGAAAGCTGGGACATCTGTCAAGTATCCCTCTCCTGTTCTGGAGACCAGCGTGTTGTCAGATGTGACTGTGACAGTGCGAGAGGAGGGCCAGGACGATGATAACAGCAGTCAGTCGTCATCCGTTGATCCCCCTGATCTACAATGTGTGGAAGAAGATCTATCCACTAGTGTTGACCCAACGCCATCAGCAGGTAGTATAAATTATTTATGATCTTGTCAGTATATCATGATAAATTTAGAATGATCAGATGTGGTCAGTGAAATTATGATAAGGTTTATTATTTATTTTCGCCGTTTTTAATTTTATGAAAGGTGAAAGGTGTGGCTCAATCATGTTTTTCTTATTTGGAAAATTGCTTTGATTTTTCACTCAAGGTTATCTATCAATTTAGATGACCAAGGCGGTGCGGCCATCAGCGTATCATCTTCAAGGTAAATATAACAGAAATGGGGAAAAAATATTCAACCTAGTCAAGGGCTGCACATAGCTGGACAATATAAAAACAATAAAAGTGTCACGATGAACCAAAATCAAATGCTTATTTCAAAGTTAAAATTAGTATAATGTTACTTTCGAACGAGTTTCTCTCATATTTCAGCATTAGTTCTATTCATGGTTATGTTCTCTTTAACCTGACTTATACATATATCTTAAATGTTTTATACATGTCGAAGTTTGTGTTTCAGACAAAAATATGGTAGACCAGGAAAGCTGACTCTTTCGTCACTGAAGTTGTTGCAGGATTCTGACCCATCAAATATAATCATATTCCTCAATGAAGACATCAGAGGTTTTAAAACAATGTTGACTGGACGCGACGTGACACCAAGAGACATCAAACTGATGGTCTCTGTCCTGAGTAAAGCAGTTCATTGTGAATCAATGCCAAAAGGGATCAACATCATACTCAGTACTGTTGTCATGACCCCTTTCTTTCGGACACCATACACACGTTTTCTGTCATGTCTTGACACTAAAGACACATGCCAAGTGACGTTGGAGAGTCTTCCAATCTTCAGAGAGATTTTGACAAGGATGCCGTCTGAGGGATGGCATATTGTGAACACTATTGCTCTACTATCGCATGGTTTGTTGCAAAGGAATAACGTGAAAGATGCTGCTGTCATTAAATGCATAGATGAATTAAATGAACTTCTGCGGATATCTAAACCAGAAACACCCGAAATGGATGTTTCAGCAGGCATGCAGGGAATGGAGGATGACGATGAGCTTGAAACACCGCCAGAAAGCTTTCGTGATCTTCCAATTATCCCCAGGAAGGAGGAACTGGATGGATCTGTGGAGATTTTCCTTTTGCGGAATAAAGTAGGAACAAGATTTAAAGATCTGGAGCATTATCTCGAATGTCAGTTCCGCCTCTTCAGAGCTGATGTCATCATGCCTCTCAAGAGAAACATTCAAGCCTTCAAAAAGGCCGATGAAGACGCGTTAAAAGATTACAGGACATATGCAGGTGTGCACATTTTGCGCCCTGTCTGTTCATCAAATGGTCTTTGCTACAGACTTGCTTTTGATCACAGGCCTTTACAAAGAGTCAAGTGGGAATCAAGTCAAAGATTGATCTATGGCTCACTGCTGTGTTTGTCATCAGATAAATTCATTGACAATGTCCTCTTTGCAACTGTTGACAGTCGTGATCCTGCACACCTAAAGCATGGATTAGTTGATGTGAGGTTTCTGTCTGATTTAACAGATACTGCTTACAGATCACGAGCTGCTCGCTTCGATATGGTAGAATCACCTGCTTATTTTGAAGCTTATAAGGACGTTTTGATTTGTATGAAAGAGATGACTGGACACAACCTACCTTTCCAGGAGTATATTGTACAATGTGAAAACACTGTGAAGGAACCTCTCTATCTACAAAAACAAAGAAATATTATGTATGATCTCAGACCTCTTGTAGATGACAAGTTCAAAATTCTTGATAGAAGCGTGAGCACGCCTTCTGAAGCATCCTTGACTGAATCCAAGTCAACTCGAACAGTATGCATTCAAGATACAAGTTCTTGGCCTCTGATTAATTGCTTAGATGAGTCACAATCAAAAGCCCTACATAATGCTCTGACAAGAGAGTTTGCCTTAATACAAGGGCCGCCTGGAACTGGAAAAACTTACCTTGGAATAAACATTTTAAAGACTCTTCTTCATAACTCGGACGTGTGGCTTCATGGACAACCACATAGACCTATTCTTGTGGTATGCTACACCAATCATGCATTGGACCAGTTTCTTGGAGGAATGTTAGACGTCTTTGATGGGAGACTAATTCGTGTTGGAGGCCGTTTCACTACAGAACTGATGAAGAAACACTCTCTTAAACACGCCAGGGATGGGATGAAGAAACAGAGAGCAGTACCATCTCAAATCCATGAGGCAAAAATGGCCATTCTAAGAAAGATGAAATCTTTGACAAGGGCAATTCACATCAATGCAGCTAAACTTGAAGTGGCCAAACGAGAGATTATTCATGAGAACTGCCTGAGAAGCTTCATGGATGGTAGGTTGAAAAGACAATTTCCACAAGAGGGCAAGTCACCGAGAGGGTCCATCATAATTAAGTGGCTTGGTGTTGAAACTGATCTTACCCAAACAGACAGGTCCATTGACCAGAGTGACAGAATTGAAGATGTCAGTGATGAAGGTGATAGTGCAGATGAGGGGGGCAGTTTAACTGACTATGACTTGCCAGAGAACAGACGCCGTGGAGAAATAGTTGAAGACCTACTGGAAGTGTTCGATCTTGACTTCGACTTTGACACTGAAGACACACGGGATGTGTATCAACCACCTGAGACAGAAGAACAAGTTACGCACAATTATGTGGCCCTTAATGTGACACAGCTAGGAGAAGGCAGAGTGTCCCGTTTTAACTTTAGAGAGAGAGAAAAACAGAGGGAAACACTTCAAAAGAAGCGGTGCCTAAAACACAGTCTGATGAAGAAAATCACATCTTTTGACACAATGACACAAGAAGACGAAACAAGTATCACCGACATATGGAAACTGCAAAGCAAAGCCAGATGGCGCCTGTATCGATATTGGGTTGATCTACTTTGTGCACAGGCATGGGAAGAAATTAAACTGAATCAAGAGGAATACGAAAAAATAGCTCTTCGTTTTCAGGAAATATTGTTGCAAGAGGACAAACTCATCCTAACAGAGGCAGCAATAATTGGAATGACCACAACCGGCGCTGCAAGATACCAAAAGGTATTGAATGAGATTGGGCCTAAGATAATCATTGTTGAAGAAGCTGCTGAAGTCCTTGAAGCCCATGTAATCGGCACTTTGAGTAAAAGATGTGAACATCTTATACTGATTGGAGATCACAAGCAACTCAGACCGAACCCTACTGTGCATGAACTCGCAAAAAAGTACAAGCTTGAGATTTCATTGTTTGAAAGGATGATTAAGTCTGGTCTACATTGTGATGTATTAGAATGGCAGCATAGAATGCGCCCCGAGATAGCTGACATCATAAGGCCCATATATCCACATCTCAAGGATCATGACATTGTGAAAACATATGAAAATGTAAAGGGTGTTAGGAAAAATGTCTTCTTCATTGAACATCAACATCAGCACAACTTTGATGAGGAGACTAAAAGCTTCGAGAACACGCATGAAGCAGAATATCTTGCTTGCCTTTGCAAATATCTCCTTAAGCAAGGCTACCAACGGGAGCAAATCACCATTCTGTCCACTTACTCAGCACAGATTCGTCGCCTCCGAATCACATTGAAGAAGCAACAAATAAGTGGGGTAAATGTTGTTGCAGTGGACAGCTATCAAGGAGAGGAAAATGACATTGTGCTGTTGTCACTGGTGAGAAGTGGAAACAAAGGATCGATAGGATTTCTAAAGGAAGAGAATCGTGTCTGTGTTGCATTGTCAAGAGCAAAGATCGGTCTTTATGTCATCGGCAACTTTACTCATATTGCAGAACATAGTGAGCTGTGGAAGAAGATATGTATAAAGGCAAATATTGATGATAACCTTGGTCCTGCCTTGGTATTAAGCTGTCACAGACACCCAGATGAGGGTTCCATCCAAGCTCTAGATCCGGAAGATTTTGAAAGTGCTCCTGAAGGTGGATGTACGAGACAATGTGATTACCGACTACCATGTGGCCATGTTTGCACAAAGGTGTGTCATTCAAATGATCCGCAGCACAAGGAATTTCCTTGTTCAAAACCATGTAAGAAACCCTGCAAGAATGGACATACAGGCTGCAAGGAGGTTTGCTACAAGCCGTGCCCTCCATGTGAGGTTCCTGTGCTGATAAAACTAGAAGCATGTGGACACACACAGAATGTTCCTTGTCATATTGATGCCCGGAGATACCAGTGCCAGGAGCCTGTTTCTGTTACCAGACCCTGTGGCCACTCTTCCTCTGTTGCTTGTGGGCAGAAGGATACTGAACCATGCAACGACCCCTGCAAGGCCCAACTGGCATGTGGTCATCTATGCCAAGGCACATGTGGAACCTGTCACAATGGAAGGTTACACCAGCCATGTACTGCGAAATGCATGCAGATCCTGATATGTGGTCATGAATGTCAGTCAACATGCAACGATTGTCCTCCATGTGAGAAACCATGTGAAAACAGATGCAGTCACAGTAAATGTGAGAGAAAATGTGGGGATCCATGTGTGCCCTGTAAAGAGCCATGCAGGGTTGCGTGTAGACATGGCAAATGCACATCATCATGTGGAGACATGTGCAACAAGAAAGAGTGCAAAGACATATGTAGGACCATACTTGGATGTCGTCACCCCTGCGTTGGACTTTGTGGTGCCCCTTGCCCACGTGTATGCAGAGTATGCGATTCAGAAGAAATATCAAGCGCTCTTGAAGTCTTTGGAACTGAAAATTCCGAGAAAACCAGATTCGTTCAACTTGAAGACTGCTCTCACATATTTGAGGTGAAAAGCTTGGATAAATATATGAAAGAGAACTCGGGAGATGATGATAAGACAGTTGTCCAACTTAAAAAATGTCCAAGTTGCCAGACCCCAATTCGAAGAAATCAGCGATATGCGAACTTTATCAAAGCGACCCTGTCAGACATTGAAAAGGCCAAACTGAAGGTCAGAGGAAATGTAAGAAGAATGCAGGAGTTGAAACAATCGATTGTGTCCATGCGAAACAGATTTAAAGGTTCTGACAGGGTGATGGTGGATCAACTGACTACGACAAGCCGTGTACCATCGGAGGCTCGTTTGTCAGCACAGATCAGTCAGTTGCGAATCCTGGAGAAAGTAATTGGCCTGGAGAAAATTGCAAAAACAGATGCAATCAAATATAGTTCCTCTCTGTATGACCTAACTCTAAGAGCCATATTGGACTTCAAGGAGTGGCTTGTTATTCCAAGATCTTGTTTTGGGCAGCAGGAGAGGCAGGACAGCCAAAGAGAGTTAGAACGTCTAACTCTCAGTCGGTTTCTTACTACCGCATCTCAGTTGACTGACTCTGAAGGGAAGGAAATTAGTACTGACATAAAGATGAGGCTGGATGATATCATTCGACGCCTAGCGTCGTCAGAGAAGCACGAGTCAGTTCTGCCAGATGCCCGTATGCTGAAAGAAGAAGTCAAGGGCCATGTATCTGAGTCTACGATTGGCGTGAGTGATGAAGAGAGGGTCATGATTGTAGAAGCGGTTGGTCTGAATCGGGGACACTGGTACAAGTGCAAGGAAGGTGGGTACAATTTATGTTTAGTGTATTCTTACAGCGTGTAATTATTCAGCATATGTTCATACTTGTTCCACTTGTGTTTGTTTCTATTTAAGTATGTTTCTTATGATAATATATATGAATTTTCAAACTGGTTGACGTAGTTTGTGATAGCACAATATTGAAATTAAATAGTGCTCGAACGTATCAATTTGACTGTTTTAAATCGGGATAATCGTCATTATATATATATGTATCCTTTTCCCCAGGTCATGTCTATGCTATTGGTGAATGTGGAAGAGCGTACGAGGAGGCCACGTGTCCTGAATGTGGCGGGGCTGTGGGAGGTGATGCCCATAGACTGACAGAGGACAATGCCTGGGCTCCCGAGATGGACGATGCAGAGGAACTGCCCTGGTCTGAGGAGAGCGACTATGAACTAGCATGGAAACTACACCAAGAACTTAATGGATAAATGAGTAAGGTTTTATTCATCAACATAAAACTACATTATGCATTTGTTTATCAATCTCTTTCATCCACTCATCTACTTCCTCATCAATTCCGTAAGCCACAGATATACCAAACCCAAACTACTTAGCATCCACCAACCATCCACTCTCTCATTCACCAACCCATGCAGTCATTTACGCGCTCGTTCACACACCCTTCAGCTCATCCCTTAACTCATATTTATACCCTACAACCTATCCCCTCACTCACATACATACCCAACAACCTATCCCCTCACTCATAATCAAACCCTTCAACCCATCCACTCACTCACACACATCCCCTACAACCCATTCACTTATTCACGCACATCCCACAGACCCTATCACCTATACACTCTCTCACGGACCCTATCACCTATACATTCTCTCATGGACCCTATCACCTATACACTCTCTCACAGACCCTATCACCTATACACTCTCTCACAGACCCTATCACCTGTACACTCTCTCACAGACCCTATCACATATACATTCTCTCACGGACCCTATCACCTATACACTCTCTCACTGACCCCATCACCTATACACTCTCTCACAGACCCTATCACCTATACATTCTCTCACTGAGCTTATCACCTATACACTCTCTCACAGACCCTATCACCTATACACTTTCTCACTGAGCTTATCACCTAAACACTCTTTCACAGACCCTATCACCTATACACTCTCTCACAGACCCTATCACCTAAACAATCTCTCACAGACCCTATCACTTATATACTCTCTCACAGACCCTATCACCTATACACTCTCTCACAGACCCTATCACCTATACACTCTCTCACAGACCCTATCACTATACACTCACAGACCCTTCACTATACATTCACAGACCCTATCACCTATACATTCTCTCAAAGACCCTATCACCTATACAATTTCTCACAGACCCTATCACCTATACATTCTCTCACAGAGCCTATCATCTATACACTCTCTCACAGACCCTATCACCTATACACTTACAGACCCTGCACTATACACTCAAATATCCTATCACCTATAAACCCACAGACACTATCACCCACACACGCACAGACCCTATCATTATACACTAACAGACCCTATCACTATACACTCACAGACCCTATCACTATACACTCACAGACCCTGTCACCTATACACTCACATACCCTATCACTATACACTCACAGACCCTATCACCCACCCACACACACAGACCCTATCACGATACACTCACAGACACTATTACCGACACACACACACACATACCCTATCATTATACATTCACAGACTCTATCAAAATACACTCACAGACCCTATTACTATACACTCACAGATCCTATCACTATACACTCACAGACTTTGTCACCTATACACTCATAGACCCTATCATTATACACTCACAGACCCTATCAATATACACTCACAGACCCTATCACTATACACTCACATACAATATCACTATACACTCACAGACCCTATCACTATACATTCACATACTCTATCACTATACACTGACAGACCCTATCACCTGTACACTTAAATACCCTATCACCTATACACTCACAGACACTATCACATATACACTCACAGACCCTATCACTACACTCACAGACCCTATCACTATACACTTACATACCCTATCACCTATACACCCACAGACCCTATCACTATTACACTCATAGACACTATCACCTATACACTCACACACCCTATCACTTTACACTTACAGTCCCTATCACCTATACACTCACATACTTTATCACTATACACTCACAGACCTTATCACTATACACTTACATACCCTATCACCTATACACTCACAGACACTATCACCTATACACTCACAGACACTGTTACCTATAAACTCACATACCCTATCACTATACACTTACATACCCTATCACCTATACACTCACATACTTTATCACTATACACTCACAGACCATATCACTATACACTCACGGACCCTGTCACCTATACAATCACAGACCCTATCACTATACACTCACAGACCCTATCACCCTCACACACACACAGACCCTATCACTATACACTCACAGACCTTATTACCGACACACACACACACAGACCCTATCACTATACACTCACATATCCTATCACTATACACTCGAAAACCTTATCACCCACACACACAGACCATATCACTATACACTCACAGACCCTATCACTCACACACACACAAACCCTATCACCTAAACACCCAAATACCCCATGAGTATACACTCGCAAACCCTATCATTATACACTCAGAGACTCTATCACTACACACTCACAGACCCTGTCACCTATACACTAAGAGACCCTGTCACCTATAAACTTACATACCCTATCACTATACACTCACAGACCCTTTCACATATACACTCACATACCCTATCACCTATACACTCACAGGCCCTATCACCTATACAGTCAGAGACCCTATTACTATACACTCACAGACCCTATCACCTATACACTCACAGACCCTTTGAGTATACACTCACAGACTCTATCACTATACACTCACATACTCTGTCACCTATACACTCAGAGACCCTCTCACCTATACACTCAGATACCCTATCACCTATACACTCAAATACCCTATCACTATACACTCACAAGCCCTATCACCTATACACTCATAGACCCTATTACTATACACTCACAGACCCTGTCACCTATACACTCACAGACCCTATGAGTATACACTCACAGACTCTATCACTATACACTCACAGACCCTGTCACCTATACACTCAGAGACCCTCTCACCTATACACTCAGATACCCTATCACCTATACACCCAAATACCCTATCACTATACACTCACAAACCCTATCATTATAGACTCACAGACTCTATCACTACACACTCACAGACCCTGTCACCTATACCCTCACAGACCCTGTCAACTATACACTAAGAGACCCTGTCACCTATAAACTTACATACCCTATCACTATACACTCACAGACCCTATCACATATACACTCACATACCCTATCACCTATACACTCACAGGCCCTATCACCTATTCACTCATAGACCCTATCACTATATACTCACAGACCCTATCACCTATATACTCACAGACCCTGTCACTATACACTCACAGACCCTATCACTATACACTCACAGATCCTATGACCTATAAACTCAGAGACCGTATGACCTATACACTCACAGACCATGTCATTATACACTCACAGACCCTGTCACCTATACACCCACAGACCCTGTCACTATACACTTACATACCCTATCACTATACACTCACAGACCCTATCACATATACACTCACATACCCTATCACCCACACACACACAGGCCCTATCACCTATACACTCATAGACCCTATTACTATACACTCACAGACCCTATCAGCCACACACACACAGACCCTATCATTATACACTCACAGACCCTATCACTATACACTCACAGACCCTGTCACCTTTACACTCACAGACCCAGTCACTTGTACACTTAGATACCCTATCACTATACACTCACAGACCCTGTCACCTATACACTCACAGACCCTATCACTATACACTCACAGACCCTGGCACTATACACACACAGACTCTGTTACCTATACACTCACATATCTTATCACCTATACATTCATAGGCCCTATCACCTATACACTCCCAGACCCTATCACATATACACTCAAAGGGTCTATAATCTATACACTCACATACCCTATCAACCATACACTCACAGACACTGTCACCTATACACTCACAGACGCTATCACCTATACACTCACATACCCTTTCACCTATACACTCACATACCCTATCACCTATACACTCACATACACTATCCCCTATACACTCACAGACCCTGTCACTATACACTAACAGACCGTATCACTATACACTCTCAGACCCTATCACCTATACGCTCACATACCCTATCACTATACAATCACAGACCCTGTCACCTATACACTCACAGACCCTATCACTATACACTCACAGACCCTGGCACTATACACCCACAGACCCTGTTACCTATACACTCACATATCTTATCACCTATACACTCATAGGCCCTATCACCTATGCACTCCTAGACCCTATCACATATACACTCAAAGGCTCTATAACATATACACTCACATACCCTATCACCTATACACTCACATACCCTTTCACCTATACACTCACAGACCCTATCACCTATACACTCACATACACTATCCCCTATACACTCACAGACCCTGTCACTATACACTCACAGACCCTATCACTATACACTAACAGACCCTATCACCTATACACTCACGAACCCTATGACCTATACACTCATAGACCCTGGCACTATACACTCACATACCCTATCACCTATACACTCACGGACCCTATCACCCCCACACACACAGACCCTATCATTATACACTCACAGACCCTATCACCATACACTCACAGACCCTATCACCTATACACTCACAGACCCTGTCACCTATACATTCACAGTCCCTGTCACCTATACACTTACATACCCTATCACTATACACTCACAGACCCTGTCACCTATACACTCACAGACCCTATCACCTATACACTCACAGACCCTATCACCCCCACACACACAGACCCTATCATTATACACTCACAGACCCTATCACTATACACTCACAGACCCTGTCACCTATACACTCATAGACCCTATCACTATACACTCATAGACCCTGGCACTATACACCCACAGACTCTATTACCTATACACTCACATATCTTATCACCTATACATTCATAGGCCCTATCACCTATACACTCCCAGACCCTATCACATATACACTCAAAGGCTCTATAACCTATACACTAACATACCCTATCAACCATACACTCACAGACGCTATCACCTATACACTCACATACCCTTTCACCTATACGCTCACAGACCCTATAACCTATACACTCACATACACTATCCCCTATACACTCACAGACCCTGTCACTATACACTAACAGACCGTATCACTATACACTCTCAGACCCTATCACCTATACGCTCACATACCCTATGACCTATACACTCACAGACCCTATCACTATACACTCAGAGACCCTGTCGCCTATACACTCACAGACCCTTTCACCTATACACTCACAGACCCTGTCACCTATACACTTACATACCCTATCACTATACAATCACAGACCCTGTCACCTATACACTCACAGACCCTATCACTATACACTCACAGACCCTGGCACTATACACCCACAGACCCTGTTACCTATACACTCACATATCTTATCACCCATACACTCATAGGCCCTATCACCTATGCACTCCTAGACCCTATCACATATACACTCAAAGGCTCTATAACATATACACTCACATACCCTATGAACTATACACTCACAGACACTGTCACCTATACACTCACAGACCCTATCACCTGTACACTCACATACACTACCCCCTATACACTCACAGACCCTGTCACATACACTAACAGACCGTATCACTATACACTCACAGACCCTATCACCTATACGCTCACATACCCTATCCTCTATACACTTACAGACCCTATCACCTATACACTCACAGACCCTATCACCTATACACCAGAGACCCTATCCCCTATACACTCACAGACCCTGGCACTCCCTCACTCGATCGCAGAGCAAACACGCATTATTCTCTCACGCACTCCAAACTCATTCATGAATCAAACTACGAGGGGTGTTCATTAAAGATTTCCCCTGACCCACTTCCGATGGACCTAGTGGAATGAAACTTGGCATAGGTATTAATCTTTCTCCACGTAGGAACCACCAAGAGTTACACACTTCTCCCATCGTTTTATGCAACTATGGAGGCCTCGCTTGTAAAAGCCCTCATTTTGCGTCTCAAACCAGGACTTGACTTCAGAAATCAGTGTTTCATCATCTGTGAAACGTTTTCCCTTCAAAAATGACTTCATGGTTGGAAAGAGGTGGAAGTCAGATGGTGCAAGGTCAGGAGAGTAAGGAGGATGTGGAAGGATTTCATAGCCGCAGGACCGCGCTTCTGTCTGGGCAACATGAGAGTTGTGTACTGGAGCATAGTCTTGCAGGAGACGGACACCCTTGGTCAGCATGCTACGCCTCTTAAGTTTGATAGCGTCCCGCAATTTCCGCAGCAGTGAAGCATAATAAGCTCCTGTAATTGTGGTACCCTTTGCCAAGAAATCCATCATCATTACTCCGTGCTGGTCCCAAAACACCGTGAGCATGACCTTGTCTGCAGAGGGTTGGACACGTGCCTTCTTTTGGGGTGGTGACTCCACATGCTTCCATTGCATCGACTGAACTTTAGTCTCAGGATCATAGTGATGGACCCATGTTTCATCCTGTGTGATAAGTCTGTCTGAAAAAGTTTGCCTGTTTTTTTTGGCACATGTCCTAAAGAACCATTGAGCAATTGACTCGTTCCTGCTTTTGGAAAGGTGTGAGCAACCTGGGAATCCATCGTGCAGACACCTTATGCATGTTCAAATTGTCATGGATGATTTTCCACAGACCCTACACTGATCTTGACATCTTGTGCTTACTGGCAAAGAGTTATACGTCGGTCTGCCAAAATGGCGGTCGCCACTTGATGGATAGTGTCTTCATCAATGGCTGAATGGGGGCGACCAGGAATGGCAGCTGTTTCCACAGATGTCCGACCACACTTGAACTGGCGATGCCAGTGTTTAACAACGTCATATGATGGGGCATCTTCCCCATAAGTTGCTTTCATTTCATCGAAAGTTACTTTTGGTGTGCGACCTTTCAAATATAAAAACTTATCACTGCTCGGTATTCTACCGGCTCCATTGTCACACCCTACTCGATCATAACACCTGTAAAAGTGGTAAGATTAATAGTTCGGTGCTGTAAATTCAGACATAACCCATAGATACATGTATCATTACACATGTGAAGTTTCAACCAAATATGATAACCCTGAGTGGTTTAGGGGAAATCTTTATTGAACACCCCTCGTACCTATGCACTCACTCAGAAACCCTACCACTCACTCGCTCACTCTCTCACAGATTCCATCAAGCACCAAGTCATTCTCTCTCAACCACTCACTCCCCACTCACGCATCAAACCCTCGACTTATTACCTCACTCACTCATTCACTCACACATTACTCTTATTCACACATATGCTATTCTAGTTTTAACCCATTCGCTGATTCGTGAATATGCACCTGTTGTGTCATTGCTACCATTCAGCGGTGGCATTGCCTTATCATAAATATCATTTGTTTATTATTTTCAATTCTCATTGCAGCCCTGATGTTGAAAAATCCCTGTCACGAAAACAGACTACCCCAGACAAAAGCAGATACGGTTACACGCAAGGCCTACTGTTGAGTGCAGTCCTTACAGACAAAGCGTCGACCTGCCAACGGGACAACAGGTGTCTCTCAACTCTGTCAACTTTCGTTTTTACGAAGGCGAACGCACAGGTCACAATGACCTCCTAATGTGTATATACGGTGGGCTAACAGTGACATCATAATGTGTACAGATGTTAGGCTAGAATCTACTGTGATAAAAGTCGCTGTAACATGGCCATGTTACACACTGGTGTTCTTTTCATGTGTAATCCGATAGTATATCCTTGTGAATTGCAAATGTGAACCGAGGGCATTATGTGTATTATGTCATACATTAACACAAACACAATTGCGTTCATGTTGTTATTATTAATGTGATTTGATAGGAGCACGGACCACATGCATTTTTAACGCGTAAAATTGCTTCTTTGTTATTTAATATAATTATATTATTTACCTCATTATTATGTGGATTTATATACCGCAGGTATCAATGGCCTGGTATCTGCTCAAATGCGGTTTTATTTGTTCCCCGACCAGTGGATCAGTATGCGTTCCAGTTATCATTCTCAACTCCATGGGGAGAGTATAACCCAAGCTGCATACGGGCGCTAAAGGGTTTTTACATCAAACTCACATCGCGGTACCCATTCCCTGCTGGGTGAACAGAGGCACATTTGAACTAAGTCGCTTGCCCAGACTGACACCACACTTTCCACCATCTGGTCGTCTAACATCGGCCGAGTGGGTTCTTTTGCTTGCACAGGGTGTATGTACTGTACTCTAGGCGTAGTGACAAAACTCTAAAGATCTGTAAGCATTGTTGTTCTCAAAGCTGAATAAAAACCCGGTCAATAGGGGGACACGATTTCAGCACCTGGCGATTGCAACGCTTTTGACCGCTTGCCTACTCCGCCCACGAAGGAAACACTAAAATGTGGACCCCAATCACTACGCTATTTAATTTGATAAGATTTGAATTTAAACGTTTTCAGAAGTTTTAACGTAAAATCCACCTTGTGTGCGTATATATGTGTGTGTGTGTGCGTGTGGTGGTGTGTGTGTGTGTGTGTGTGTGTGTGTGTGTGTGTGTGTGTGTGTGTGTGTGTGTGTGTGTGTGTGTGTGTGTGTGTGCGTGCGTGTGTGTGTGTGTGCGTGTGTGTGCGTGTGCGTGCGTGTGTGTGATATTGCCGATATCTTGGATACCAGATTCAGTTCTGTGAAACCAGAAAAAACAGTTCAAATGAACACCCCTGCTTAAATCGATCATGGAAGACTCATTCATATACAATGAAGACCCTTTCCATAGTACATGTTGTACACACCCACTATTACATTCCTTTGTAAAAATTGACATTGATTAATTGCATGGTTAAAGTATATATTGAAATGATTGAATCATAGACTGTTCAGCGCTTTTATCTTGGATAAAATCATAAATACCTCAATGGGAAGACATCACAGCAGCGATAGTCCGTGATTTGTACAAAGCAACTTGACAATGCGGGTAACATGTTGTACGTACAAAAGAAACTCAGGGATACTCTGAATTGCGGATTGTTCCTCTTGGTGAAAGACAATTTGCAGTCTCTCGCCAGTCTCTTAAACAACATTTTATTGATAGGATATTTCATTCGTTATCCCACAGCTACTTTCTGAATAACCTCTAGAGTGTGTGTGTGTGGGGTGGGGGTGGGGGTGGGGGTGTGGGGTGGTGGGAGGGGTGGGGGGCACGGGTGGCCAATTCGTCTAAGCCACCGCGATTCGCTGTGCAGAGTTGCTTCCCTTGGGCACGCCAGAAACCTATGATTGTGGGTTCGAATCCCGGTTCGCCCCAATTCTGTTTCTAGGTTTGTCAGCACCATACCCGTGCTCGTGGGTTTCACCGAAGTGGTAAACGTCTTAGACCTGCATCACTTCGGGCTTTCCTCCCACATTAAGCTGACACGCCGCGATATAACTGGACTAATGTTAAAAGCGGCGTAAAACCTAACTCACTTACTTACTTTCTCTAGAGAGTGGCTGACTGTATTTTTGTATATCACAGGCTGTGTAAATAAGGAAACATGTATAGGTGCAGGTGAAGATTTCAAGTTTAATATTCTGAACAACGCCTTTCATGTACCAGGAGAGAACCTAAAATAAATTTATGGCTTCTGGTCTAAGTTTTGTTTGTTTATTTGTTGTTAACGCCGCATTCAGCAATATTCCAGCTATATGACGGCGGTCTGTAAATAATCGAGTCTGGGCCAGACAGTCCAGTTATTGGCATCATGAGCAGTGATGTACGCAAGTGGGATACGATGACATGACATACATCTGACCACCGATCCCGTTAGTCGCCCCTTATGACAATGATAGTCGTCTCTTACGTCAAGCATGGTTTGCTGAAGACCTCTTCTCCACCCGGATATTCACGGTTCTCTGGTGGAAGTAACTATGTGGATCTCGTATATGCATAACATCTATGGACACAACTAAAGTGTTTGTTTTCTGAACTGGTGGATATAGGAACACACATGAGTATGTTATGTCAGTTGTAAGACACTTGGAACAGTGTTCCGTGATATCGCGGTGTGTCAGATGGGGACAGTCAAACCGGACACATGTCGTACTCGTTAACAAATACCACTTTGGTTAAACACTTTGGTTATGATCAGTGTGAGTCTCTGATTCGAGTTCACGATCCTGGTACTACCAAGGGACGCAACTCGGCGAATGCCGGCGCGTACATGACCATTTTCGGACAGTATACTAGTGATTGATCTCTGACATGCAATCTGACGCCGTATGACAGAGTGTTTTGTTCCTTAATTAAAATGAAAATATCAATATCGTAAATGTAAATCGGGGATGTCTTGTCCACGTGTATTTCAATAATACGAAGGTTTTTATAGGTTAATCTCAAAGGAGTGGGGGTGGATGAGTATTTCGAACCTATGTTAGAAAAAGACGTCAAAATGTAAATAGAACATATATTAGTATTCAATAGTGGCTTGTGTTTTCTGTATGCACACTGCTGGGGATTAGACTAGGCGACTAAATGGATCGGGTGGTTAGGTTCGAAGACTATACCTTATACCCTTATACCCTAATAGGGTGGGACCAAATACTTTTATTTGTCTGTTCCAGCTTCGATACTTCACAGTCCACCGAGGTATATCTGAAACAGAGCCCAGCGTGGCGTTACATAACGAACATACATGCATACAAACACACGAAGCATACAGATGGTAAGAAAACCCGCTGTCCTGTCAATAACTCAACCTTGAAGTCACAAGACGCACGAATATAGACCCACATCAGAAACAAGTAATGCTACAAAAGGTAGTAGGGTAGTGGTCAGTGATTGGGAACGAGGTATGTTGCTGTTAACCCCACAAACATTCAGAGTAAATCATGGATTCGAACACTCGATCATAGGATTCTGCCACGCCAAAGGGAGGTAGCTCTGAACAGCCTTAGTCGAATGGGCCTGATAAGTTCATGAATGGATGTGTATTAGTAATGTACATAGCAGAGATTTGGACTGGGATTAAATCTACATACATAAAAGGATTCAAGCGATAACAAAAAATAAAAGATCCATTACCAAGAAGTTACATAGATCACTACAACAATAGAAACATACACGCATCCTTGCACGCCTATTGAGAAACAAAAAACCCCATTGTTATGGAAGCACTCAAAAAGGATCAGATCAAATGTAATTATAAGTTCGTTTTTTACTTGCACATATCAATGAAATGTTCTTTCAGCTGGTGATCTTGACTCAGTTTTTGCGTGAATCAGTCTTACATTCTGCTTTGAATAATAGTTCAGCTACCAGCTTTACATGCATGGACGGGACCCGTGAAGATCCGGGGTTGAATAGGTCTTCAGCAACCCATGCTTAATATGGACGGGACCCGTGAAGATCCGGGGTAGATAGGTCTTCAGCAAGCCATGCCTGCCGTAAAAGGCGACTATGCTTGTCGTAAGAGGCGACTTACGGGATTGGGTGGTCAGGCCCAGTGCCTTGGTTGATCATCGTATCCAACTTGCGTAGATGGATGCTCATGATGCCAATCACTGGAATGTCGGGTCAAGAGTATTTACAGACGGCCGTCATACAGCTGGAATATTTCTGAGTGCGGCGTTTAACAACAAACAAAACAGTCATACCTTGTTAAACATTTAAGCATCGAATGAACTTAATAATAACCTGTTACATATATTTGCCTCTTTAGGTCACCAGGACCGCCTCCGTGGTCTAGTGGTAGAGCGTCCGCCCGGAGAGCAGAAGGTCCAGGGTTCGATCCCGGGCCGCGTCATACAAAAAGACGTTAAAAGATGGTACTTGTTGTTACCCTGTCTGGCGCTCGGCATTAAAGGGCTAAAACAAGGACTGGTCGGCTCGGAGTCAGTATACTGTGTCTGAGTGGGGTATTCATGTTAAACTGCGGCATGGTATCTCAGTGTGCTAGCACTATAAATCGGCATCAGTCTAGTACAAGCAGCCAAACACACACGTACATGCACGTCGCTATATTAGTGCAATAATCTTGGACGCGACGTTAAACCCCATTTCACATCACCTCTTTAAGTCACCTATTTTGTGATATGCAGAGGAAACGCATATATTAGCGACCCATGAAGATCCGGTTAGAGAATAGGTCTTCAGCAACCAATGCTTGTCGCAAGAGGCAACTATGATTGTCATAAGGGGCGACTAACAGGATTGGGTGGTCAGATGCATGTCATCGTATCCCACTTGCGTAGATCGATGCTCATGATGTCAATCACTGATTGTCTGGCCTAGACTCGATTATTTCAAACCGCCGTCATATAGCTGGAATATTGCTGAGTGCGGCGTTAAAAAAACAACAACAAAAAACATATATTAGCGCCAACACATAGAACGATACAAAATGACATCACTTCAATTCAATTCAATTCGGTTTATTTTCGTAAGTGTAGGCCATCGGCCCATAGTTACATTTGTATTAAAATGGACGTGATGTACACAGCTGTTATTGTTGTTACAATAATGTACTACGAAGTGACATCGCTTGATAGATATAGATAGCTAGACGTTCAATTAATTTACAATCAGTTGTAGACATAATGATATTAAATTTTTGTATGGTCGGATATTCATAAAATGTCTGTGGTAAGTGATCCATGCGTATCTTGTTATAACCGGAGCAAACTAACAAAAAATGAAACTCGTCCTCCACATACCCAGCATTACAAACACAACATAGTCTTCTGTTACGTGGGATATCAGCATATCTCCCAGTTTCAACACACAGCTGATGCGAAAAACATCTAAACCGAGCTAGCGCCACTCTCAATTTACTGACGGTCATACAGCTAAGATACAACTCTGTACCAAACGATACCTTGAATAGAGAATACGAGAAAGATTTACTACCCTTTACCAGAAGACTATGCCAATCCTGTTCATAACTACATTTCAGACGCGACATAAATTCTGTCAAAAACGAATGAGGATGACACTGGTTTTCCCATACAGAGCCAAAACCCAAACGGAACAATAAAAATTTACATTTTGATACCCAATTAATTTTACTATTACTTTCTGCCTGAAGCATCATATAATAACATTTCTTTGGAAAGCGACAATCGGACATACTCAATAACCTTATCCAATAACCAATAACTCTTTTGTATGCATAAATATATAATGGATACCGCCCACATTCACCTCGAACCATGTTGTTGGGTGTTGACGATTTGACACCTAGAAAGCGCTTGCATGCCAATGTATGTATAGTTTCCATTTCATCATTCTGGTGTAGACCCCAGACTTCGGAACCATAGAGCAAAATTGGGACTATTTTCATATAAAATATTTTAAAATATAAGTCATATCGAAGAGGATGTATTTTTGTCAATGACTTTAAAATTCCAAACATTGCTTTTTTCCCCTGTAGACCAGCATTAGAAACATGACTTGACCAGGACAGGCTTCTCGTAAAAGTAACGCCCAAATATTTATAGGAGGACACACACTCCAACTTTAGACCTTTATAGTACCAAATCTCTTTTCTTGACAACACTCCGCCTTTCTTAAAAACAACCCCCTTGGTTTTATCCAAATTGACATCTAGATCATAATCATTACAATATTTTTCTAGAACATCAATACGCTTCTGAAGTCCACCTATAGTATCTGCGATTAAAATAATATCGTCTGCAAATAATAACAGGAATATCTCTATAATATCAGGATGAAGTTGTATTCCTGGTCCAGAATTCTGTTCAACTTCAGCAGCTAGTTCGTTAATAAACATCGAGAATAAAAGGGGGCTTAACACACAACCCTGACGTACTCCTCTTGGGCACTGAAACATTTCAGAAAATGTATGTTTAAATTTAACACTGGCCTTAACAGCTGTATAAATAGACCGTATAGCTTTTATCATTTTGCCAGCGACACCTTTATTGGCTAGTATTGACCATAATTTCATCCGGTTTACACTGTCGAAGGCTTTTGCAAAATCGACAAACAAACCATATACCCTACCCTTACGCTTACTAATATATCTCTGGATAATACACTGTAATATAAAGATATTATCTATGGTGGAGTAATCATGACGAAAACCAGCCTGGGACTCTGCAATTTTACCATAGACCTCACACCAAGACGTGACCCTTCTGTTCAAAATAGAAACATACAACTTACTCAGTGCACTAAGGACTGATAAACCCCTATAGTTGGATGGGGAATGGATGTCTCCTCGCTTATGTATCGGAACAATAATTCCCAAAGACCAAGATTCAGGAAAGTATGCATTATCAAACAAATTAATAAACAACACTGTAAGATACGGGACAAAAATATCATTCGCATATTTAAAAAATTCTGAAATGAGGTGGTCATTTCCTCCGGATTTATCAATTTTCAAAGAGTTGATAGCACAAAGCAGCTCCTCTTGTGAAATGGGGGAGTCCAGAATATAGCAACTCATATCATCATGACTATCATTAATAGTCGTGTCGGTGTTAACTATATCTTCAGCTCTCGGATTGTCAAACACATCTTTAAAATGATCGACCCATTGTTCTAGTGATATGTTAGGTACACGAGTTGCCACACTCTGAGATAATCCTCTTATGGTAGACCAGAAACATTTACTATTTGGAAGACTAGATAAAACCTTATTACGCATATATTCATTATAACTTTTCTTTTTATCACGTAATAAACTTGTATAAGTATTTCTTGATTTTAAATAACTAACTAAGGTGCTATCACTTTTAAGATGTCTATATATTCTGAGACACCTCTCTCTCTCCCACCTGTAGTACCGACACACGCTATCAAACCAGGGTTGTGTGTGACTGTCGCGAGACTTACAAGTCCTTTTCATGCACTGAGCAGCTGTACAAATGGCGTCCGTGAATGAGTTAATAGCACCATCTATATTATCTGGTAGTAACAGAGTACATTGTTCAAAACAATCAACCACATGTGGCAGTACAAGATTATCCCTGAACTGTTGTAGTTTCGCCATGTCCCACACATAGTGGTAGTTTTCACGAGGTGCACGTGCGGCCCCTGCTGTCACAACGGGAATCTCCAGGTCACGTGCTTGAAATGAACAAGATAGTGGAAGGTGTGAGGATTCTGCCCTGGACACAATATCAAATGTATAACAGTGGAAGAATAGACTGTTGGATACAATAATGTAGTCTATTACACTGGAGTCTGAGTGACCGATGTAAGTATAATCACCTATACCTAAATCCGTCCCACAGCGACCATTTAGAATAGACATATCGAGAGCGGCACACATATTGACAAGATGTTTTCCGGCATTGTTTATAATGTTATCACATGACGCTCTATCTATGTTGATACTATCGGACATAACTGACATATTCTCGTCACCTAAAACCTCGGCGATATCATCATCAATATGATCAGACAGTGTCCCAGTCCGGGCGTTGAAATCCCCGCCTATGAGGATGTGTATATCTCTGTTTAGTGACCCAATAACTTCTATAAGTGAGTTGAAGAATAAAGTCAAACCACACTTAGTTTGTCTGTTATTAAACCAACTTGATCCTGGAGGATTGACATATACACAGCAAATAAGAATGTCTTTCTCAAGATTAAATGCACTTTTATCGAAAAGTAAAAATATAGCATTATCTGCAATTCTGGACTATTTCACATAGACACTGATGGATTTTTTCACAATGACGGTTAAACCTCCCGAGAATCGTCCTCTGTCTGCTGTTTTAATTGCATTTAGGCTGTAGGCTGTAAAGTTGTGGAATATCTGGTCATAAGGAAAGTCAATTGTCCATGTCTCTATTAATCCAACAAGATCTGCATTAGATAAAAAGTTTTAAAAGTTTACGTCGGAAACTTTATTTACCAAACCAGATATATTCCAGAAGAGAAGCTTAGTAGATAATACTTGTTTTGGACATCGACGAGAATTTGCTTGGACTGGACCACACCCCTATTTGCCAGCACTGGCCGTGTTATGACCACCTTGCTCAGCATCATTAGATCTCTATCACATCACTTAAAAACTATCGCTAGTCACCAAAAAACCCAATGAAATTCCTAGTTTCGGTTTCGCTACGGGGAATTCCCTGCAGTTCCGAGAAGCGACAGCCCCACGTAAGGGTGACAGACAGAAATGGCGACTGCAGATCACGCAAGGTAAGCCAGAGTTTTGTGTCGCTGACTGTTCATCCTGGGTTGTATGTCCAAGTGATTCACAGGGAGGCTGTTCATTGTAAACACTTCCGTGATTAGCACGTAATGTAATATACACTTAATACAGATGTGTTCACCGTACTCGATAGAATGTATTTGAGATGTGCCTAGTCTAGTTGTCATTATGTATCCGCAGAGATAGATATTTATTTTTGTTGATTGTGGTGTTAAACTTTCTTTTGATTGGGGTCCAAATGTACTGAAATCACGTATGCATTTCGTCAAGGCATAATGAGGAAGGACTTCCTGTTGTTCCCCCCTACCTGTTTTTCTGTAATAACCTGTTACATGCGTAGGTAATATTATCAAAAAATCAGGTATGGAAAGCAAAAGCAACTCCAACTTAAGATTGCTCTTGAGTTTATTGTTACCTATGATTGTCTTCCAAATATTGACAATTATCGACCGGACCCATGAACCATTTCATATGTTGATGTCTGTAGCAACTGTTGTGAAAATAGCGTTGACAATTCAAGGGATGTAACTCGTGCGACACTATTATCTGTGAATCTAATATATCAATGACTTGAACGCAGTCATGTTAGTGAGAAGTTCGAACCTAGCAACTAAAAATTATTTCCTATTTTGCTACTTGATAAAAAATAAACACATCCGATCCAAACAGATGACTAGAATATAATTAACAATCGAAGCTGTTATTTTCAGATATTATTTTATGATGCGTCGTATGATCAATATGCCTTATAGTGACATCTTGTAATGACGTCGTGCGGTCGGGTAGCCTAGTGGTTAAAGCGTTCGTTCGTCAAGCCGATGACCGTGGTTCGATTCCCGATATAGGTACAATATGTGAAGCCCATTTCTGGTGTCACCAGTCGTGATATTACTTGAATATTGCTAAAAGCGGCGTAAAACCATACTCACTCACTCACTTGTAATGAAGTAGTTTTCAGTCAACCATGAGTGTGTTTGTGCGTGCGTTCGTGCGTCCTTGCGTGCGTGTGTGTACACGTTTATTTGATGTCCAACGCCGCCACTGGGAATGTGTCCGCAACATGAGTGTGGCGTGACCAGACAAGCTAGTGGTTGATATTATGAACAACGATACCCGACGTCTGGCTATGATGTGACCAAGCCTGACCAGCCATGGTCACTATGCTGCCTCTAACAACCACAACATGTTGCTGGGGACCATTTCTATCCCGGATCCCCATGGGAATTTAAAACATAGGGTTAGTGTGCAAACAAATATTGCAAAGATAAAAATAAATTAAAAAAATAGTTCGTGAAACACTTCAAACACACACACACACACACACACACACACACACACACACACACACACACATATATTTCAATAATGAAATGAAATGTAAAATAGCGAATTGTAATGACAAATTTATATAAATGTGAAAACATTTGTCACTTGTTATTGTGCCTTAAAAAAATATACATGTAACAGCTCATAACTGGATTTGGGGAATGTTTGTATACATCGTATCATATAGGCAACTCTATTACTGTTATCCGATCCCTGACAACTTAACACATGTTTAATTGTCCGGAGACACTCTATATACAGACACGCGTGTCGTTTCCCCGGCAAGGATCGTGGCTGCTATTGATCAGCTGAACCTATACACGGTGGCGGCGCGGCCGTGGTGATGGTGGTTGTGGTGGTGTCTGTGACATGAGTGTGTTTTTGTTAAAGGTTAAGCTATTGAGAAGCAGTTTGCGTTCTCAGCTGAGTCTTCACAATACAGTCTCACTGTGTGACCTGGTTGTGTATGCTGAGACACATAAGGTTACATTTATTATTCATCTATTTATAGCACTGGATTTCCCTGGCCTCCGTGGTCTTGTGGTAGAGCGTCCGCCCGGAGAGCGGAAGATCCAGGGTTCGATCCCGGGCCGCGTCATACAAAAAGACGTTAAAAGATTGTACTTGTTGTTACCCTGTCTGGCGCTCGGCATTAAGGGGCTAAAACAAGGACTGGTCGGCTCGGAGTCAGTATACTGTGTCTGAGTGGGGTATTCATGTAAAACTGCGGCATGGTATCTCAGTGAGCTAGCACTATAAATCGGCATCAGTCCGGACTAGTACAAGCAGCCACACACACACATACACGTGCATGCACGTCGCTATATAAGTGCAATAATCTTGGACGCGACGTTAAACCCAATTTCACCTCACCTCACCTGAGTGGAGTATTCATGTTAAACTGCGGCATGATATCTCAGTGTGCTAGCATCAGTCCGGACTTGTACAAGCAGCCACACACACACACACACGTGCATGCACGTCGCTATGTAAGTGCAATAATCTAAGACGCGACGTTAAACCCAATTTCACCTCACCTCACCTCACCAGGTATCGCACCACACTTTGAAAGAAGACGCCAATGAATGCTATTAATATATGCACCCCATAGCTGACGCTATTCTCGTTACCAATCAGAACAGAGGCTCCATTCAGAGGTGTCGTAGACCTGTCTTTTTCCTTTTATCACATATACTGGAATAATCGTCTGGGATAACGTTCTTATACTTGCACATGTACAATTCAGCGATTCTCAATGCTGATTGGTCAATTGAAGCCAAATGACGTTATGTAGTGTACGGTGCTTCATTGTTGAGAAAAATACGATAAGAAGTAACGTCATCTCAACAATAGAGCGCCTTCATTTAAGATGTTTTGGAAGGTTGACATTTAATACGAATTTTCTTCATTTTAGTTCTTAAAATGTCAATGAGTAAGTAATATGTAGAACGTCATACTCGCTCTCGGCTCGGGGTAATAATTCCTCATAGCTCGGGGGCACGGGTTGCCCAGTCGTCTAAGGCGCCGCGATTCGCTGTGCAGAGTTGCTTTCCTTAGGCACGCAAGAAACCTATGATTGTGGGTTCGAATCCCGGTGCTCGTGGGTTTCACCGAAGTGGTAAACGTCTGAGACCTGCATCACTTCGGGCTTTCCTCCCACATTAAGCTGACACGCCGCGATATAACTGGAATACTGTTAAAAGCGTCGTTAAACCCAACTCACTCACTCACTCCTCATAGCTCGTTGGTTGTTCTGTAATTAATTCAGTCCGAGAGTATTGTGTGGTCCGACACTCGATTATTTACAGAGCGCCGTCATATACCTGGAATATTGTTGAGTGCGGCGTTAAACAACAAACAAATCTAATTAATTCGATCTTTTAAAACTTTAACCACATTGCTCTGCCTCTGTGCCCCTGATCTTTAAACGGTACCAGTGAACTATTGTTTGGTATGAAAGGTTGGACGCGAAAAAGAGTTCAGGTTAAATAGTTATCATGACTCCTTAAAAACTCCAGCTATCTGATTGGCCTACGGGGTTTTCATGACGTCATAATGTTTGTGACGAAGACCGCCTCCGTGGTGTAGTGGAAGAGCGTCGGTCTGGAGAGCGGAGGTTTGCGGGTTCGTTCCCCGGCCTCGTCATACCAATAGACGTTCAAAGACGGCACTTGTTGTTTCCCTGCTCTGAGATAGGCATTAAGGGACTAAAACAAGGACTGACCTGTCAGTATACTGTGTGGGGTATTCATGTTCAACTGCGGCATTGTATCTCTGTGGGCTAGCACTATAAAATCGGTATTAGTCCGCCCTAGAACTAGCAACTATACAAACACAAACACGTGCATACACCTCGCAATATAAGTGCAATAATCTAGGAACCGACGCTTTTAAATTTCATTTCGCCTCACCCCGACGTGTTTGTGATGATACGGTTCAAGCCCAGTCAAGTCGTAAAATGACGTCACCGCACTGGTGATACATATGACCCATAATACCTGGATACCTTGAATGCATAACGATAGTCGGCCGCATATGTCAATTCTGTTCCAGGTTATCAAGGCCGGGTGCATACTGATACGCTAAGTGATGGACGAGGAGAGAGCAGAGGAGCAGCCACTGCCACAGCGACGGTAACTATGGAAACTCAGACACACACACACACACACACACACACACACACACACACACACACACACACACACACACACACACACACATATATATATATATACCGTACTGAACCGTCTAGTTCAACACTTAGTCTAGTCTCTGAGAAAATAGCATCACAAGTCATTGTACAACATAAGGTCGATTTGTTTCATCTATTAAGCATTTTCAGAGAAGATACGGATAATATGACATAAACTATCTGTTTATTTAATACAATGCTACTCACTAAAAAAATTATGTTTGGTGAAACACCAAGAGGAATTGTTATCTAGCACAGATTGTTTTATGCAATGATTTACAGGCGTGGCGCTTGTGGACAAAGAGGCAAGGGAAGACGAGGAGTACAGAATAAACAAATGGGCCCCTCAAAGATTAAAGCTACTGAACTTCGAGACATGTCATCAATGGATCCCGCAGAAGCCCTTACGCGGCTGAGCAGACCTAACAATGGACTTATGGAGTCTCTGAAACAACCGGATCTTAGCGTAGATGCAACCAAATCAGTCCTAGCCGCACTTAGTAAGGCATGTCAGTGTGAATCGATGCCCGAGGGATTGAATACAATGATCATGAACGTCCTTTCAACGCCATTCTTAGATTCTACTCTTCTTCGTCTCCTCACTCAGCTAGGCATGAACGAGCATGGGGACAATGGTGTGGTAAGAGATTGTTTGCCGCTGATGAAAGAGATGCTGAGTAGAATGCCCACTGATGGATGGATCAAAGTCCAGACAATCGCTATCATGGTTCAGTCCCTGTGGCAGAAAGGTGGCATGAAAGACGAAGACCTCAATAAGAGCATGCTCGAAATTTCGGATCTCCTTTTGAAGTCTCGACCTCCTCCTCCCTCCCTGGGCGTTGGGGCAAGAGGTGGTGCAGCTGCCATAGCACAGACTCAAGACCAACCTCCACCTGAGAACTTTCGCGAACTACCAATTATTCCTCGGAAGGATGAATTAGATGGGACAACAGCAGTCTTTTTGCTCCCAAATAAAGTCAAAGATCGTTTTAGGGATCTTGAACATTATCTTGAATGCCAGTTTCGTCTTTTCCGAGCAGATGTAATCATGCCACTGAAAAAGAATATTGCTGACTTTCAAAATGTTGCTAAGAACACTTCAGTGGGATACATGATTTACACAGATGTCCAGATCATCAGACCGGTTTGCTCACACAATGGTCTTGGATACAGGCTTGCCTTTGACACCACACTTCTACGACATGTAAATTGGGGTGCCACACGGAGGCTGATATTTGGGTCACTACTCTGCTTGTCCTCGGATTATTTCAAAGATAACATTTTCTTTGCTACAGTTGATCAGAGGGAGAAGGATCATTTGAAGAATGGACTTGTTGATGTGCAGTTTATCTCCCAACATGATGAGGTGGCAAATATAACTCGAGATGTAAGGTTTTCAATGGTTGAATCCCCAGCCTACTTTGAATCCTACAAGTATATCCTTGAGGGAATGCAAGAACTCACAGAGAGAAACTTTCCATTCCAGCAATACATTGTTGAGTGTCAGAATGATGTACAAAAACCGTTGTACTTTCGGGAACAGCAAAATGTTCTGTACGACTTGCGACCACTGCTTGATGAAGATTACAAAATAAAAGATTTGGGGGACAATGCCAGTAGTGCTGAAGGGTTTCCAGCAGGATCAAATATAGCAAATGATGTAAACATTGAAGACATTTCCAAATGGCCAATGCCAAATCTTCTGCACCTCAACGTCTCCCAACGTACCGCTCTGAGAAATGCATTGATGAGAGAATTTGTTCTCATACAAGGACCTCCAGGTACGGGTAAGACATACCTTGGAATCAAAATCCTGAAAGTTTTGCTCCATAACTCTCAAGTATGGCTTCAAGGACAAGAGAAACTGCCAATCCTTATAGTATGCTATACCAATCATGCATTGGATCAGTTCTTAGAAGGAATTTTGAAGTTTTTCAAGGGTAGACTCATACGAGTTGGTGCTCGAAGCAAGAGTGAAATCATGCAAGAGTATTCATTGAAGAATGCCAGACAGAGAGCAAGAGATCTTAAATCCCTGCCATTGACTGTTCATGAAGGGAAATTGGAGACTCTGAGAGCAATGGATTCACTGAAGGCAGAAATTCATACCACAGCTGCTAAACTTGAAGTAGCAGAGAGAGAAATTGTACATGAACGTTGCTTAAAAGAGTATATGACAAAAGCCATTGTGAGGAGCTTCTCTGTTGGGAATGAGTATGAGACCTGTCAGATAGTTACCTGGTTAGGTATCAAGAAGAGCTTGTTTGATATTGAAGAGGAAGGTGAATATCTTCAACACCAACTAGAGGAGCGAAAATTGGCTGATGAGGATGAAGAAGACGAGTATGAAGAAGAAGAAGAGATGATTGATATCTCAGTAAATCATCGCAACCAAAGACAACTTGAGGAAGACCTGATTGACTCAGATGATGAATATGACTATGATGATATTCGTAGTAAGGCACAAGGTTTAGATGCTGATATTCAGCACGTCCGCAGGGAATGTATGGGGTTAGACATAACCAATCTTGATGCTTCAACAGTTACGATGTTTATGCCACCACAACAGAAGACAATCTATGAGGAGAAACAGAGACAGAAGAGATCACTGAAAGTCAGACTCATTAAGAAATTGCGCTCAACTGAGAGAATGAAATCATCCGAAGCTGCAAGTGTGCGTTACATATGGAAGCTGCAGCTGAAAGACAGATGGAGGATGTACAGATACTGGGTGCATGTGCTGTGTCAAAATGCCAAAGAAACAATTAGAGACAAAGAAAGTGATTACAGACGCCTCACTAAACAATACAAAGAGGTCTTAATGCAAGAAGACAGGACCATTCTTCAGAATTGCTCCATCATAGGAATGACTACAACAGCTGCAGCAAGGTATCAGAAGGTTCTGAACGAAATTGGTCCCAAGATTATTGTTGTGGAAGAAGCAGCCGAAGTGCTTGAGGCCCACATTGTAGGAACTCTCAGTAGAAGATGTCAACATCTTATCCTCATTGGAGATCACTTACAGCTGAGGCCAAACCCAACTGTTCACGATCTTGCAAAGAAATACAATCTGGAAATATCTCTGTTTGAGAGGATGGTGAACTCTGGTCTTCCACATGATACACTACTGTGGCAACACAGAATGCGCCCTGAAATAGCAGACATCATTCGGCCACTCTATAAAGATTTGAAAGATGACAAGAGTGTGCAGAAATATGACAATGTAAAGGGTATTGCAAGGAATGTGTACTTCATTGACCATCAGCACCCACATGAATATGACAAAGAGTCAAAAAGTTTTAAGAATGAACATGAAGCTCAATATTTAGTAGGTCTGTGCAAATACCTTCTGAAGCAGGGCTATGGTACTGAGCAAATTACAATATTGACAACGTATTCCGCCCAAATGCATTGTCTGAAGAATAGGATGCCAAAATCGCAGTTTGAAGGGGTGAGAGTTGTTGCTGTTGACAGCTATCAAGGAGAAGAGAATGATATTGTGCTGTTGTCGCTTGTCCGAAGTGGAGAGGAAACAAAAATTGGGTTCTTGAACGAGAACAACAGGATATGTGTTGCACTCTCTAGGGCCAAAAAAGGACTGTATGTTATTGGAAACTTCAGTCACATTACTACTTATAGCCCACTGCTAAAGGACATTGCTACAAAAGCATCTATGAAAGGATTTTATGGGCCTGCTCTGCCTCTGTCATGTCAAAATCACCCTGATGACATGGGAGTTGGAGTTATTGATCCAAGGGATTTTGAAAGAGTCCCTGAAGGAGGCTGTACCAAACCTTGTCTCTTCCGCCTAGCATGTGGTCACGTGTGCCCTCGAATGTGTCATGTGATTGATGCAGAGCACAAATCCATCACATGTTCAAAACCATGTAAACGGCAGTGTCGGAAATGTAAAAGCTACCACTGTGATCTCCCTTGCTACCAGCCATGCAAACCCTGCCCTGTACTCATAGAGAAAACCCTTCCAAGATGTGGACATGTCCAAATGATTCCTTGTGAAGAAGATGAGTTGACGTATCAGTGCCAGGAACGATGTAATGATAGTTTACCATGTGGCCATGGATGCCAGGGTGCATGTGGACAGCCTCATCTTCCATGCAGGGAGCCTGTGGAAGTCACCAGGCCATGTGGTCATACCATCGCAGTAGAATGCAGAGAAAGAGATACAGCTGTTTGCAATCATGAATGTGGTGAAATGCTCATTTGTGGAGATCAATGCAAGGGTAAATGTGGTACATGCCATCAAGGGCGTCTGCATCAGCCTTGCTCTAGAGAATGTAAACGAATCCTCATATGCGGACATGAGTGCGAGTCGTCTTGTAGCAACTGTCTACCTTGTACCAGGAGGTGTGAGAACAGATGCAACCACAGCAAATGTTCCCAGAGGTGTGGAGATCCTTGCACTTTGTGTAAGGAGCAATGCCAGTGGAAATGTTACCACTTCAAATGCAACATGCCATGTGGGGAAAACTGTGATAGACCACGATGCGATGAAAGCTGCAGGAATAAGCTAGAGTGTGGTCATGACTGCATTGGCATGTGTGGTGAACCATGTCCAAAGCTGTGTCGAGATTGTGACAAGGACAAAATGCCAGATGTGTTCCTTGGAAGTGAAGAAAAACCAAATGCTCGATTTATTGAACTAGAAGACTGCAAACACATTTTTGAAGTCAAAGATTTGGATCGTTTCATGGATGAATCATCTGAAGACAAGGACAAGACATTAGTTCAACTGAAGACATGTCCTAGATGCAACACACCAATCAGAAGGAATCTCAGATATGGCAACATCATTAAGCAGGCATTGTTGTTCATAGAGGAAGTAAAAAGGAAGGATATCGGAGATGTAAAAAATGCCAAGGAGCTCAGAGACTCTATGGACAAGATGAGGAATCTGCTCGACCCTGATGACCTGGTTTCTATGGATATCCTCTTGAGGTCTTATCCGGTTGAATCTGTGAACATTCTAACAACCCAAGCTAGACAGATGTGTATCCTTGGACAAATATCCAGCATCCAAAGGACAGTGAAGGAAAGCCTTAGGCTATTCAAATTAACTGACAGTGAAACTTATGAAACTCTATCAATTTGCCTAACAGACTTCAAGGCTTGGGCTCTTCTTTCAAGGTCATGTTTTGGCGAACAGGAGGTTCGGGATGCACAGAAAGAACGGGATCGCTTGAGTCTACTGAAGCACCTTATAGACGCAAGGGAATGGATTGGTTTTAGTCAGAAGGAGGTTCCAGAACGAATCATGAGGAACTTAGAAGCGATGATCAAGCAGCTGGAATGTCCAGCAAAACTGAGAGATGACGTTATGGAGGATGCAAAGGAAATGAAGGAAGATGTGATGGAGTTTGTCCCAGAGTCAAGCATCGGAGTGATGAAGGATGTTGACGAATGGTTAATGAAGGATGTTGACGAATGGTTAATGAAGGATGTTAAGGAGCTTGTCTCTGAGTCAGTTCCCCAAACCTGGTCATGTGGTCACACAATGGAGGTATTGTGTACAGAACAGGGTCAAGCTCGGTGTCTGGTGCGATGTGATGCAAAACTCGTGTGCGGACATACATGTGAAGGATCCTGTTTTGAATGCAATGAAGGACGGCTTCATATTCCATGCACGGAGAAGTGTACAAAGATTCTTATTTGCGGACACCCATGCAAAGCTTCTTGTTTTAGATGTCCCCCTTGTGATCTGGATTGTGAGACGGCTTGCCCTCACAGCAAATGTCAGAATCCCTGTGGACAGAAATGTCAACAATGTGACAAACCATGCGAATGGGCTTGTGCACATTTCAAATGCAAACAACTGTGTGGAGACGTTTGCGATAGAAATCGCTGTGATAAACGTTGTCGCAAAAAGCTCAAATGTAAACATCCCTGCATAGGACTTTGTGGAGAGCCATGTCCAGGCTACTGTAGAATATGTCACAAAGATGATGTGTCAGCCTTCCTTACAGAGTCAGAAGACATTACAACAGCTAGGTTTATTCTCTTAGAAAAATGTGGACATATTGTTGAGGTACATGTTCTGGACAGAATAATGGAAAATGTTCAAGCCAGCAAGGAGATACAGCTCCCATGCTGCCCATTGTGTAGCACACCAATCAGACGAAATACCAGATATGGAGCTATACTAAATCTGATACACAAACAAATGGAAAAGGGAAAGGCTGTCCTGGCTGAGATGACAATAGAAAGGCTCACAGCCCTACAGAATGTGATACACACTGGCATGGACAGCCTTCAGTGTGTAGATGAAGTGTCAGAATTGATAGCAAATGCTGGTGAAGATGAAGCTCGCCTGGTTGCAGTTAAAAACCAAAAGACGTTCCTTACTGGAATTAAAACGTTGAAGGCAAGGGTAAATGAACCACCGGATGGTGATGATGATGACGTTGTTGATGATGGAGTTTGGTATGAAATCAACCAGTTTGAGCAATGGCTGAAAATCCAACGAGGTGTCTTTACTGAGCAAGAAGCCTCAGACGCTCACCACGAATTCCAAAGGATTTCCATCTCTGTGTTCCTGCATGAATTATTATCAAGGGAGACTAAAGATGATTTGTTGCCCTCAACATTGGCTTTGTTGCAGAGGGTCAGGGCAGTTATCAAGGCAAAGAAACAATTGACTGAAGACGAATATCAGCTCATTACAGAACTAAAGCATGACGTTTCACACGTTTTTCCTGACATTGAGTTTTATGATAAACTCTCAAAGGACAAAATGCCCGTCTGGAGACACTTGGCAGCATCACAAGGACGCTGGTTCAGATGTCCAGTGTGTGAGTATAGTCAATACAGTTGCATAGTTTAAATACGTTAAAGTATGTGAACATATATTACTAGTTAAATCAGCTGATATACAAATTGACGTAGGTACATGTACATAAGAAAAATATGCAAGATATATATATATATATTATTTATTTAGTCTTGATAGAACTTTATGCTCTCGATTATTATTAACCTGACTGTTAGCTAAAACTATACAGTACTGTTCAACTGTTTTGTAAATCTGGAAGGACCTATACATTATGACCGAACTGAGGTGAGGTGAAATTGAGTTTAACCTCGCGTTCAAGATGTGTGTGTGTGTGTGTGTGTGTGTGTGTGTGTGTGCGTGTGCGTGCGTGTTTGTGTGTGTGTGTGTGTGTGTGTGCGTGGTTGCTTATACTAGTCCGAACTAAAGCCGAATCTATAGTGCTTGCCCACTGAGATACCACGCCGCAGTTTAACATGAATACCCCACTCAGACACACCAGACTGACTCCGAGCCGACTAGTCCCTTATTTAGCCCCTTAATACTAAATGTCGGGCAGGGAGTACCATCTTTTAATACCTGATGGTATGAGGCAGCCGGGGATCGTACCCCGGACCTTCCGCTTTCCAGACGGACGATCTACAACTAGGCAAGGCGGCGGGCTCAAGTAAACAAAGGAAAGGTTATAGCAATAATAAATAGTATAATAATATTTGATTCGAACTAACAAGGTAAACTTTGAAGAAATTAAAGAAATGTAACACTAATTGCAGAATTCAGAGTGTATTTTACCATTTCTTTTGTTATAGCTGATGACCACATCTACTGTGCTGAAGATGACTTGACGCAAGATGAGTGTCATTGGTGTCAGGACCACTCTTCAAGAGAAGGCAACGGATGTGAAGGTAGATACTTGTCTGTGTTTGTGAATCCACAGCATTGTTGTCGTCATGAGTACCTCTCGTTTATACAATTATTCTTACTATTGTCAGAATGAGAGTTGAATAAATTGGAAACTGCATGACCTTTTTCATTTAAATTCCTTTACTTTTTACAGAGGTGGTTCATATGGACAATATGGCAATATCTATAACCCCTGATATACTCATGTGTAACTTGTTGCATACATGTTTCCATATTCCAGACTCAAGGGACACAAACGAAGATGGCTGAATTCGTCCCAAATGCACAGATTGCCCAACGTGGATGGTGCTGTTGGTTTGAACTACATCATCAGCAATATGTATAACCACATGGTTACACATGAACTTTTTCCACATGTATTTTAAAGACAGAAGTTGTGGCTTGATATAAATAAAGGCATGTTTTTAAGACGATTGTATTATATAATTCAGTGTGAAAGATATTTTCATTGCAGTGAACAAAACACTTTGACGGAACTATTGTCATACAATAGTTACCTCCCCTTAAATTGTCTCCCTTTATCGTAAGTGTCAAGCCCGTACACAAACTGTTGAAATCCCTTTTACGTTAGTTCCACTTTGACAAGGCAAAATAATGACAGATGGTCATTTATGGAGTTATTATCACTCCGTTCGTTATTCTCTCGAAAATGTTTCCTTATAAACTATTAATTTCTCAATTACACACCAATCGAGACTGTTCCTTTCACAAAGCGCCAATTTTGTTAAAGTTGATTTTGTATATAAATTGATATGTAAGCATATCGAAATGTATGACAACAAATTTCCGTGACCCTAAATACTTTTTGTTACTTTTGTTTACATTTTTTTAAGATTTTGCAAACACGAAACTTCTTTTTTAGTCGCAAATACAAGGGTTGGTGAACCGTTCCTGTGTGTTATGTAGGAAGAATTTAGGTTTCAAGGTTTTACATTCAAGTATATAATAAATAGGTGTCTCTCGACACTCGTGAAAATATCTCATTTTCACCCCGTCGCTTGATGAGAGCAAGATGATATTTCACTCGACACATGAAATATCCTCTATATATTATGCTTATGATATGTTCATTTATTATACACGCCCACCACATTGAGTATCCTTATTGTGACAGAAAAGTCACGAACATGATGTGATGGTATTCATGAGGTCTTGATCCTTCGTCTTCTCAACCCATCCATATACATATATATACAAGTTTATGGATCATCCTATGCATGAAGAGTGGGTATGTGAGCTGTGAGTAGTGTGAATAAACTATTTCAAGAAAATGTATATTTAGACGAGGCATCTCAGTCCAATGACTGAGAACAATGCCCCATTGAAAGGTGGTTCTATATGTTAGTTTTGGGTTGGTATTTTGGGAACGTTATAAACCCTTAAATAATTATGGTCATATATGAACGCAACTGATATCGTTTGTTAAATGTATGTGTGTGAAAACAATTAACAAAATCAACTTGCCAACAAAACCAGAAAACAAATTAATCTGTAGCAAATTCATAAAGAATATTTTGGTCTCATATCGCTGAGTTCCAATTAAACTGAAGTAAATTCATAAAGGATATTTTGTTCTCATGTCATATTTCCCTCTTGTTATCTTATGACCTGATAACGTTCATATTTGTTGAGTGGCACAGATAACTCTTACTTATCCTACACTGAAAACCAAAGTGAAGCTGCCTGAAAGAAAGCTGAAGTTCAAGCATAAAGTGTTATTTATTTTCACACATATGTTGTATCTCATCATCAAATACACGATGAAGATGCATACTTCTAAGTGAAGGGAAGTTAAAGACTTATTTGTATATGCTAGTGGAATTGGTAAACTGGATCTGCACGAGTCTGGATCAGTTCCATAGAAATATATACCTTATGAGAATCATTTACAGCATATCTTCATGTATTTGTTTACAAACCCTGTCGAATCTTATTTTGATACCATATTTCATTCTGTACTTTGATAGATAGTCTCTTTATATGTATTGTATGCACAGACGAAATCCCCACACGTTGCACTGTATAGATGCACCGGGGTTCAATTCTTCAGTATTACTGCTTTCTGAATGTAGATTTCTGTCAGTTAAATAAATTAATATTGATGATATGACTCCCTGTCATTACTCATACTGTCTCTACAATGTGATGTAAGAATCATGTATATGTGTGTTTATCCGTATGAAGGAACAATCAGTGGAGAAGTAAGTGAATAAAATGAACAGTGTAGCTTGATTGATTGAATGATTAACTGGCTGAGTGATCAAAATTAATGGTAACTTATTAATATGTGTATTGATCTAATAAAAAATACATTGCTTGATCGATGGATTAAATGAGTAAGTTGGGTTGAACGTCACCATAAACAGTGTGTCAGCTTAATGTTGGATGACGTGAATAGTTACAACCTAAGTGAAGCCATATGATGTTAAATTGCGACGTGGTATCTCAGTGGGGTAGCACTATTAAATCGGCATTAGTCCGAACCAGTACAAGCAGCCACACACACACACACACACGCACACGCACACACACACACACACACACACACACAAACACACACGCGTACATGCACGTCGCTTTATGAGTACAAGAATCTTCTACGCGACGTTGAACTCCATTTCACCTCACCTTATAATGGACACAATTATGTCTTGAACTTAGTTCAGCACAGTACAATTATATCATGACAGCTCATGGAGATGCCCCCGCATAAAAAAAATCAAAACTTTTAGGTTTTTTTTAATGTGTTTTTGTTGTTTTTATTCGGTCCAGGGGTACATGGTCGTCGTATCACAAGAGGCATCAAATTACATCGTAAATATCATGAGACAGATGTACAAGATGTGATATGACAGTAAGTCCATCTTTGATACATTGTAATAATTGTAAGAGATATAGATTAAAAGCCACTCCGTCTGCGTTATGGTTTTCCCCATTAAACTCCATTATTTAGTGAGCGAAATTATTGTTCTGTTTCTTTTTCCAGGGAACAACTCGACCTGGTACATGTACATGTCTTTCAGTATATTTATATATGATTTAAAACATATGTGTACCGTAAATGTTTTTTTTGTTGCCAATATCAATAAGTGATTTAATAAGATGTTGTTTGTAATAATAACATGACCGAAAATAACATTTATGAAAGCATTAAACTCGTCCCAGGATTCTTTAACATAAGAAAAACCTAAATATACATGAGCAATGTATTCATTGTCTGAATTGCAACCAACATAGACCGTTGTCATCCAAGTTCATCGTTAACAATTCCTGTTTAGTCTATATCATTTTGTGTAGGAATTTGAATTTGTATTCTAATAGTTTTGTATCAATTGTAGATTTTCTCTATTGTAAAAATACATATTTCAAATTAATTTGATTGTTAAATTCATGTTCCCACTTCTCAAAAAAATCTGGAAAGTTAGATGATGAAATAAAGTTATCATAAAATATCCTTGACCTTTGCTTGTCTTTAGTAAATCATGCCATGGAGGAGAAATGTTCAATTGCATTGTGTTTAGATTTTCTGCTTCATGCACAATATCTTTCCATGGCACAGCGATGTTTAAGATCAAACGGTTATAATCTAATAAAGTACCTTTTATGCAATACATTACTCTCAGCTCAGTAAAATGGAATAAAGCCTTTCGAGTCACATAAATCCTTAACATGGCAAATACTCCTTGTATACCAATTTCTAAAGATAAATAATCCTGAAATTTAAATTTATGATTGTACCATAATGGTTGTATTACAATTTTATTAACATCGTTTTCTTTTATTTCGTGCGTTTATATGTATTTGTTTTTACGGTTATTTTCCCTATTAATTTCAAGTTGCGTTTCCGTCAGTTTGAAAGAATCCTTTTTTATTGTTTCCAGTATTTTTCTAGTGTTGATAACCCAAAGGTTTTTCAAATCAGCGTTTAGTTTAATCCAAATACATCGAAATATGCGTTATGTCAGTCCAATGCTTTTTATACTAGCACTGAGATGTGTTGAGCACGTGTATTGCAATAATACGAAGGTATTTGTTTAAGATTTAATGTCAAAGTGGGTGGAGGTGAGGAGAGGTGAGGTGAAATCGGGTTTAACGTCGCGTCCAAGATTATTGCACTTTTATATATATGTGCATGTACGCGCGCGCGCGCGTGTGTGTGTGTGTGGCTGCTTGAACTAGTCCGGACTGATGCCGATTTATAGTGCTAGCCCACTGAGATACCATGCCGCCGTCTTAACATGAATACCCTACTCAGAAACAGTGTACTGACTCCGAGCCAACCAGTCCTTGTTTTAGCCCCTTAAGGCCGAGCGCGAGACAGGGTAACAACAAGTACCATGTTAGAACGTCTGGCGTGACCCGTCCGGGGATCGAACCCTGGACTTTCCGCTCTACCTCCAGACCACGGAGGCGGTCCAAAGCGGGTGGATGTGGGAGAGGTTTGTGATTGTTTCAACAAGGCGTTGAATGTAGAATTTATTTGGTGTTTAATAATAGCTTGTATTTTCTCTATGCATACACCACCGTGTATTAGAATAGGTGACTAACTGGTTCGGTGACTTGGCTGCCTGAGCGTCCTTGTAACCGGATAGCATGGCACGTCGCTTATAATACCAACTACTGTTTTTTCTTGGGTCGGGTGGGGGCAGTGGGTATATTGCTGTCAAACCCAGAAACATATTCAGTGAGAATCACTGGGCCATAGGTTTCTGACAAGTCCATGGGACACAACTCTTCCCAGCTTTATAGGAAGCTACAGCACAAAAGTATTAACACGCAAATAAAAACAAAAAAGATAACCCAGTAGATCATTACAATTACATAGATATATAGACTCATGCATCTCTTCACGCCAAACTCCAATGAAGATCCGGGTTTAAGTTGATCTTCAGCAACCCACTGTAATAGGCGGCTAACTGGATCGGGTTGTCAGGCTCGCTGACCTGGTTGTCATATCCCAATTGCATGGATCGATGCTCATGATATCAATCACTGGATTGTCTGAACCTGACCGATAATTTACAGACCGCCGTCATATAGCTGGAATGTTGCTTAGTGCGGCGTTAAACAACAAACAAATAAACCCAAACTGAAAAGAAAGAGAAACATTGAAATGAAGGAACAAGAAAAAAAAGATCACAAAAGATACAATTATATATTTATATTACCATATGTTTTCTTACATAAATGAAAACAATAAAATGCTCTGTCAGCTTTTAGGACGACTCAGAGTTTGCGTGAATCAGTCCTACCTTCTGTAAGTTTACATCCTGATTGAACTTGATGTTAACCTGTTACATATATATGCCTCATGACGTCACCAAATTGTGATATGCAGGTCACTTGACTCTCATAACTTAAATGACATCACTTAAAGCTATCGCTAGATCTAACAACCAATGAAATTCCTAGTTTCGGTTTCGTTTCGGGGATTTCCCTTCTGTTCCGAGAAGAGATTAACAACGCCATGAAAGGGTGGCAGAGAGAAATGGCGACTGTAGAGCACACAAGGTAAGTAGCAGTATTACAGTCGGTGATTGTTCAACCCGTGTGGCGAGGGTCGTATGTCCCAATGATCATGAAAAAAACGTAGGTTGTTCATGGTACTCACTTCCGTGATCATGGCTGCATGTAATATATTACACAGACGTGTTTCAGCATACTGGTTAGATGGCATTTGAGATTTACTTGGTGTAGTGACCAGAATGTGTGCAATGAGATAGATATATATTTTTGTTGAGTGTGGTTTGAAAGTATCTGTTGAATAGGGTCGAAATGTAGAAATCACTCATATCGTCAAAATGCAGTGAGAACATGTTCACACACAAGGAGGATTTGCGCGTGGCATGTATGTATTACAATTATGGATAGCTGCAGCCGTAGGAAGATTAGTTATGCATTTATCCAAATGTAAAATTATTTTCCAAATATTGAAAGTTTTCGACTGGTAGTCATGTGAAAACCGTGTTATTTTTTATCCCTGGCAAGTGTTTTGAAAAGTGCGTCGATATTTTCAAGGGAGGTAACTCGTGTGGCGCTATTCTCTGAAGCCAATATATAACGATGGCAAGAACGCAATCATATCGGTAGGTAGTTCGAACGTAGCAACTGATATTTATCTACGATTTGTCTATTTTACAAAAAACACAACCCGTCAAAATAGATGAATAGAATGAAATTAACAACCAAAAGCGTTCCCTCCAGGTATTATGCAATGAGGCATCGAATGAGCTTTGTGTTGTGTCTTTTGTTGCTTGTGTTTGTGTGTGTTTGTGTGTGCATATTTGTTTTTCACGCTGCACTCGGGTATATTCAAGTTACGTGAGTGTGACCTGTGTTTAATCGAGCCTGGACCAGACAGTCCAGTGATTGATATTTTGAGCAGCGACCCACGCCGTCAGAGGACTATGACCCACAATTAAATAAAGTCACCGAGCCTGACCCCCAGATCCATTAGGCCGCCTCTCACGAACGGATTAGTTGTTTGTGACCAACTACGTGTGTATATATGCATACATATAAAAATAAAAATAATGCATTAAAATAACAAATGTATTTCACTGCACACAAATTGTTTAATTTGTTATTGTGCCTACTACAGATAACAGTTTGCAAACAGCACCAGGATGTTGGAGTTATTTGTGTATATCTTTGGATCCGGCCGACACCTGTGCTGACATGCAATACCTGGTAATTAAATACATGTATCGGGTGTCTCCAGACACAGCATAAAGATAAACGTATCGTTTGACCAGCAATGAAAGTGTTGAAAAACAAATAGTTGCAAGTGATCAGCTGAGCATACAAACTGTGACAGTCTACAGTTAACACCGATTGCAATTGTGGTATAATAATATCTACTCAAAACGCTCAAAAGAAACGCGAATACCATACCTTTGGGTTAATATATGAAGAATTACTTAAATTCAAAATAATAGATTGGTTCGATGCACAAACGTACCTACTGTAATGTCGTGTGAACCGACGCTCACATGTGGATACATAGATCCATAATCAGTATATAGTCATAAGAATAAAGACACTCCCTCTGTGGTGACAGATTGTTAATTTTGCCATAAAGTGGTACACAGTGGAAACATCTCATCCTAACGTACTTATGTTCTAGGGTTCGCGTTTCTTATGGCGGTGAGTATATATAAATAAATAAATAAATGAATAAATAAATAAATAATTCGTTTAGTTATATCACCTCATTAGTATGACTCTATTCACCAAATGACAACATTGACATATTTTTGGAATAACAGAAAGATGACGTTAATGAATCTAGCTATCTGATTGCTTGGAGTCGGTTGGCCGGTCTGTGCGAATTTCATGACGTCCTAATGTTTGTGGCAACAAGGTACAAGTCTCTTCATCTCACACAATGACCTACACTCCATAAGTGACACGTATAACTCATACTGCAGGCTGATTATGTGAAAATCTGTTCCAGGTGATCAAGGCCAAGTGAGTACTGATCCCTAAACAATGGACGATGAAAGCGCGGAGGAGCAGTCTTTGCCACAGCGACGGTAACTATGGCAACTCAGACATATGTAACATGCAAATATATATGCACTTAGAATCGGTACTTCTGAGGCTGTAATTCTTATTATATTACACGAGGAACGATTGCTTCGATATATATATATGGCTGCTATGGCACTGGTGATAACACATGTTTTTGCTGTTTATTTGAGTGAGTGAGTGAGTTGGGTTTAACGCCGCTTTTAACAGTATTCCAGTTATATCACGGCGTGTCAGCTTAATGTGGGAGGAAAGCCCGAAGTGATGCAGGTCTCAGACTGTTTATTTGAGATTGAGGATCTATGGTGAAAATAATTTTGATAATCCTGTGCCGGCTACACAACCTTGTCCTCATATAGGTCAAGTGAGATTATGTCGTAGCACGTTGTCCGTTTGTCGTAAATTTTACAATAAATTGCTGCATTAAAAACAAACAACTAACCTTATATAACTGAATACGGCTTCGAAACGTATCCACTCAGCTATTACACATTTTTAAAAAGGTACAGGAAATGTAACATTTTTTATATAATTATTGTTATACAGCGTCACCTATACAGTATCCAATTCTCACACCACATGTTTGGGGGGCAGTCGGGTAGCCTGGTGGTTAATGCGTTCGCTCGTTACGCTGAATACCCGGGTTCGATTCCCGACATGGGTACAATGTGTGAAGCCCATTTCTGGTGTCCCCTACCGTGATATTGCTGGAAAATTGCTAAAAGCGGCGTAAAACTTTACTCACTCACTCACTCACTCACTCACTCACTACATGTTTGAGGAGACACACCAAGAGCTATTGTTAATACCCTTAACATGTCTTATGCATTGATAAGGGGTGGCGCTGGTGCACATGGAGGCAAGGGGAGAGGAAGAGGACATGAAAGACCAAGGGGCACCTCAAGGATTACAACTTCTATAATAAGAGACATGTTATCTAAGGACCCTGCAGAAGTTCTTACTCGGCTGAGCAGACCTAACAATGGACTTATGGATTTTCTAAAACAAACGGATCTTAGCGTAGATGCAACCAAATCAGTCCTAGCCGCACTTAGTAAGGCATGTCAGTGTGAATCGATGCCCGAGGGATTGAATACAATGATCATGAACGTCCTTTTAACGCAATTCTTAGATTCTACTCTAATTCGTCTCCTCACTCAGCTAAGCATGAACGAGCATGGGGACAATGGTGTGGTAAGAGATTGTTTGCCGCTGATGAAAGAGATGCTGAGTAGAATGCCCACTGATGGATGGATCAAAGTCCAGACAATCACTATCATGGTCCAGTCCCTGTGGCAGAAAGGTGGCATGAAAGACGAAGACCTCAATAAGAGCATGCTCGAAATTTCGGATCTCCTTTTGAAGTCTCGACCTCCTCCTCCCTCCCCGGCCGTTGGGGCAACAGGTGGTACAGCTGCCATAGCACAGAATCAAGACCAACCTCCACCTGAGAACTTTCGCGAACTACCAATTATTCCTCGGAAGGATGAATTGGATGGGACAACAGAAGTCTTTCTACTCCCAAATAAAGTCAAAGATCGTTTTAGGGATCTTGAACATTATCTTGAATGCCAGTTTCGTCTTTTCCGAGCAGATGTAATCATACCACTGAAAAAAAATATTGTTGACTTTCAAACTGTTGCTGAAAACACTTCAGTAGGATACAGGATCTACACAGATGTCCAGATCATTAGACCGGTTTGCACACACAATGGTCTGGGATACAGGCTTGCATTTGATTCCAAACCACTACGACATGTTAAGTGGGATGCTACGCGAAGGTTGATATTTGGGTCACTACTCTGCTTGTCCTCAGATAATTTCAAAGATAACATTTTCTTTGCTACAGTTGATCAGAGGGAGAAGGAACATTTGAAGAATGGACTTGTTGATGTGCAGTTCATCTCCCAACATGACGAGGTGGCAAGAATCAATCGGGATGAAAGGTTTGCAATGGTTGAATCTCCAGCCTACTTTGAATCTTACAAATATATCCTTGAGGGAATGAAAGAACTCACAGAGAGAAACTTTCCATTCCAGCAATACATTGTTGAGTGTCAGAATGATGTACAAACACCGTTGTACTTGAGGCATCAGCAAAATGTTTTGTACGACTTGCGACCACTGCTTGATGAAGATTACAAAATGACAGATTTGGCGGACAATGCCAGTAGTGCTGAAGGGTTTCCAGCAGGATCGAATATAGCAAAGGATGTAAACATTAAAGACATTTCAACTTGGCCAATGCCAAATTTTCTACACCTTAACATCTCCCAACATACCGCTTTGAGAAATGCATTGATGAGAGAATTTGTTCTCATACAAGGACCCCCAGGTACGGGTAAGACATACCTTGGAATCAAAATCCTGAAGACTTTGCTCCATAACTCTCACGTATGGCTTCAAGGACAAGAGAAACTGCCAATCCTTGTAGTATGCTATACCAACCATGCATTGGATCAGTTCTTAGAAGGAATTTTGAAGTTTTTCAAGGGTAGACTCATACGAGTTGGTGCTCGAAGCAAGAGTGAAATCATGCAAGAGTATTCCTTGAAAAATGCTAGACAGAGAGTAAGAGATCTTAGATCCCTGCCAATGACTGTTCATGCAGGGAAATTGGAGACTCTGAGAGCAATGGATTCACTGAAGGCAGAAATTCATACCACAGCTGCTAAACTTGAAGTAGCAGAGAGAGAAATTGTACATGAACGTTGCTTAAAAGAGTTCATGACAAAAGCCACAGCAGGTAACTTCTCTGTTGGGAATGAGTATGAGACCTGTCAGATAGTTACCTGGTTAGGGATCAAGAAGAGATTATTTGATATTGAAGAGGAAGGTGAATATCTTCAACACCAACTAGAGGAGCGAAAGTTGGCTGATGAGGAGGAAGAAGAGTATGAAGAAGAAGAAGAGATGATTGATATCCCAGTAAATCACCGCAACCAAAGACATCTTGAGGAAGACCTGATTGACTTGGATGATGAATATGACTATGATGATGTTCGTAGTAAAGCACAAGGTTTAGATGCTGATATTCAGCACGTCCGCAGGGAATGTATGGGGTTAGACATAACCAATCTTGATGCTTCAACAGTTACAATGTTTATGCCACCACAACAGAAGAAAATCCACGAGGAGAAACAGAGACAGAAGAGATCACTGAAAGTCAGTCTCATTAAGAAATTACGCTCAACTGAGAGAATGACATCACCCGAAGCTGCAAATGTGCGTAACATCTGGAGGCTGAGCATTAAAGACAGATGGAGGATGTACAGATACTGGGTGGATGTACTCTGTCGACAGACCAAAGGAGAAATTAGAGACAAAGAAGGTGATTATAGACGTCTGACTAAACAATACAAAGAAGTCTTAATGCAAGAAGACAGGACCATTCTTCAGAATTGCTCGATCATAGGGATGACGACAACAGGTGCAGCAAGGTATCAGAAGGTTCTGAACGAAATTGGTCCCAAGATTATTGTTGTGGAAGAAGCAGCCGAAGTGCTTGAGGCCCACGTTATAGGAACCCTCAGTCGGAGATGTCAACATCTTATCCTCATTGGAGATCACTTACAGCTGAGGCCAAACCCAACTGTTTACGATCTTGCAAAGAAATACAATCTGGAAATATCTCTTTTTGAGAGGATGGTGAATTCTGGTCTTCCACACGATACACTACTGTGGCAACACAGAATGCGACCTGAAATAGCAGACGTCATTCGACCACTCTATAAAGATTTGAAAGATGACAAGAGTGTGCAGAAATATGACAATGTAAAGGGTATTGCAAGGAATGTGTACTTCATTGAACATCAGTACCCACATGAATATGATGAAGAGTCAAAAAGTTTTAAGAATGAACATGAAGCTCAATATTTAGTAGGTCTGTGCAAATACCTTCTGAAGCAGGGCTATGGTACTGAGCAAATTACAATATTGACAACGTATTCCGCCCAAATGCATTGTCTGAAGAATAGGATGCCAAAATCGCAGTTTGAAGGGGTGAGAGTTGTTGCTGTTGACAGTTACCAAGGAGAAGAGAATGACATTGTGCTGTTGTCGCTTGTCCGAAGTGGAGATGAAACAAAAATTGGGTTCTTGAACGAGAACAACAGGATATGTGTTGCACTCTCTAGGGCCAAAATAGGACTGTATGTTATTGGAAACTTCAGTCACATCACTATCTATAGCCCACTGCTAAAGGACATTGCTACAAAAGCATCTATGAAAGGATTTTATGGGCCTGCTCTGCCTCTGTCATGTCAAAATCACCCGGATGACATGGGAGTTGGAGCAATGGATCCAAGGGATTTTGAAAGAGTCCCTGAAGGAGGCTGTACCAAACCTTGTCTCTTCCGCCTAGCGTGTGGTCACGTGTGCCCTCGAATGTGTCATGTGATTGATGCAGAGCACAAATCCATCACATGTTCAAAACCATGCAAGCGGCAGTGTCGGAAATGTAAAAGTTACCACTGTGATCTCCCTTGCTACCAGCCATGCAAACCCTGCCCTGTACTCATAGAGAAAACCCTTCCAAGATGTGGACATGTCCAAATGATTCCTTGTGAAGAAGATGAGTTGACGTATCAGTGCCAGGAACGATGTAATGATAGTTTACCATGTGGCCATGGATGCCAGGGTGCATGTGGACAGCCTCATCCTCCATGCAGGGAGCCTGTGGAAGTCACCAGGCCATGTGGTCATACCATAGCAGTGGAATGCAGAGATAGAGATACAGCTGTTTGCAATCATGAATGTGGTGAAATGCTCAGTTGTGGAGATCTATGCAAGGGTAAATGTGGTACATGCCATCAAGGGCGTCTGCATCAGCCTTGTCCTTCAGAATGTAAACGAATCCTCATATGCGGACACGAATGCCAGTCGTCTTGTAGCAACTGTCCACCTTGTACCAGGAGGTGTGAGAACAGATGCAACCACAGCAAATGTCCGCAGAAGTGTGGAGATCCCTGTGCTTCATGTAAGGAGCAATGCCAGTGGAAATGTCGCCACTTCAAATGTAGCATGCCATGCGGGGATGAGTGTGACAGACCACGATGCAAAGATATTTGTAGGAAGAAACTTGAGTGTGGTCATGAGTGTATTGGCATGTGTGGTGAACCATGTCCAAAGTTGTGTCGACATTGCGACAAGGACAAAATGCCAGATGTGTTGCTTGGAAATGAAGATGAACCAAATGCTCGATTTATTGAACTAGAAGACTGCAAACACATTTTTGAAGTCACAGATTTGGATCGTTTCATGGATGAATCATCTGAAGACAAGGACAAGACATTAGTTCAACTGAAGACATGTCCTCGATGCCTCACGCCAATCAGAAGGAATCTCAGATACGGCAACATCATTAAGCAGGCACTGTCAAGCATAGAAAAAGCCAAAAGGAAGGTTATTGGAGATAACAAAAATGTCAAAGAACTCAGAGACTCTATGGACAAGATGAGGAATCGTCTTCATCCAGATGACTTGGGTCCTGTGAATGTACTCTTAAGGTCTTTTTCGGTTCATTCAGTGACCATTCTGTCAACCCAAGATCGACAAATTCGTATCATTAGACAAATATCCAGCATCAAAAGGACCGTGAAGGAAAGCCTCGGAAAATTCAAACAAGCTAGCAATGAAACTTATGGAACTCTTTTAAGTTGTCTGAAAGACTTCAAAGATTGGGCCCTTCTTCCAAGGTCTTGTTTTGGCAAGCAAGAGGTCCAGGATGCACATAGAGAACTGGAACGCTTGAGTCTGCTGAAGTACCTTATAGACTCAAGGGAATGGATAGACGTTGATAAGAAGGAGGTTCCAGCACGGATCATGAGGAACTTAGTCGCGATGATCAGGCAGCTGGAACGTCCCGCAAAAATGGGAGATGACGTTATGGAAGAAGCCAAAAAAATGAAGGAAGATGTGAAGGAGTTTGTCCCAGGGTCAGGCATTGGAGTGACGGATGACGAACGGTTGATGATTGTGGAAGCTATGGGACTTAACAGTGGACACTGGTACAAGTGTAGGAGAGGTAGGTTGGTGCATTGATAGGCTTTGTTGGGTTTTTATTTGAGGGTTACAGGCATATTTGCTTGCTATTACAGAAGTCCTAAGTTATCATTATTAAGTACGACTCTCTTGTCTAGGGTTGCAGATTAACTGGATGCGCTTTACACTGAACTGTGAGGTTTCGTTGGATGATTCCACATGCACCAATATTGTGTGTCAATATCCATTGTTACACTCTTGTCTAGACATCACACAGTGGTCTGAGGCACAACAACTCCCTACAGGGTTGCATCATTCAGCTGCAAAGATATGCTGTTTTAGGGTTCGATTCCATTATGTTCATTGGTTTGTCAGTACTATTATAACCCATGTTCATGGGTTTTATCAAATGGGAAATGTCTATGAACAGCGCTACTCCCTTAAAGATTAAGATAAAATGAAATGATACAACCTCAGTGATATTTATTTACAGCTAGTATAAAAAGGGTTATATGTAAAATTATCTGTTAAATCAGTGCACATCCTAATATAGACTAACAGCATAATAGTCCCACATGCATGGTGATAATGGATAATTATGTTTTGTCTGTATGATTGACCTATCTAATTGTTGTACTTTTTGTCTTTACCCAGGTCATGTCTATGCTATTGGTGAATGTGGCAGAGCATACGAGGAGGCCACATGTCCTGAATGTGGCGGGACTATAGGAGGTGATGCCCATAGACTCACAGGGGACAATGCCTGGGCTCCCGAGATGGACAATGCAGAGGAACCGCCTTGGTCGGAGGAGAGAGACTACATGCTTGCTCTGCAAATGCAGTTTGGTGGCCGCTGATGGATATGTGCGCAACACACATGTGCACCTGTCTACATTGATGCTATTGTCTAGTTGGTAACAACGCTTTTCTGTTCTACATTGACGTCAATATGGACATGAGACTCTCCAGTGTGTCTTTATTGTGAGAAATACACACTCTGTTCAAACATTACTGTTTTAGCACTTTATGATGCATAGCAAATGTGGACTTACAATTATTTGATTTCATTAGCCGGATACAAATGTAGTACAATGATGAAACTCATTTGATTATTGTTGATCATCTCAACGTCTAAACCAATGTATTATCTCATATATTTGCCATAGTTCAACTATGCCTTTCATGGATTATCTTGTACCTTGATATGATACGTTCCAATAATTATAAGCCACACGAAGCCTTCTGTTAAATCATAGCAGGCTGTTATGGCAAGATAGTCTTTTCATGCTTGCTTACTTTGTCCTCCTTGTGACACAAACTGTACAGCAATACAATATATTGCCATGTAAGTTCCCCAGACGCTACAATTAATCCTTGCTTATATCTGCTTGTTTTATTTTGAATCTGTTTATTTTTTTTATATCATAAACAATGTGTTAGTGATGTTTGACGACTGGGATTTATATGTACACCCACATAATGTATTGTGTTCCTGATCTCCCCTCAAATGGTGTTAAGAGGCTTCAAATCTATTTCATCTTCGTGTATGATATCTTAATCGTGAGTATTGTTACTCAGACAGTGACATTGTTCGATAGTACATGATACTTTATTCTTCTTGATTATGATACTTTATTCTTCTTGATTATAACATCAGATATGTAGATAGAAGTATCACTTCCACGTGCACTTGTTATATTGGTGACACACACTTGCCCTTTCTAGAGTAGAAGTTTTTTTTCTGCAAGAGGAGCCCAAAGGCACTTGTATGGGTAGCGTAATGTCAGTCTAATAAGTGTGTTTCTTTCTTTCACTGTTTTTGCTGGTGCGTACGAAAGATTCTAATCTAGCCTCTTTACCACTTTACATACATGCATTCACGTAATTGTTGGTGAATTTTATCTCACCTGACAGAAACTCAAGTGAGTCGTCAGTCCGTGTGTCCATCATCAAGTATTCAATTTTTGACATATCTGGTAAAACAACATGGCCAGTGACGCTGAAACATTGCTTATACGATCCTATGGATCATAAGTGTCTCTTAAATTCGCTCACTTTACTATTCTTTGTTGCTCTTGTATAACGTTTCTTATATGCTACTCAACGACAAAAAGTGCTAGGGCACTGTAGCTCACCTGGATATGTCTAAGAGTCTAAAAGGTTCTTTTCAGCATTGCTCATACCTTTTTCTGCAACAACTATTTAGGATAAATGGAGCCTTATATTCCGTCTAAGGGGAGTAATTTTTCTAATGCTTTAATTTTGTTCTAATTATTTTAAACAGCCATACCACTAAAATCCTAATGATGTCATCATAATGATATACATTCAGGCCGAAGTTCAGGTTCCTCAGTCTGGTAATTCCATAATGAATTCGAACCTCTTGAACACATTTAGGTGTCAGGATAACACGTATTTGAAATTTCGGCTGTATTGGTCTTGTGGGTTCTGAGGTGATTATGCTTTCAGTGCGAGAAAATGTATATTGAGAGAATGTAGGAGCATTGTCAAAGTTCAAAGGTCAAATTAAGGTCAAAATTAAAATAAATGTCGCAAAAAACGGAAGCTATTTGTGGAGCCCCACTACTACCTACACCTGTACCTATTTACATTTTGAACAATAATGATTCGGTGATGACCTTAAATAGATTTTCAAAATCGTTGTCATGGTGGCCATATTGAAAACAGGATGCGAATCTCTTTAGCAAATTCTTCATTCGTGGTTTCTCAGGAGAAAGTGTTTATTGACGACGACTGACGAGATTACATTATATCAGATGACCTAAAAATGAAGAGAGGCAAAAGCCTTGTAACTATATTTTTCGAATCATTCTAGCTTGTATCTCATGACAAAAATATTTACGAATTGTTTGATAGGCATTACTTAGAAGTTAACGGATGACAAAGTAGACACAATTTATGGATAACAACTTCTTCACAGTTGAATGACATGGAATAAAGAAGATCTATAAATGGTGTCAACTTTGTCAAGAGTATTCACTCTAACAGATTTATGTCTATTATTGATGCTTGACACACATTTGTACGGTGATCTTACAAGCATAGAATATGCGAAAGTGGATTTTACAGCAGAACCGTTCAAGGATTAAATATTGTTACAGTAAAAGATATGTTTCAAATTAAGTGAAACTCTGTTAACTCGATGCAAATGTACGAAAGGCGTTATCGATGATGAGGTCTAGAGTTGACACTACTCTTGTCTCGAACTACGGATAACTCGAAACATGTTCGATGGTCCTCAGGACTTCCACTTCTATAGATAAGAACAAGTTCCTATTTACCAACTTGTTTTTCGTAAAGAGTGTTCTTTTGTTGTGATTGTAATCTGATTGTATGTTTGTACAATATATGGCTATTAATGTTTTGCTGTTCTACTTCAAGAATGAATAATAAAGGCTTTCAATTTGTGAGTCTCGCTTGTGTTCAGATTCATAACAGTCAGTGGTTACGACGTTCGCTAGTCACACCGAAAGCCCATGTCTAGTGTCTACCGCCACGATATTGTTGAAATATTGATAAAAGCGGCGTAAAACCATACTCATTCACTTCGAGTCTAAGCACCTCAATTAAGTCATACGAACCTTCGCGTCACACCAGATCTGGTGATCAGGTTCTATGACTTGGCTGATTGGATGTCTTAGTATCCCAGAAAGTGTGGCCGTTTGGTTTACCTTCCAACGGTCTACATGGTACCGACCAGCTTTTCCACAGGAAGCCTTGATATGGCTGGAATATTGCTGTGAAAACAAGCACATTCAGTGGAACCATGAGTAAATAACAAGGAAACTGAAGACATGGTATGATAGCTTTATCATGTTTGCATGTATCACATTGTGACATCTGGCATTGTGGCTGTTTGATCCCCAATAGCAATCCTAGATCAAATTTAAAACATTAAAAAAACATCTACCACATTCACAAAACTTTAACGTCTAAATTGTGTTTAGAAGCAGTTACCCATATGTACCATACGATCGAAGGCATAATCACATGTAATGTGTTACAAATTAAAAACAAACCTTCTGAAAACAAGTACATGTACGCATGCAAATAAATTCACATGTGAGTAGTAGAGCTTCAGATAATCTGCGTATTTGCGTAAAATACCCCCCAAAATATTCAAAACTTTCAATTAACTTGCGCACAGAAACGCATGCATTAAATGAAAAACTAAAATGTATTAAAACAGCACGCGTAAATACCAAGTGAAACTTTTGCACCAAGGTTAAAAGGAGCTAATTTCCGAAACACAATTGCAAGCTCATTTACTTTCCGAGTCAAGTCCGCATATTAAGAACAGTTATATACATCTAAAACATTATTTCATTGTTTTAAAGTCTTAAAAAATTCACTAATTTTGGGCAAAACCAAATAAAGTGATGAATAGATGAATTGCTCAAAAAGTGATCTGGACCTCTGGAGTAGTAAGTGCGCATTATTCAGGTTGCTGTATATGCAACAGTGTTTTATTTAATGCAGCAGGAAACCCCTCAGAAAGTTGCACGTCCCTAACTAATGTGATGTGGTTTTCGGTGCGTTGTTCTCCACTGCTTCCTGTCTGCTAAGTTATTCGATATTTCTCTTCGCTATCGGAAGCAGCAGCAGAAACATAGCTGACATCAGTTGACATGCCCCCAGGAAGTGGAACGAGGCAGCGTAACTCCCAGAGAAATCTCTGAGGGCACCTACAAAACAAGTAACGGTAACTTTATATACGATGAAACGAGGGTCATTCCAAACATGCCGTAAATATGATTGTGTTTACAGTCGACCAATAAATGGTTATGAGTTTAAAATGAGTTCAGTTTATATCGTGACTGTCTGGAAGTTAACCAAGGCATTATCTTTCCTTATCTGAAGTACGACACCATGGGTGCTTACTAATCAGTTGGGAATTAATTTTCTACCTACTGAGAAATACGAAGTGAGATGCTGGCGTGGTCATTTTTATCCCCCCGACATATAATGACGGGAGGATATAGCCATCAGTATGTCCGTCCGTCTGTCTGTCTGTCTGTCTGTCTGTCTGTCTGTCTGTCTGTCTGTCTGTCTGTCTGTCTGTCTGTCTGTCTGTCTGTCTGTCTGTCTGTCTGTCTGTCTGTCTGTCCGTCCGTCCGTCCGTCCGTCCGTCCGTCCGTCCGTCCGTCCGTCCGTCCGTCCGTCCGTCCGTCCGTCCGTCCGTCCGTCCGTCATTGTTTGTCCAAAGCACATTTCCTAAACCGTACAACCTAGCTTCACAAAACTTGGTACACTTAACAATCAGGCTCAGTAGAAGTGCCTTTTGCTATTTAGAGATTTTTAGAATTTTATATTTTTGTCGTTTCCATTGAAATATGATGAACTTCGGAAATTTGAGGGTACTGCTCTTGTCCGGACCATATCTCTTGAACCATACAACTTAGCTTCTCAAAAGTATTTACACCTATCAAGCAGGTTATGTAGTTGTGCCTTTGCTATTAACAGATTTTCTTTTTCTTTTTCTTTTTTCAATTTAAATTGAAAATTGATGAACTTAAGGTAATGTCCTCGTCTGGAGCATATCTTCTAAACCATGCGACAGAGATTCACCAAACTTTATGCACATATCAATCATGTTCACAAGTAATGCAGTTTATTATTTATAGATTTTAATCTTTTTAATTTGTAGCCCCTGACATATAATTCTAAGGTGTACTATTTACCCATATCATATACTATATATGATGTGAGCTACATAACCTAGTACATTCTCTTTATGCCTTTGTGTCATGAGGCTACTACAGAGCTATTCATATGCGAATCTGCGAAGTTATTGTTATTACAATTTCTTGAGATCATCAGAAAGTGAGCTACATGAACCAATATTTAATAACCTTCATTATATTTCTGGTTTTGGCATCAAGGAAAAAGATTTCCTTGCCAATCTAAATACATTTGAAGGTACAAACAGTTTACCGACATGTCACGTCGGGGGGATATGTCATCTTCGGATGACTCTTGTTAGAATGAGCCTTTGGTGATAATTTTATTTACCATGACCTCACTTAAAAATTCTCCAAATTGTAACAGTAGAATTTTAAGTAGATTAATAACACACAGTATAGCATGTTAGCAGTACATCTATATTGTCCATGACGTGCCACACTAACACGAAGCGCATTTGATCTTTGTTGATAATGACAAGGACCTAACAGAACATATATCAATATGATGTGAGTACATTGCAGCTGTTTGTAGATATAAATCATACTTACCCATTATTGGATAGCAAACAGCCATCATGGCACCATGAAATACCTGAACATAGCCGAATATTCTTGCAAAATATTCCATTCCAACAAAGTCTATGATCACTGCTGGATGGAGTGCTGGGTATATTCCATTGAGAATTCCAAATACTGCGATATACGACAGTATTAGTCCAAAACCATTGAAATATCTGGTCAGTTGGTTTAATATGCCTAGTACAATCATACTGAAAGCAATAAGATGGTGTCTTTTTACGCAAGGTAACTCTGAAACAACGCCAGACAGAAGCCGGCTCACTAGTTCCAAGCCATTGAAAAGCGTCAAAAGCATGGCTGCTTGCATTTCGCTCAGGCCTTTTTCCTTCGCCAGCGGTGGCACAAACGTCTGTAATAACCCTACACCTAGAAACCCAAACGCTGTAAATCCAAATATAAGAAGGTACAGAGGCCTTTTAAAAAACGATAAGTTAAGAGCGTTGAAGCAGCTTGATACAACGCTATACGCTGTCCTGCCCTTCTGTAACGGTTCTGTTTTCGTTGCAAGAAATATGTCATGCTCAGAAACGTCCGGATCAGATGTTTTTTGGGACATATGTCCCTCCGAATCATCATTGCCATTGAATTCGTGTATTTCACATTGTGTTTCCTCAGCAAGTGTCACTGCATTGGTAGAAACTGGACCCTGGAAATTTTTCTCACATGATTCGTCAGTTTTAGTGTAAGAAAACTCCTCTTCTATGTGCTTTGGTTCGACAGAGATGGACGTCCTCTGTGGTCGATAGAGGCACACAAAGGTTAGAATCTGCAGCATCATACCGGCCAAGATGAGGAAGGCTCCTCTCAGTCCGTATTCCTGGATGAGGTACTGGACGAGGGGTGGGAGCAGCATCCCACCAGTGCTGACACCACAACTACATATTGCAGTAGCTAGAGCATGCTTCTTCACGAAGTATTTACCAACCATAACCAAGCCTGGACCGTACAGCATTGCTGCTCCAATTCCTGAAAAATATAATATGTACAATGCCTTATACAATATATACATGCTATTTTCATTATAGTAGGGTCGTTCTTGAGAAATAACACATAGTTAACAGATTGATTTGCCATACATTAGGAGCTGATGGTGATTTTTGTAAAACAAAATCGTCATAATATATAACAGAAAAGGCAAAATTAAACAACAGACTTTTTTCGGAACCTTCACACAATTATATTTTATCCCGAAAGTAAAGAAAATACGAAGATAGATATTTCCAGTAGGTAGTTATGGTAGAAGCACGTTTTTTAACTAAACTAAAGCCCAGGACAGTCGATCTCCTGAGGAACAAATTATCAACATCATTTTGAAGATTTGCGCCCCTTAGATGGTAAAATAATGAGGTTCTTTCCCTGAGCCGTGCTGTGAATCCAACTTTAGTGTTACAGTAATTTCACTTCATTTCCTGACCCCATTTATCCAGACGATTACTGCATGAAGCGCTTACATATTAAAAGGGACATTTTATGACAATGATTAGATTCTGTTCGTATTAATGGGGCTTCATCATACATGCCACCCGTGAAGATCCGGGTATAAAATAGTTCTTCAGCAACCAATGCTTTCCGTAAAGGGCAACTAACGGGATCGGTTGGTCAGCCTCGCTGACTTAGTGGATGTATGTCTTCGTATCCCAACTGCGTGGATCGATGCTCATGATGTCAATCTGGTCCTGACTCGATTATTTACAGACCGCCGTCATATACATGTAGCTGAGCGCGGCGTTAAACAACAAACAACCAAGTAAACAAACAAACAAATCATCACACATACCGACTCCTGTAATCTTTTGTTTGTGTGTTGTAGCTAAACGGCCTATAAATCATAGAGTCTGGATCAGAAAAACCAGTGCTAGATATGTGACACGTCTGTCGCCGCCGTCGGGTACGATCACGCTCAATCAGCATTGTCACAGAGCCTCAAAACCCTGTTCCTTTTGTCGCCTCTTACCAAAGCATAGGTTGTGGGGGTCCTTTACAACTCTGAATATCCAGCAGTGTCCTCTAAGTAATTTATCGTTACAGGGGTCTGTATAATAATTAAAGATGAACCTGCTATTCCGCCTTGGGAGAAGATCAGCACGTAGACGCTGCTTGCGTAGGAGTTGATAAAGACGCCTGTGGCAAGTATCAACACACCCACTATCGTTGTTGTCCTGATGGTGATTTTCTCCAGAACGACGTTGAGGACAAATAATGCTGAAACAGAACTCAATGAGGGAGTGAGTGAGGTTTAAGCTCGAAGTAATGCAAGTCGGTGAGGTTATAACACCATTGAGGAAACCACCGGAATCAATTGTGGTGATAGATAATGGTTCTCATCAGGTAAAATCAGTGAATCACATTTTCGACCACCATGACTAAGGGTAAGAACTTCGCTAAGATATCTTTGAACACTCATTGAACTGTAACGACGTGATATAACCAATATGCCGATATGAAGCAGCAGCATCAGGCCCAAATCATTATTTTGATGGAAAGTCAACGTGAGATATTTGGTTCGTGTGGCGATGAGGAAATAGCCCGTCCTAATGAATCGATGGCACCACAATCTACTTTGTGAAAGTGGAAGTCGTAATCCAGACACGGGGATGAAAGGCATGAAATAATAAGTAAGTCTGTGAAAAAACGACCTGTTTACCGGTGATGCTGTAAGCCGCAGCGTTGACACCCATGAGCAGCGATGCCACAGACGCTGTTGCATTGAACATTTTCTCAACTTCCACAAACAGTATTCCAAAACATTTGATGTATCCAGCGTTGAGAACGTTCATGAAGAAACACGCTGAAAACAATTATTATATAAGATACATAGTCATGAATCGTGGTGACTTAACATCCTTGTCTATTTTACTTCTTGATTTTAAACATGACAACATATACCACTTGCAAGTAACATATATCGAATTCTCTTACAGTGAAGCCATCGTGAGATATAGTATATGGAATTTGAATAAAGCGAATTATAGGCATTCTAGAACAAATAACAAAGGTCTTGTAAGTGTCCACCGTGCGTGTTTTCACAACTTATAGATTGTGTCCACAATCCAGAGAGCAAATGTCGGTGTTACCTATCAGTTAAGGGCGTTAACGTCTGGAGTAACAGAACGCACACGTGACTGATACAGAACATTGCATAAGGCAACCGAGCATGAGCGGTCAAAGGGTCGTAAGGATTTCCTACACTTGTGATAATACAGTGACGTGAGGACAGGTGCCAGGGTGACTCTATCGCCGTACCCGGGCTAGTAGCAAACGTCCGAGACCTGCATCACTTCGAGCTTTCCTTCCACATTAAACTGACACGACGTAACGGAATATTGTTAAACGTAGCTCACTCACTCACTCACTCATTCAACACAAAATGTGTATCATCTAACAAAGTTAGTTCAGTGTCAACAAAATACGTAGCACTCAATTATTTCAGAATTCTACATGCCAATTTGACCATCTTGGCATTGTGTGTACAAAAAGTACGACCTTCGAAAATAATTATTGTTTGCTGTAACTCGAATCTGTGACTGGGGAAGGGCGAAGGGCGGTTATCGTCAACCCAGTATGTTGATTCAGCAACTCTCGTTAAGCCATAGATTCATACTCGACCACTGGCTTATGAGGACTAACAGCTTCATTGATCAACAATTCTCAATAGGCTTGTATACGTGCTCATACACCAATCTAGGACCGTACCAACAAGAGGAGCTGACCATTCAGCTTGCTGGACGGACGGTCACAACACGGTCCATTATTCCTTGCGAAACCAGTTCATTCGACGTCAAACGTGCCCTATTTGGCCGAGTCAACTTCCCGATTGTCAATACATATAGAAATAATGTTTCTTCCCAAAAATGATTCAGGGAGATACTTATAAAATATAAATACTTCAGCTGTATGATAAGCATTTTCATCACGTGCATACGCGGTGGTTGTCAGTATACAATGTCACCTCTAAATGTGGGTCATTGTAACATGCAATATTGACATATCTTTGAAAGGGATTTAGAAGTGATACCAAGGCAGAGAATATATGGATGTCACCGTCTGTATTATGAGGAACACAACCTTTCCTTCATCAGGTGTCCCTCATAGTAAAGAAGTTGACATCCATATATTCTCCTCCTTATGTGTGTCACTTCTAAATGGTCGCTATATAAGTGCAATAATCTTGGACGCGACGTTAAACCCATTTCACCTCACCTCACATCACTTCTAAATGCCTTTCAAAGAACATGATCAGTCCAGGGATACGGGCATGACATCTCTTACCTGTTAACACTACCCACGACCATCCTTCGTCTGATGTCATTCTTAGACAAAATTACCAGTTCTCAGTGATGCAAGTGGTACACACGCTGGTACACCTCCTCTATATAGACTGTCAAGCTGTGTCATGTATTAAGCGGTATGATTGTGGATAAACTGTTCCCCTATCCGTGCAACACGCGAGGTCAAATGCTTCGCGTTCCCGTGCTGTGTACTAACTTTGTGTTGACCAACTCAACTGGCTAATATTTCATTATAACATACCCATTAATAGTTCACTGCATTGTGTTTGTGTTGCGGAATCCGTGCATATTAACTATCGCTTTAGCATAACAACGCCATTTTAATAGGAAAGCAAAAAGAGTGTTGTTTTAATATTACACTTGCAATAACGCATTAAATTTATGCATGTAGTTGGTTTCTTCAGTGTCAAGCTGCAGGTATTATCAGACGTACATGTACGTCTATGGGTATGTCTAAATTGGCACGTCGTTTGTGTAGAATTTGGAAACATTTTCGCAAAGTTAACGAAAACGTGATCACAATAATTGTACGTTAGAAACGCGTCAGATCACTCGTTGTGCCACAAAGTTAGTGTTTCCGAAGAAATGAAGAATGATTTAACTCAATACAATACATATAATTGGGTACATACTGGCCTCGTACAATAACGTCACTGGTACATGGGTGCTGTTTGTGCAGTTAATAGTAGGTGAGTGTGTTGGGTTTAACGCCGCTTTTAACACTATTCCAGTTATATCACGGCGTGTCAGCTTAATGTGGGAGGAAAGCCCGAAGTGATGCAGGTCTTACCACTTCCGTGAAACCCACGAGCACGGGTTTGGTGCTGACAAACCTAGAAACATAATCGGGGCGAACCGCGATTCGAACCCACAATCATAGGTTTCTGGCGTGCCCAAGGGACGCAACTCTGCACAGCGAATGGCGGCGCCTTAGCCATCTGGGCCACACGTGCCCCCTGTGCAGTTAATAACACTACTACGACAGCGATAAATATATGCGCAATAACTAACTAACGTGTTCTGAATACAGTGAACCTTATATTTTAAATATGACGAACTCAGGACTAATACTGTTACCTGTCCTGTTGTGAGGAGAATGGTTTGTTTAATGCTAAATAACGCTCACCCAAGAATACGGTATAACAGAAACGGAATGCTGAATATCGTAGAACAATTATACATATGGTCTTGTCTCTTCCGAGATAACCTCGTTATAAAGCCCACTGGTCACCATCTCATTCTGTCCAGCAGCGGAAATTACAATGTGTTGTCGTTACGGAAGAAGTAGTTTAAGTTTAAAGCTAATTAAAAGTATAATAGCGTCTATTTGAATCCAGGCTATTGGATATTTGGCAGGGATATTGGCGTCCCTTTCGTCTAAGAGGCCGCATATCGCAGTGATGACAGTTTTTTATCCAATGATTGGTGTGTATTCCACATATCCGCAAACAGAGAACAGAATCATTCTCACAGCATGTTTGAAATGGCCCTCGTGTCCTTGTACACAAGACCCGTGAAGATCCGGGGTAGAATCAACCCATCCTTGCCGTAAAAAGCGACTATGTATCGTAGGCAGTTTGGCAGGGTATAGGTTTTAACAGGGAGTTTATAAATGGCCAACAGCACGGAGTCATGTGCAGGTCAGTGGCTCCAAATTAGCGCAAGAGAATGGCCGGCTGGCCACTGAAGCTTGACATTGTGGATGAGGTGCGGGGATGGCCTGTCCTCATCTGGCCTACACCTCATATCGCCTCCACTACTATCAAAACAAATTTATGAATGAGTGCACAACACACTTGTACCCTTATCCCTTAAGTAAAATGAACTCTTCAAACAAGATAACAAAGAATGTAAATGACTTTTGATACTGTAATTTTATTTTGTATATGAGATCATCTTCACAACTCAAATGTTTTCACAACATCAAATATCATAAATACACATGTATTATCATAGCACTGTACATTTATATCCATCATCTTCATGTTTTATAACATTAGCACTACATCATTACTAGCAAAATTACTGTAATTGCATCCAACTGCATCCAGAAACTGGATCACTGATCTTCTGCCATTAGCAAGCTGCTGCTTCAGTCTCTCGAATCCTTGCATCTCGGTCTCTGTCACAACACGGGCACGAGGTCTCATGGCACCACCCAGTCCAATCTGCCTTCTTGACCGTCTATCTGCTGTCTCGATCTTCTTGAGTTCTTTGACAAACTGGAAGATGTTGGGATGAGCTCTCGGCAATCTCTTCTTCAGGCCGTTGTGGAAACCGTCAAGATGGTTGTTGGAGCGTGGACCGGTGTTTCTCGTGTTGATTCCACAGGGCTCGAGGGAACGTGGCATTGAAGTTCAGGGTTCTTGAAGGTCGACAGCGGCTCGGGATTCTGGGAGATGAGGGATGGACTTGGAGCGGTGTCGGTAGAAAGCAGCCTGGACACTGGCAAAGGACGGCATCGTGGCAGCAACATCTTCGACAGCTCGGTCGAGTTCGGCGTTGTAGATCTGCTGAACAGGGATGATGTCTGTCTTCACTTGCTCCTCCTTTCTGGCGATGACGAGGATGTGTTCTACATTCTCGGTAGGTGGATGACTGTGAGGCTTGATTGATGTAATGTGGTCGCCAATGGTGCTGCATCTGCCATTGCAGCCAATGGTGATACACTTCCAGTGAACAGCAGGTTGCCGCTTGACATTCAACCTGTACCGGTACCCAGCATGTAGTACTTGCTGACCGCACCTCTGTGAAGTAACGAACTCAGCTCTTTGAAGATGTGCCATTTCTATATGCACAAACTTATAAACTAACATATATACCTATTCCTAAATTGGAGATGCGGTGATCGTGTTAACATTGTGAAAGATATTTCGTTGATCAAAGTAAAGTGAAACAATAGTACTTACTAAGGTATATATATAAACACTTACAGAAAAATTGGAGATGAGTAGACCTGTAAAAATGCTCAGATTGGATTATATCAGGTAAGGTAATGTATACACACTTACAAAACTTTTGAGATGAGTAGACCTGTTAAAAGTGGATTATAACAGTAATCCTGTATAAACAGTAAAAACAAACTCAAGGATCAGATACCACTATGAAAACATCGTATTAGTTCAAAGGCCCATGTACTCAGGTCATTAATTCATATCAATGAATGAAATCATTAATGGGTTCATGGACAGTACCATTCTACACAACAGGGGTGTGGAAGTAAACATTTGTATTTAGTGTAGGCCAGATAAGGTGTAGGCGATATAAGGTGTAGGCCAGATGAGGGTAAGCCGCGGGGATACTGCAGGCTGACCAGACAGGTATCGTATTCGATATTAGTTGTAATTAGAATACTTTCTGTTAGTCGAGGTTTGACCCTCCATCCATCCAAAAAAATCGACAGAGTAATCACTAAACTCCAAACAGGACACACCAACCTAAATAACCACCTAAAATTTTAAAAAAAACACACTACAGGTAACTGCCCACACTGCAAACAACCAGAAACCCCAGAACACGCACTCATCCACTGCACACACTACCTAACACATCGAACCGCATTACAAACCACCCTCAATCTAAACAAGGCTCTAACTCTAGAAGCAATACTAAACCCACAAAATAAACTAGAAAACTTCAAGGCCTTAGGCGTATTCTTAATAAAAACGGAACTAATAAAACGCATCTAAAAACACAATAACCTACCAAATCAAAATCACATAAACAAACAAACATCCACCATACCCAGCTCCCTTAGTTCTCCTCCCCAATCCCATCGGCATCTATTCCAAATCTCAAAATTCCCAAATTCTATATAAGCAACCCCTAAAACCCCCCTCTTGGGTTGCACAGACCACCTTCGCCCCTTTCGGAAACACATTAAATGGCCTGGCCGGGCCCGTGTGCGAAATACGCATCAGTCGAAAAGCGCACGTTAAATCTCCAAAGTAAGTAAGTAAGTAAGTTAATGGGTTCATGGACAGTAGCTTTCTACACAACAGGGGTGTGGAAGTAAACATTTGTATTTAGTGTAGGCCAGATAAGGTGTAGGCGATATAAGGTGTAGGCCAGATGAGGGTAAGCCGCGGGGATACTGCAGGCTGACCAGACAGGTATCGTATTCGATATTAGTTGTAATTAGAATACTTTCTGTTGGTCGAGGTCTGACCCTCGGACAGCGGCTAGGCAGGTTGGCTCTCTGACGCCTCTGATATGCTGCCTGGCCATGTCTGTCCCATTACCACAATCGTGATATACAGATGCTGTAATTGTTATGTCACAAATAAATTGTTGTGGACCCACGGATGGACTCCTGTGTTTGAAGGACAGATATTCCAAACCTAACAGCCCGGGATATATGCTTTGTCGTTAAAGGGGACTAACGGGATGGGTGGTCAGGCTCGCTGACTTGGTTGATGCATTTGATCGATCCCAATTTCGTGGATCGATTCTCATGATATCAATCACTGGAATGTCTGGTCCAGACTCGATTATTTACAGACCGCCGTCATATAGCTGGAATACTGCTGAGTGCGGCGTTAAACAACAAACCAACCAACCAACCAACCTTGTACATAAAGTTACATTTATTTGTTTCCAGGTGCCCTCAGAGATGTGAGAGTTACGCTGCCTCGTTCCACTTCCTGGGAGCATGTCAACTGATGGCAGCTATGCTTCTGCTGCTGCTTCCGATAGCGCAGAGAAATATGGAATAACTAAGCAAAGAGAGAGCAGTGGAGGACACCGCCCTGAATACCACATCACATTAGTTTGGAACGTGGAGCGGTCTGAGGGTTTAGGTCCTGTCGAATATACAGCAACCTGAGCAATGAGCAGATACTACGCAGTCTTAAAATGCAGAACTGCAGACCTTATTCATTTATTTTCCTGTCTATTTATTTTCAAAAAATAATTAACAGAATATATATGATTCCAGCGTATGCCTTAAAATCGTCGGGTACTGATCATTAGTTTATTTCGGTAAGGGTCCGATCATTTGATAGTCTGAGTTGGTGCCAGGAATTTTGGATTTAGACAAGATTATTTTCAGTTACACTCGCAAAACCAGATATTTTTTAATTAAAACTATAAGCCCAAATGTATATTTTTCAACAACAACCAGCAACAATGTATTTTTGGGTTGCAGACAAATTTCCAACAATTTGAAGTTTAATTTTGTTTTTCAAGTTTATCCTGGTACAATTTATCTCACTCCGAAAGGTCGTCTTAACAGCTTGTTAAAATTTATTTAAGATATTGATTAATTTTCATGAATCATGAATGTAGTGGGGAATTAATTCTGATTATGTTTTATTACTTTAAAATAGTTCTTTATTGTTTAACACATTGCATTGATCAGTTTTGTTCCTTTGTCACTCAAATGTGTGACATGAATGATCACACATCATCGATCGTTACCGCTTGTATGATCTTTGCTAATTCTGTTCATGTACCATGTTGGTAGAATATTGGTCTGTGATATACAAATATTTCCTTCCGATATGGTCTGAATAATGTTGGAATTTCAAAGAAGTAGGTAAACCTATATTTTCATACAATAAGTTTTACAGAAAGGCTAAAAGATTGTGATTGGAGTGACCAAAATGGAATCGAACGTCCACAATGGCAGATGTAGCAATGTAGTACATGCAACTCGGATCAGGTTTTCTTTCAATGTCTTTAGTTTTCTGGTCATTTACATGTAGTCCTACTGGATTTGCTTGTTTGGTACTTTACACACACACAGAACTCAGCAAATCTATCTCAGCTTTATCTTTTTGTGAACAAGTGAGTCGGGGCTATGTCGTCCGATGGTTGGTAAATTAAACGCTATCGAAGATTCTGTGACATCCGATCAGCCATTGGTTACATAAACTGGCCACCCGATCCACACGTGAGGCGTTATGGATGAGGTGCTGGGGAACAATTGGAGTGAGTGAGTTTGGTTTTACACCGCTTTTAACAATGTTCCAGTAATACCACGAGGGCTCCCGATGTGACGAGCGACCGCTTTAACCACTGACTGTTATAAATCTAAAGACAAAAGAGATTCGCTGTTTCTTTGGCAGGATGCTTTTATTGACATAGACCCTTCAAGTAGAACATAGACGTATTAATAGTTATACATTGTACAAACACATTGCAATCACAACAAAAGAGCACTCTTTTCCAACAGCGGCAATTTTGTTACCTGAGGACACAGCAAGATCAGTGTCAACACTGGACAATATCATCGATGACGCTGCTGTCGTGACCATAACTTTACATCTCACACATTGCATCCAGTTAACAGTGTTCGAGACAAGAGCAGTGTCAACTCTAAACCTCATCATCGATAATTAAAAGCTTCTGTCGAGACCATAACTTTACCTCGCCTTTCACACTGAGTAAACAGAGTTCGAGACAAGAGCACTGTCAACACTGAAACCTTAATTCTGCTGTAAAAACCAATTATCAATTAATCTTCGTCCAATTTGTTTAGGGTCACCGTTCAAATGTGTTCCAAACCTTCATAATAGACATACACCGATTTTACCTTTGTACTTTGACAATGCTCCTCCATTCTCTTAAAATACATTCCGTCGCAATGAAATACGTCATCTCTTTCGACACAACAAGACCAATACAACTGAAGCTTCACATGCCGGTTCCCGCCAATCATGGTACCTTAATTTGTTCACGAGGTTCGAATCCAGTTCCATGCCAGCCATTATGACAAACATTATGGCCATTGCTCTGTCATTTCTGTTCAAAATGTAAAGTCACACTAATAAGTATTCTCGCACAAATGCATGTTGGCGCTGAGAACATCTTCTCCTATGGAACTGTCGAACTGAGGGCTGAACTATGGCATGTATGTTTATCCCCACCATATCATCATTAGGATTTTAGAGGTTTGGGTTTTTAAAACAGTTGTAAAAATTGTATTGAATTAGTAAAATACGTTGTTAAGATAGAATACAGGCTCAAATGTGGCTGAATATTTGTTCAAGGTAAGTTTAACTGTGGTACAACATGTACATGGAACTTTATTATACAACAGTATTCATTCTTGTAGAATGTGGCAATTACGTTACTTGTGCCATATTTGATAATACTTTTGTCCTCAATATTTTTGCGGAAAATATGTTACTTGCAATGCTGACTTAAATGACTTTGTTGACATTTAGACTCTTGACAACATATCAAGGTGAGCTACAGTGCTATGGTAATATTTGTTATGAAGTATCATATAAGAAGGATACAAGAGTTATGAAGAACAGCGAAGGACCAACAGAAAGTTTCTTCTGATATCCCGAAAGCACGTCGTGAATTCAATGACACATTTACACATGCAAAACTGGCCATGTACAGAGCCAGACAATTGGATTGCAATGACACACAGCCAGCCACAACAGTACATGGACGTCAAGTGTTGAAGCTGTCCAATGTCACAATACACAGCAGAGTATACGGTGTGTACTTGGGTACAGCACATACCTACTCTAGTCGAACACACATCGCTCTTAGGAACACATACACATAATTTCAGACTGAGAGAACATGTCGAAATGGCAATAAAACTTGAAACTTATGAAGACTTAAGTCGCAGCTGGGTAAACATTCAACACAATATGGTCAAAACACTATCATGATTGTTATTCACAGAGGCCATATATACTGAACTGGGACATACTTGACATCAGATCAAATAACAACATTATTATAATACTATGTAATCACACGTTTCAAAAACATATTTTAACACACATGTAACCATGTGAGAACCGATTCTATATCATGACTGCAGTCGGATTAATGATCGGTATGGTAATACACAATTTTGTAAAGAATCATTTATGACGTGAAAAGAAAAGTACGTCAAATCAAGCATTCTGACGTCATGATGTCCGTTCAGGCAAGGTTGCCCTTTTTTTTATACATGACGGAGACTGACCTTTCGGACTATATATGAGTTTTTATAAAGAATAAAATGATAGTATACATTTAGTGACATAGTGACGCCATCACATTACAGTTTATACAGATGAAAAACACAATCTTGTTTTCGGTAAGCAGTTGCTCTGCGATGTTCACAATGTCAAAACATTTTTCCAAAAAAATAATGTATATTATATTATATATTTATATGGATATATACTATCATATCCATGTAACTCTACAGGTATATACGTTTCCTGACTAAAATTAATCGAGATATCTCACCGGAGATGCAACAGGGCCATATTTAAAAAATAAATGTAAGTGCACACAGAGCACAATGCGCATGAATACATCCCGCGGAGAACGGAATGTACTCGTACAACCGCGTCACTTCCGGTATATCACAATGTTCCTGCGACCTGAGAATAGAGACCGCTCCATTTTGATAACATACACGTTAAACTTGTACATGAGGAGAACTACTTTTAATGAAAATTTAAAACAGTATTTTTCATATATCCCGTGATCTATGAAAATACGTCCGTGATATTTTTAATTTTGTTTAAACATTTGAAAAAAGCCCGTGCAAGTCTATATCTATGGAAACATGCTCACTCGAGCGCACAATATTATCGCAAATGTTACTGAGCGGAGATATGCGTTAACCGAACCGAAGCGAGCCCTACTGGCACACACGCAGAAGAATGTGTAGAAAACAGACAGATTCTCCTTTTCACGAGACACAACACTGCACATGACCTAGACAAGTCAATAGCTGTGTTGATATCCTCAAATGTCGCCGTAGATTTAACCGAGGTTTTTTTAAAATTGCAATGTGTAAACCGTGGAAGCAACAACATATTTGACATTGACCTATATTGCCTATTATTGGTTATTGTGTGAAACTGTATCGTAATATGATAATAATATCAACCCCCTTCGACGTACTATTTCGTGAGCCATATAACAACGAACAGTGTTATATTTCTGAGAATATGCGGATATATAGCACCTTAAAGGTAAGTGTAAATTATATTTTGTGTAAAATATTTTGATGTTATTTTCTGATATTTTGCAAGTAATTATACGTATGAGTGGTTTATGACATATGTGTTTATGCAATTCATTAAATAATCTGACTCGTTACTTATCATTCTTTAGATGAGTTCCCATGTGTATATGTCATCTAATATTGCCAGACGTTCACTGCAGAGCAATCACACCTACTCCAGAATTCAAACATGGCGTCGGGAAGCTATCGCCTACCCTATGCCACGCGGCCTGGCTACAACGCGCGGAGCCTCCTCTGACGTCACGATCAACGTGACGTCATAGATTAAGCGACAGCCACAGGGTCTATTTAAGGCGCGCATTTCACCGCAGAGTAACAAAGAGCGGCGTGTGTTCGTGCTGTCTTGTGTACTATTGCTGTCCTGTCCGATCTCATACGGCAACAGCCTGCGAAGTAGTGGTATGTACTTTTTAAGTGTAATTATACGCAACCTCATCAGACATCTGACAGTGATTTCAAACGATGTAGGTGAATTTTAGCTACGTATCCTCGAAGAGACAACTCAATATTACCTCGGTCTATCCCGATGCATTTGCCTCCATTGGAGGACAACCTTATTCCTCCCAGGTCAGCAAGTGTCTCTATAATAACTAATTTGAGATTAGATTCAAACCTGATATTTAATTATTTGTTGACAATAACTGACTACTTGACAGCGTTCAAGATGAAAATAAAGCGAAATGACCGTCGTTTAGCCTCCATACAAAAGTATCCTCCAGAACTACTAGATATAGTGATTTGAAATGTTCAGGTGGTATTATTGAATACTTTCATTTTGAGCAACTAAACAATGCCGTTTTGTGTATGAAATACATATAGATTTATGAAAGTATGAAATATGAGGGAGCAGTGTCCAGTGGGTAAAACGTTCGCTCGTTACACGATGGTGCGAGTTCGATTCCCAACATGGTTACTATGTGCCAAGTCCATTTCAGGTGTCCCCCGCTGTGAATATTGCTGAAAGAGGCGTTACTCTCACTCACTCACTCAATAAAATACTAATTTTCGAACCCACGATTAGCGGATCCTGACAAGGCAAGGGGACACCATCGCTCTGTGGACGTGCAATGTATAGTCTATTTCTGACCTTGAGAAATGTTGATAATAATACATAAAAAAAATGTTGTCATTACTTCGACCCTTTGAGTGTTTAGGTGTTGAGAGCTTATAACTGCACGTAACTGTACGAATATGTAATGATAGATGTCATCAAAGCAGTTGTGTATTAGTTAGGAGGCTTACACCTTGTCTATCGCCATTACGAACAATCTCTGTTGTTACTAATCACACGTAGAATACATCCAATGTCCATGCAATATTATCAGGACAGGCTGAATGGCAGTATAGCTTGGTGATGTAGGTCAACGAGATGTGTCGTGGATAGCAGCCAGTCATTGTTGTGTTGCGCTATTCCAGTTACATGACAGGCTGTGTTTGTATAATAGAGGTACGCTGATATGTCACATGACGGGAGGTGCATACTTGTTCAAACCGACTGGGACGAGTTTGAACATAAACTTTTTCTCTTTTAGTGTCATCATATAACAGGCTTGTATCAGGTATCAACAAATGTAAAATTATTGTCGAAGGAAAACGTGATCGTCAAACATTTAAACTTACGATGACAAGAGAATAGTAAATGTGATTGCATGATGCGATGGAAAACTTAAGTGAGTGTGTGAGTGATTTGGTTTTACGCCGCTTTTAGCAATATTCCAGCAATATCCCGGCGGTGGACACCAGAAATGGGCTTCACACATTGTACCGATGTCGGGATTCGAACCCGGGTCTTCGGCGTGACGAACGAACGCTTTAACCACTAGCCTACCCGAGAGCCCCTGGAACTTAAGTGATTACTTTGTTTTTATTATATTTCTAACATTACAACTGCGGCGAGAAAGTGTTTCAAGGTATATGGTTCACATGGCTCATGATGAGTAAGCGTTTTGTGCACCACGACCACGACACGTGATCACGTTGCGTGAAGCAGCTCTGCACTGTTCGGTGATGGCACACAGCTGACCCAGGTACTGGCATTGATTGTCGGGGACATAACGATCAATACTCACAGTAGAGGAATACTGGAGGAATCTCTGCATTCACTTCATTCGTCTAGGTGATACAAATATGTAAGTCTAGTTAGCTATATTATGAACTTAACACTTGAAAACACGATTAAATTAAGTAAATATTCCATAGACTGTGTGGAAAATAGAAGAAGGGTCTTGCTTTAACACGGTGTTCCCTTTCCGTGGCATGAGTGAGTGAGTGAGTGAGTGAGTTGGGTTTTACGCCGCTTTTAACAGTATTCCAGTTATATCACGGTGTGTCAGCTTAATGTGGGAGGAAAGCCCGAAGTGATGCAGGTCTCAGACGTTTACCACTTCGGTGGTTGAAGCTGACAAACCTAGAAACATAATCGGGGCGAACCGGGATTCGAACCCACAATCATAGGTTTCTGGCGTGTCCAAGGGACGCAACTCTGCACAGCGAATCGCCACGCCTTAGTGCCACCCATGGCCTCTCCGTGGCATGACGTGGAAGCACATTCTAATATATTATGTAAGCAACTTAAAATGAGAACAGCTTGTTTATCGTGCATATAAATAACATTCGTCAATCAGGTGTTTTGATTACATTTATTAATATGCATTCGGAGAGCGCTAACACAAGGATCCCAGTATTTGGTTAATGAATAACAACGCGGAAAGCGGAGAGAAGGAAGACTAGATACTTTAATTGTAATTTTACGCACATTTTAGGTTTTTATCTAAATACCTGACATGTATTGTTGTACAGCATTAAGGTTGCATGCTGCAGTAAAATGTGACATACATCAAGTGTGCTAACAAGCCAACTCGCCCAATCATGATGACGACACTCTGTATTCAAGTACATGCATTTATGATGTCAACTTTCGAATTCCCAATACTTATATCCTCAGATTTTTATTCAGACTTGATGTAAATAATAGAGACAAAACCATTTCCATAATCGTAACAAATATCCAGTATACTATTCCTCCTGCATCATAACCGTGTTCTTACGAATCACTATCAAATGGTGAAAAGGTGAGCGTATTCTGCCCCATCGATGCCGTTCGTCACAAACACATACAAAGGCAAGTCAATTGGTCACACCCGACGGGGACATACCATGCGAGTGAAAATAGGGAATAATTCCTCAAGTTTTTTTATGAAGGGTGCTTCTTGATGTGGAAGAGGATGTTTTAGACGTGGTGATTCAGAGCTTGTTAAACTTCTGCCGGGACTGACTGTCATTGGCTGTGTTTACGGCTATCTCTGTGTGCTATGACTTGCCGCGATACAACCATCTTCCCGAGGCAAGGGAGTTAACTGACTGTAAAAGTCCAGTTTCCATCCTTGCCGAACTAGGCTGGAATTTCTGGGCTCCATCGTAGCGCCACCAGTGGCTATATTATGAATTATGTCCCTTTTATGTCCCTCCTATTAACCAATCAGATTCCACCTCTCATATCATTTGCATTTGCTTCAAACAAAATGGAGTCGCCAAGTGAAGACGATCTGATCGATAATCAAGATCAATATTGTAATAAAACGGGTCTTGCTTCGCGAAGTGCATCAAATCACGTAAGCACCTTGATTCAAACGGGTCTTACTTCTCGAAGAGCATCAAATCACGTGAACACCTTGATTAAAAACGTGAAAAGATTTGGAAAATATCTGTTGACGCTAAGTTGTCGGTACACATGCTTTGCAAATCCTGCAATCGACCGAAATCTGCACGGCGGTTTACGAACCGGATGTCGTTTTCGTTACACAGTTTTGATTGGACTATGCATAGACTCGTTAGTCCAGCCAAAATATAACTCAATAACTCCAGCCTAGTTCGACAAGGGTGGAAACTGGAGGTTTATTAGATGCGGTACAACAGTTGGAGAGTTAACTAATCAAGTTAGCATTTACAACACAGCTTTGTGTACATAGATGTGTGTATATGTGTCACGCACGCGTCTGCTTATAGCTTATAGACCATTTCATATCCACGAACGACGAGACATTACAGCGTCCGGTTCATGAACGGTTAGGTGAGGTGAATTGTTCAGCGTCGCGTTCAAGATTATTGCACGTATATAGCGACGTGTGTGTTTGTGGCTGCTTGTACCAGTGCGGAGTTATGTCTGTTTTATGCAGCCCATTGAGATAACAAGGATTCCCCACTCAGACACATAATACTGACTTTGAGCCGACCAGTCCGTGTTTAGCCACTTCATGCCGAGGACCAGGCAGGGTAGCAACAATTACCATCTCTCAAAATGCAGTATAGACCATTATGAAAAATGAAGTTGACATGACAAAAGTTTCAGGTACAAGACTACTGAATCCAGATCTGAAACACTCCAGGTTCCTCATCCCCCTCATCATCTCTGAGACTTAACGTCAGTTAGAGGCAGACCCACCTGATTTAGTTTTGTGATTTGTGAACATGGATGAGTCTCATCACTATCCACCCGTGAAGGTCCGGGTTGTCAAGAGCATGTTCCAGTTGTCTACACTACTTCTTCCTTGGTCTCATTTTTGTCACCTTCTGTGCAACCAACCTATGTTCAACAAGTACTAATCAACTATATATATTTTTTTGTTTGTTTGTTTGTTTAACGCTGCACTCTAGCTATATGACGGCGGTCTGTAAATAATCGAGTCTAGGTCAGGCAATCCAGTGACTGACATCGTGAGCATTGATCCACGCAGTTGGGATACGCTGATATGCATCAACCAAGTCAGTGAGCCTGACCATCCGATCCCGTTAGTCGCTTCTTACGACAAGCAAAGTCGCCTTTTATGGTAACCATGGGTTGCTGAAGACCTTTTCTATCCCGGATCTTCACGGTTCGCAACATATACTTAGAGGCATCTACTGATAACATCTCATGAGGGTTATCTCTATTCATTACTTCATTTAAAT